GAAGAGAGACGGGCAAGGGAAGAGGCGGAACAGCGCCAGGAAGAAGAGAGACGGGCAAGGGAAGAGGCAGAACAACGACTGCAACCCAACTCTCTATTTCGTCTTCTTGATCGCTGCCACGAATCTCTGTCACAGACGATCCGAGTCGAGACGAACGCGACCCTGACGACCCAAGGAGACGTGACTGACCCCGTCAATCGACTTTTTCCTAAGCGGATTGTTCCATGGCTTGATTTCCCTCAGATCCAGGAGCAAATCTGGAATAAACTTGAGCGTGCAGTCAGCTTTACCTCATGTCCGCTCTTTCCTTCTGATACCCAGCTAGACTATGTCGCAACAAATGTCCAAGACCGACTGATTTACTCAGAAGCGACTTTACGAAATTTCGAGCGAGACACTGTGGATAACTTTGTTGAAAAGATTGTCGAGGCATTACAAGGCGATGAAACTTTGCAACAGGAGTTCAGTATTGAGGGCCGAGTGGCCTTTTATGACCGCATGAACTCAACCTCACTGGATGACAGTCTGGAGATGCATCTTGACGACGCACCCCATCAACCAACAAACACCAACTGCGGGAGAGGTAGAAGAAAAGGGAAGGGGAAACAAATGAGTCAAAGTCAGACAAGGGCTCGCTCAGGAAGGCGGCGCAATCCCCGTGCTGATCAATTCTGTGTTCATGTCGTGGCTGACGAGCGCCAGATACCAGTATATGCAGTGGAGTTTAAAGCCCCTCATAAGCTTACAGTTGCGGAGCTAGTCGCAGGCTTGCATGAGATGGACCTGGCCCGCGATGTTATTGATCAGGAAGGAGACACGCCTGAGTTTCATACCACCCGCCTTGTTGCCGCTGTTGTCACTCAGATATTCTCATACATGCATGACTTGGGGATACAGAACGGGTGTATTCGGACAGGGGAGGCATTTGTCTTTCTACATATTCCAGAGGATCCCACAATAGTTCAATACTACTTGTGTTTCCCAAATCAAGACGTGCAGGCAGGCGATGAGAGCTGTCTCCGCCGGACTGCCGTGGGCCAGATGCTTGCATTCACACTCCAAGCGCTGGCCGCTGAAGCTCCATCCCAAGAGTGGCACAATACCGCACATCAACAGCTCTCGACCTGGAAAGTCGAATACTTGGACATCTTGCGTGATATTCCTGAAATGATTCGCAAGGAGCCGCCACCCTCAAATTATTGGCCTTCACACTGGAAACGGAATCCAAAGACACACAATACACGTTCCCACACTCACTGTAATCCAGGTGTATCTACCCCGGCAGGCTCGCCAAGTGAAAGCAGTGATAGTGATGAGGATATGCCTTCACCATCCACTGCACCAGCCGCACGCAGTCGATTGAGTCGCGGGAAAGGTAAACATTTATCGACTGGCGGACGTGAACGGGCACAACCCTACCGAAGAACAAAGCAAACTCCTTCTCAAAAGGTGCAGAGACCGTACTGCACCATGGCTTGTATCCATGGTATGGTCAACAGGGGTCCTCTGGATAAAAAGTGCCCTAACTGGCAACGTCACAGCGGTCAGAGGCATCCAATGGGCCCGCAGGAGTTCACACGCAAGCTGCACCATCAACTTGTCCAGAATCGAAATAAGGGTTTTGAGCCACTACACATCCGTGGTCGGACGGGGTATCTCATGAAAGCGACTCTATTGTCTCATGGGTATACTGTAGTCATCAAGGCTACAACGAAGGAGAATCAGCATGCCCTTAAAACAGAAGTCAACAATTATCACAAGCTCCGAAGCTTGCAAGGATATCAGATCCCGGTCTGTTTAGGCGACTTTGAGCCAAGCATCGCATACTGGTACCACGGTCAGGTAATGACGCATATGATGATCCTGAGCTGGTCTGGAACTAGGCTTCAGCGGATAATCAAAGACGAAAATTTGGATTTTTTCCACAAAGAGCGAGACAAAGCTCTGAAGTCCCTCCAGAAGTATGGTGTTGAACACAAAGACAAAGAGTGGCGTAATATGCTGTGGGATGAACAGACCCGCAGTTTGGTTGTCGTTGACTTGGAGGACGTGGAATGGCTTAAGCGGCCTCAGCCTTTCCAATCAACATCTGGCAATTCATTGGGTCGTCGTATCATCCGAAGGCGCCTATCTAGTCGAGCTGCTGTCTGTACATCATGATGGCACTGGAAACAGCCGCCGCTTATCACTGTCCCGGTCTTATTTCCTGCGCGCCTTGTTGACTTCGGATTGTTGTGTCTTCCGTTCTGGGGAAAACCACCGTTCAGAGGAAGATGATGGTTTGGCTTTCAGCGCAATCGGCCATTTGTTGAGTCATCCAATTAATACGCTAGTTAGTTAATTATATTCGGTCAAGCGACTGGAGGGGTTTCACCACACGGCGATGAAATGATCTTAGTTTTAGCAAGCACTTTCTATTGTCACAGTGGCAGGTCAAATAGCAATAACCAAAATTAAACCTAAAACGGCAAAGCGCGTATTCATTCCATACTAAGCTCTTGCATCCTACTCTTAGTAGTTTATGAGCAACCTACATACCCATGGGATAGATTCATCGGTATACGGGCTTGACAGCGACTTGAACAGCTCGATCGGCATGCCGTCCCGCCCGTTGCCATCATTTGTAGGCTACAAGCGACTGGTGCCTTGAACATTTAGCCACCGGCTTCCAAGTTGGCGTCCGATCGATCATTTCAAACTGAAATAACAGCTGAAATCTCAGAGTATTATTGCAAATTTCTCAAGTCTATCATGTTCGCTTTTTTTGTCAGCTTGATTCTGAAGATAGTAAGCACCTGTTTATATCGAAGCAAGCTTGAACGCTCACATATATTTATTCCTAGTGGTCCGTATCTCAGTTTGCCAAATTATCAATTGTGGTTTCTTTCATCTGATCAATGGTATGTATCTCGTTTCTGCCAAATAAAGAAGTTGTTTCTAATCGACTAGAAAATATGTCCTGCTTGTACAGGTTCTCTCTACGCAATTTACTTCCATACTGGGTCAGGTCTTTTTCAATGTGATGTGGGGGCGGAGTTCAGATGACGGCAGTCGAGTGTTCATGTTTTGTGACAATTAACTTTCTTTCCTATGCACATGATGAGCTGGAGATCAGCATCGCTGACTTCAGTGTGTGGCTTCTCCTGACACAAGCTGGGCTCTATATTTGGCCTGTTTCCTCATCAGACATTGGGGATGACATATCTCACAATTGCATACCACATTCGCCTTGGAGCAGATTGCGGCATACAGACAGTTGGTGAAAGAATGAACTGACCTGCCTGGGCACACATGGAGCAGTGAGTATTAGAAAGACTTATTTATCTCTGAAGGTATAATGTGGTTGCTGATAACATGTGTTTTCTAGACAAACATTTGCAAAAATATATCTGACAGACTCCGCTGCCCTCTGGAACTTTTATGCAAACTCGGTCGAATCACTTTGCCTGAACGTTCATATAGGCATACTGAAGGAATGACAAGCCTTGGCTCAAAATTCCAAGCAACTGGTTAGCCGCCAGGTCCGTGATGGCACAGATGAGCAAAACCCATCTTTCACACCAGTGCTATACGCAGTTGCTAAACAAGGTAGGCTTAGTGCAATCACCAAAGGATATGATTACTCACTGGTAAAAGCTCAAGTGGACTACCTTGTTTCTCTATTCTGCAATGCAGACCACATGAATGTGACTCTTCATGGTTTGCAGAATGTGTTGAGCAGACTGCCCAGCTTGAGAAAGTCAAAATGCTGCCAGAAATTCTGGGTGAGATGTTCTATGTGCGTGAGAAAGAGAAACTGTTTGAAGAAGGTCTAATTGGTATGGTTTCCATTGAACCTGGATAGACCAGCATGCATAATGACCAATACCTCAGGCAAGCTATCTGCTATCCATGTGTCCAGAATGTCTCCGCCCCTGGACCCGTCTAGCATTGAACCTCAAAAGTTCGGTATGCGCCTTCACAAGATCATGTTCAATTTGTCACCTTTAGAGGGATGACAGATGATTTCGAAATCAGTTTCCATGTCAAAGACTTCGGAATTAATTTCAGACCCTAAATACCAAGGAACGCTAAACCGTATATGGCACGCATAGATTTATGATTGAATGCGTAATATGTCTTGTATGGTACGAAACGATTCGATGGCATTTTACTTGTAAAAAGGCGGTGCAGTCTATGGAACGAAATGTCTATACTTGTACATTACACATTTTCTTACGGGCAATTTATGGTTTTCAAGCTCGTGCTGACTACATGTTCAGTTTTCAGTAAAGAAACAGTACGAGTATTCTATGCAACCAAGGATCAAAGCTTTTTCATTCTTCTATAAGCAGTATCAACAAAAGCAAACACATTCTTTTAAGGATTGAAAGCCCTCGGCCAGGGTAGTCACGAGTGTTGGAGGTTCGAAGGGATTCAGTTGGAATGTCCCGTCTTAGGAACAGAATCCGGACTGGGCAGAACACCGGCATTCTCATACGACCGGAACGTACTAAGCCACGCTTCATACGTATCATCAATACGATCCCACCCAAGCCTCCTCGCCTTCACCGCAGTACTCATAAACGGCGCCCCCGGCGTTCTCGGACAGAACAGCCAATTCATCATCGCAAACCCATGCATCTGGAACGATTCAGAATTACCACCATACTTCCCCACAATACCTTCCCAAACAACCCTCTTGTCCTGAGCCCACTCGACCAGTTCCATCTGGGGCTTTCCGTCGTCGCTGGGGGCTTCGGATCCGTCCATCGGAACGTGGTAGTACTGCGCAAACATGGTCCAGAGGAACCGCCATACTATCGCGTCACCATTAGAGTGGTTGAATGCTTCGTCTTTGCAGTGGTCTTGCGTTGTAGCCCAGACGGTTAGATCGGCGATGCTGGGGGCGTAGCATTGGTCATCGACTCGATGGTAGCCATTGATATTTCCGGGCCATTTTGGGCTTTGGCCTAGTTCACGGCAGATGAGGAAGTATTGGGCGATTGGGAGGGCTTCGTTTATGCCGGAGACTGAGGGTAGAGTAAGCATGTTGCGAGGTTTTCGGAAGGGGGTTCTTACACTGTGGGGCGAATCCGATAATGCCGAAAGGCCGAATGATGTTGTAGTGCCAGGTGTTGCGACGTTTCTGAATTTCGAAGAGATTATCCTCTTGTTGATAATAGAAGATGGTTTCGCTTCCCGGGCCGTCGTATCGTGGACTATCCTCATGACAAGGCGTGTTGAAGTTCTGGAATTGAACTCCATAATGCTACTCCAAGTTAGATACCATCTTGAGGGAGGCGAAGAGGGAAATACCTTTCCTCCAGTCTGCAAGCACACGCGTTGAAGCTTCGGACACGTTACATCAATTGCTTCCAGAAAGTTGCGGAAGAGCGGATTGTTCTTTTCAGGAAGCTTGCTGAGGTCACTGTTGTGAACGTACGAGGTGAAGTATGCATGGGTAACATCCTTGCACGCAGCGTTCATCTTCTCCACAATCACTTCTTGAGAGTCTAGGAAGTCGATACCGATGAAGGTAACTCGAGGATCAACCCAGTAGTTGCTTGGCAGCTTGCGCGAAGTGATGAAGATTCGGGACCTGCTCGATTGTCAGACACTGTCACCAGTCACGTATGGTATGTTAGGCCCCATGGGGCAATACGCACCACTCAGACTTGGGCGTCCGAATCAGATGTTCGACAATAGCATGGCCACTGATGCCGTTGACACCGGTGACAAATGCAACCCTACTCGAGGGCGGTGCACAGATGGAATTGCTCATCTTGCAAGTGCTACTGTGAGGATGTAGATTGTTGAATTAGGCAGAGGTGTTGCTGCTGTTCTCTTCTGATACTTGAAAGTCAAGGGCTCTCACAACCCATTTTATCCTCCCATGTTGACCCAGGTCATCAATTCAAGCCGGCATCATTCGGCCCTAACGATCACCGATCGCCAAATAAAACATACCCATCGAGCAGCGCAAATACGGCCCCTCTCGCTGCTTCGGACTCTAACTCCCACCGTCCTGGTAGGCAGTACGAAGTACTAGTTGGTATGCAGCACGAGCCCTCATCGGCCACATCGGAGCTTATTGTGTCCCGTGCCAAGAATCACATCTAAATCAATCGCAAGAGCGATTTCCTCTTCCGGCCAGGCGGTGATACTTGACGTCGGAGGGGTTTTCCAAACCTGTCTAGCTCCCGGCTCGGCAGGCGGGGCCTGGGCCATTTCAGGGCGGAATTTTTACGGAATTCGAACGGAATTGTTCTATGCATAAATGTTGTTGTGCATAGCAGCATAGTTTGCGTAGCATTTTGTCTGAACGCCGGCCCGGAAACTCAATATCTACGACATTAGTTTGGGCGGTATTTAGGGTTACGGTAAAACGGGGTTGTGGGGGTTCAAAGCCGCGAAGGGGGCTTTCCTCGCGTATCGCGTGTTCTAACATGTTATTTGACTCTGTAGTTAAGAATGATGTTAATGAAAAGTGAAGTCACCGCATATGCTCGACCAGCTACCAATTCTTTGCGACTACTATACAGAAGAAATCAAAACTCACTCCAGGGAGAAAGGAAAATGAGACAATCCGCATCAAAAACACCATCTCAACGAGACCGGAATATCGGCCAAGTCATCTTAAACCGAGCAGATGAGCGAGCTCGCCAACCTAAAAATGAGCATACAAATATCTCAAAGGCTCCAAATGCAGCTATCCAGCTTGATATAATGAGAACCTACATTGGAGACATCAGTTTCGACGCCACCCAGCAAGATCTATCTGGTTTCATAAATGCATGCCACCTCGCCTTCGACGGCAGAGGTACATCTGGAATCAAGGAAAAAGCAGTGAACACGATCCTCGGGCAAGAAGCGCAGATGCTCCGTGTGAGGGGTGTTCTTGAGTACTTGGCGAGTGAGGGGTTGATTGCATATGCTTTCGACCCTGAGACTGCTGATAATATGGTTAAGGATGAGGGGATCGATGTGAATGATTTGGCGGTCAAATTCAAGGACGTTACTGAGGCTATGAGATTGACGAGTCCGTATTCGAAGGGTTGTTTCAATGCTTCCTTTCCATATTCTTGGTACTGGTTGATTTACACGATAGCGTGTGATCGGTTTTTGCGTCCGGGTGTTTTTGATCTGGATGGGATTTCGGATGTCGTTCAGCAGCATTTGAATGATACGGCTTTACAGTGGTTCATTGTTCTAGTTAACATTGTTGCCATGGCTTACTCTGTATTATTTGCTCTTGATGGAGGAATCGAATATATCGATATTTGTTTTCGCCCATGATTATGTACAATCGTAATGAATGACAACCAAATCTATTACGCCTGGCTCCTCTATATGTGTAGTGGCCGGAAACTTCTATAACGAACACAAGACAGAATGCAACATGTTGCTTATGCTTTTGACCTGGACGACTTCACCTTCCCACCTCTTCTGACCTCTTTCTCGAGTTCGTCCAAAGCGGCGCCGTACCGCGACTTGGCATCGGCCATATCGTCGAGCTTCATGTTCACCCGTTCGACCTTGGAAGCCCTGGTGATCTTTCCATCAGAACCTCGGGCAATCTCGTTTGTGAACCATCTGCCTTCTCTGTGTGCGAAGAGTGTCCATGCCGATCCTTCCTTGTGAGCACGGGCGGTACGTCCGACACGGTGGACGTAGGTCGTGATGCTAGGAGGAACGTCGTAGTTGACAACGTGGGTCAATGATGGCAGGTCAAGACCACGCGAGGCACGATCGGTTGCGACAATAACGGAGATCTTGCCCTGGCGGAAGGCAGTGAGGGTCTTGCGGGATGCGGATGACTTGTTCGATTTGATGATAGTTCCCACCTGGCTAGTAAGAGAAGGATCGAGTAGACCAAGCAAGCGAGAAAGCCGAGATGCTGATTCAGAGGACTTGGTGAAGATAAGAACTGTCGTGCGCGAGGGGTCGGATTTCGGTGTGGCCTTGGCAGGTTCTTTTTCAGAGTCAGAGTCCGATTCAGATTCAGATTCTGATTCTGACGATGAAGTCGCTTCTGAGGACTCAGATTCGAAATCGGATTCCTCAGAGGAAGACTCATCAGAGCTGCTCTCGTCGGAGCTGGTATCATCAGAACTAGTGCCATCAGAACTGGCGTCATCATCGGAACTGGTGTCATCGTCAGAACTGGTGTCATCTGCCTGCACAGCGCGGGCAGATCTTGTGCTTGAACCAAGACCACCAAGACCAATACGAGAACGCAAGAGGCGCAAAAGATAAAGTGGTTTCTGCGCACCATCCCCAACCGAGATAAAGTACTCCTTGAGTGTCGATGGCAGAGTAAACTGGTCATCTGTAAGAGCCACGTCCTCATCGTCCGCGGCACGGTCAGCTGATCCAATGACAGCCAACTTAGGGTTGGTCAAGCGCAATGAGTTCAGCTTCGAGATATCCCTGGTCATTGTGGCACTAAGAACGACCTTCCTGGGATCCTTGTTCTCGATAGGAAGTCCAAGATCCGACATGAGTCTTCCACTGAATCCGAAAGTATCCGGAGACTTTCTCGCATCCAAAGAATTCATCACAACATCGACCCATTCCTGGAAGCTTTCATTCAGTAATCGATCGGCTTCGTCAATGACTAGCCATTGAAGATGTTTCAGAGTAAAGCCCTTTGTATAGCGAAGATGGTCGACAAGACGACCCGGCGTACAAATAAGAATGTCGACGTTGGGTTCGGGTTTGTGCAGATAACCGGGTAAAGACTCGTTGAGATCTGCTGCTTCGGAGATATAATCCTGCATGTTGAAATCCGCCCAATCGTCTGCAGTGAATCTGAATTGCTGTCGTGACTTGAAAGACTCAGGACCATAGACTTGATCCACGCGCATCAATAGCTGCTGCTCGTCTTTGATGGCGACATTTCCCACCGCTGACCCAATCTGTAAGCCGGAACCCGCGGTGCATAGCTCAGTAGCCTCTCTGGCTTGCTTTACCAGTTCTCGAGTAGGGACAACGATAAGTCCTCTCAATCTTGGAGCAGGAATATGTTCCAAATTGGTCACCAGCGGAAGGACATAGGACAACGTCTTTCCGGAACCAGTCGCGGCCGAAATACACAGGTCACCCGAGTGCTCCTTGGGTCCAGGTAGAAGCAACGGAATAACAGTAGATTGCACTGCAAATGCTTCTTCGTATCCGTGCTCTTCAAGAATGCGTAAGAGATCGGGTTTGATGCCAAGGTCGGAGAACTTCGCTTTCGCGTCCGATGAAGTTCGAAGAGGATTTGCCAGCCAATTAGGAAGAATTGAATAAGTCGGTAATTCCTCTTCTTCAAGCGTGGCCTCTGGCTGGGGCAATGGCTCCAGACCTTGTGCCACTACAGGTTCTGCTGTTGTCACTTCCGGTTTTGATTCCTCCGTTCCCTTCTTTGCCTTTGCTACTTCTTTCACCTTTGCGGATCTCTCGAATTTGGATAGAACACTGGAGTATTTGTTTTTCTGAGCTTGCGGTGTGTCGTCCTCTCCATCGTTGGCGGCATCGGCTTTCTCAGATTCTCCGGTCTCCTCTTCTATATCTCCAGCGACCTCATCCCCCTCATTATGCCCCTTGGAAGTTCGTCGCTTTGAACTCTTCGACTTCTTCTTGGTGTCAGACTTGTTGTCACCTGGGCTTGGAGAACCCTCTTCGCTGCTCCTCTCCGGGACAGCACTTTCTTTCCGGGTCGCATTCCCTTGATCATCGGTCTTGTTTTCGGATTTGCGCTCCTTCTTCGATCGCTTTTTCTTATGAGAGTCTGGGGACGAAAGGGGGCTCTTGTCTTTCTTGGACTTCTTGATCGGCGTGGATGTCGAGCTATCGATGGCGGTGCCATCTAGGTCTCTCTTTCTCTTATGCGATTTCTTTGCGCTTTGTGGTGTATTCGACTCATTCGTAGAAAGGTCATGACGTATAGATCGGTCCTTTGCCATTTTCAAGGATATCGACCAGTTCGAGGGGTCTGTAGAGGGGATTTGGTGCTGCGTCGTTGAGAAAAACCATCCGAATAATTTCTTCCAGCGGGGACAATTTCCCGACGCCGATAATTGGCTGCTGGCAGAATGGCCACACCGCCCTCTGGTCCGCCTGGGTCTGGACTTCCCCGGAGGACAACATTCGATGCGCATACAAGCTCCATTAAGCCCCTGGACATATGAGAGTGGCAGGAGTTTGCGCAATGGGAAGAGCGGATAGGAATATTATACAGATGCTTCTTAGAGCTTTCTTGAGCGAAAACTACAGCCAAAATGCCGTATAACATTGCGTGAGTTCTGTCGCATTCAAGCTCTGGAGTATGAGTGCTAATTCAATTGGCGCAGTATGGTTAGCGATTTCTTCTTCCCTCAACCAGGTCCGTTTCTGCTATCGATGTGGTATTCTTGGGGGCATTGCTGAGACTATAACAGGGGGAGTTGAAAGTCACATCTACCAGCTGTCGACCGTAAGCATACCGGACGGTTTTATTTCGGACGAGTCTAATACTCATCGCGTTTCAGAAACTCATCGATCGCGGGCATAAAGTCATCATCATCACCCATGCGTACAAAGGACGGACCGGAGTTCGATATCTCACCAATGGCCTCAAAGTCTACCACGTTCCATTCTTTGTCATATACCGCGAATCGGCGATGCCCACGGTGTTCTCCTTTTTCCCTATATTCCGGAATATCGTCATTCGCGAACAGATTCAGATTGTTCATGGGCACGCTAGTCTGAGCTGCTTCTGTCATGAAGCTATTCTACATGCGCGGACCATGGCGTTGCGAACAGTGTTTACAGACCATTCTCTGTTTGGATTTGCCGATGCGGGATCGATCCTTACGAACAAGCTCCTTAAGTTTACTTTGAGTGATGTTGACCATGTAATATGCGTCAGTCACACATGGTAAGTCCAACCACGAGCCGATTGTGACAACTGCTAACTTACCGGTCTTAGCAAGGAAAACACCGTACTCCGAGCCTCCCTAGACCCCCTCATGGTTTCCGTAATACCAAACGCAGTGGTTGCAGAGAACTTCTGTCCGTTAGCATACGCACCTCGCCTAAACGATCGAGAGCACGGGCCATTATCAGAGTTACGACCGCAGCCGAAACCAATTGGACCAAACGATACCATCACGATCGTGGTGATTTCGCGTCTTTTCTACAACAAAGGAACAGACCTCCTGATCGCCGCTATCCCGCGTATTCTTGCTTCCCATCCAAATGTGCGCTTTATCATTGCAGGATCGGGGCCCAAGGCAATCGACCTGGAACAAATGCTGGAAAGGAATGTACTTCAGGATAAAGTGGAAATGCTGGGCTCCGTACGACACGAGGAAGTTCGCGATGTCATGGTCCGTGGTCACATATACCTCCATCCCAGCTTAACGGAAGCTTTTGGTACTGTGATTGTGGAGGCGGCTAGCTGTGGATTATACGTGGTGTGTACGCGTGTCGGTGGTATTCCCGAAGTGCTTCCCCAGCACATGACGACCTTTGCGAAGCCAGAAGAGGACGATTTGGTTATGGCGACTGGAAAGGCGATCGGGGCATTGCGCTCCAATAAGGTACGCACGGATCGATTCCACGACCAAGTGAAAATGATGTACTCCTGGACCGACGTCGCACGGCGGACGGAGCGAGTCTATGGAGGCATCTGCGGGGACATCAGTCCAGAAGAGTTTTACGGCTACTATCCCGGGCAAGGCTGGGAAGCTAGTGGGGATAGAGTACGAAGTTTTGCCTTGATCGATCGACTTAAGCGATATTATGGCTGTGGAGTATGGGCAGGCAAGCTATTCTGTCTGTGCGTTGTCATCGATTTTCTTCTTTACGTCTTCCTTGAAATGTGGTTTCCGCGGGCGAATATCGACATTGCTCGCAGTTGGCCAAAGAAGCTGAACCAGCAAGAAGAGAAACTTAAGGCTCGGACCAATCGTGATCCTGAAACCACTTCTTGAACAGTTTACTTGGTGGGATATTGTTCTAATGCTTTTGATAATTCGCTCATATTAATATACAACAACCGTGATACCCATGCTAATCATACATGAATCGTTACTAAAAGAAAAATGAAAACAAGTTTTCACAAATGCCAACACCAACAGTCTCCACTTTAACTCCGTTTCGTGCTGGGCTCATACTTCCACTCCGAAGCCAGCATCTAAGCCGACTCAGGCTGGACATTCTCTGCGCCAAGGGCACCCTTGTCACCACGCTGGCCACCATGGGCCTGATCGCGCTCCAGACCCCGCTGGCCAGGGATATAACGCTCAAAGCCAGGCTCTCTGCTAGCACCAACACCCTCGAGACCACCACCAACGTGCTTACGGTGGCTTTGACCATCATGTCTAAGCTCGCTGCTGGTCATTCCAGAAACCGGGTGGCCGATACCGGTGTAGACATCCTGCGATGTAGCCCCCTGCAGAGTATCCGCTGCAGAGGTCTTGACGGACTCCTTGCCGTGGCCGCGCTCGACGCTGGGGTTATTTGCCTGGCTGCCGGGCTCGTTGATGGTGTTAGGGGTGAAGGAGTTGCTGGCGGGGGCGGTGCCGGGGGGGTGTGTTTCGGCGTGGAATTCGGGGGCGTAGTCGCCGGGGGTTGCCTTGACGCCGGGTTTGTGCTGGTTGTCTGTTAGTATTGGGTTAAATATGAATGAAGGATGTTTGACTTACACCACCGTGCTCCTGGGGGGCGTTGGTAGGCTGGACACTGGGCTTGAACTCGCCCTGCTTGGGGGTAGCAATCGAGTTGATGTTGTTGAGTTCACTCATGATGGTTGTAGTCGTGATAAAGAAATGTATAAAAAAGGATGTAAGAGTAGAGTTAAGATATGTTTCTGGGTATCAAAGAAATTGAATGATTCTGCTATGCTATTCTCCGAGGCGACTCGTACCCTACTTTATAATGCCATTTGCTGGATCTCCCAATCCGACATCTTGGCAGGGTTTGGGTGGATGACGTCAGGTTGAGCGGCGTTGACTTCATAGTCCTCTCACGCTCCACCAAACCAGTACCACTTACCAGCACAAATACTGGGAATATATGGACCATGACGTTAAGAGTTGTTTCACTGGATTCTGGTTGAGACCTGCCAGGAACAGTAACCGGCCTGTTCTGTGCTATGGTGCCAATGTCCAGGGGAGAGTCAGGAAAATGTTGTCATTGTACTCCATAGGAATCTCGAGAAAGATGGAGAATATTCTATCAAATTCAATTCGGTGTAGCTAGGTATCATTAGGGTATGTCAGCTTCTCCTGTTTCCGTTCCGTCTGCGCCTGAAACGATCCGATCCAAAGTCCAAACAAGGTATCGCGGAGAATTAGAGTGTTCTGGCCGATTGGCCATTTCAGCGACCATTTTCGGGTTTATGCTGTCTCGTGTTGTGTTGTGTTGTGTTGTGTTTGTGTGCGTGCTTATGCTGTCCATCACTTCATTACCGGTGGCCTCCCTTCCTTATTCCACTTCACCCGACTCTGTACCCATTCCACCGCTTCCTGAACACCACTCCCCATCAATGCGCTCACAGGAAGCACGCGACTATCTCGCACATCGGCCCCCTTCTCCCCCTCAAACACCTTCCGAACAAACCCCTCCTTAATGCGCACAACCTCCACACAATCCTCCCGGTCCTGCTTATTCGCCAAAACCAATATCGGCACCCCCGCGACATCAGAATGCTGCAACACCGACTCCAAAACCTCCCGGCACTCTTCTAACCGCCCAAAGTCGCTCCCGGGCGCATTAATCCCCACCATCTGCTCGGTGAATTGCTGCATAGCCTCAGACGAACTAGGCCGTCGTCCCGTAGAAAACAGTCGAGCGATATCCGGATCCTGTCCGACGTCTGCACTATCTACCACGAAGATGATCGCGTGACAGCTGGTGTAGTAGCTCTGCCAAAGTCCGCGCATGGATATTTGTCCCCCCACGTCCCAGATCTTCAGGTACATGTCCGGTAACGAAATGTTTGCGACATTCTGGCCGACGGTCGGGACGGTTTTGCCGGGGTTGGGGGCGGGGGCGCCGTCGGGACGGGGTTGGTAGAGGGACTTTATTTGTGAGAGGAGGGTGGTTTTACCGGCGTTGTCGAGGCCGAGGAGAAGGACGGAGTATTCTGGTCGCATTAGTATAATCCCACATATAATGATTCAAGGGCGCATACCCTCTTTGCTCGTGGCGTAGAGATACAGCGATTTAGCCAGATGGTACATAGTTGCGACGATGCGCGGAGACGCTGCGGAGTCCAGGCCAACTCCGTGGTCGAGATTCCAATCAGAACAGGCAGGAAATGGGACAAAAGAGGAGAATCATGGCATCGCGGATGCTTTGATTCTCCTGGAGTATCCGTATTTTCTCCTTTTTATTCGAACTCTTGGTATCTCTCCTTATCCAACGATTGTATCTCCTGTCAGCGACTTTCTTGGCCGATCCGCATCCTTGGCCCACGCGTCAGCCGCTTTCGGATTAGGAAATCAGGGCATGGGGCTGGGAGTGGAGTACCCTATGCCCTATTTCTGTATTGAGAATCACGGCGTGGCGAGCTGAAGGCGAGCTGAAGGCGAGCTGAAGACGTTGACAGAAGCTCAATTCACATCCTACATCCTACATCCTACAGAGATTATGGATTCAAACATGTCTGCTTTACCAGCTATATCACAATATAGCACAAGACCGCCTGGTGTCTGGATGATGCTACGCCTAACCAGGTCAACCAATTCCGGCTTTGGAATGGTTCCAGACCTGCTTCTCCCCACCCTACGATGCTCATTATTCGGGGTTTTTTAACGCATCCAAAGGATCCCGCTAGCATTCGCCTCCATTCAATTCCCTTGCTCTACTATCATTCGTCCATTCACGGCGCTGTTGCTTGACTAAGAAATCTCCAATTTGTCAGCCGGTTCTTCCGACGTTCGCGGAAATCCGACCATCTTTTCTCCTCTTTCCCGGCTGGCGACGTTGAAATATTTTTCTCATTTCCCCTTGCGGCCCTTGAGAATTAACCTTGGTTGAAGGCTGGGCTCTCGATGGCCGTTGTCATTGTTCCTCCTTCTGGAGAAGGTAGTATCGTGTGATTGTTTTTCTTTGGCTCAGATAAGCTCGCCTACCAGTGGTCGCATGTCTCGGACAGAATGTAATGGGCGGCCGGAGGCTCACAATCTGCCTTTAATGGAGGTTGACACCGTCATTGTGGGTACGTTGAGTATACCATACTACCACCAATAATGCACCTTGTTAACGCCGAGATTTGACAGGGAATGGGCCCGCGGCCATGATTCTGTCTTACATCCTCCATGGACACATCCCGCATTACTCTGCCAATCCCCCGCATCCAGACCCTCTACTCCATGCGAAACTACAGGATGCATCCCCGTTACTTGACCTCGATGTCGATACCCTGACCGAACACTTTGCGGCATCGCGACTTTCCTACTCTACCCAGGCACTTCCGGTTAATGTCCTGCTCGACACCCTTATCCGTCCTAGCGTCGACGTGGAAGACGCGGAGTGTACTACAAACGTTGAATGGAGGACTGTGCCTGAAAAGGCCGTTTCGCACTTGGTTATTGGCAATGCGCCGCAGGCAGGTGGTCAGTGGGTGGACAACCCCATGCCTGCGAGCTGGGATATTCAGACCTTGAGCTATGCGGCTATGTTGTCGCTGCCAGTGTACTGTTATGCGCGACACTATTGCAAAGTGACTGGGAAAGAACTACCTGCGTTTACTCGCCCGACGCGACGTGAGATTACGGAGTATCTACGCGAATATCCAAAGGCCGTTGGAATCGACGATGTTTTCCGATTCCATGAAACAGTGTCCGGCATCTCCAGAACAGCGGACGGGTTTTACATCGCGTCGCATAATGTTCGTTGCAAGCACTTGGTTTTGGCTAGTGGCATCTTTTCGGAAGTGATACAGCCTCTTCCGATGTTAAATGCGTTAGTACCGCTTGAACCAGTTCCTGAGATACCGCTTCTTGTCGTCGGGTCTGGATTTTCCGCGGCGGACGTGATTATTTCAGCACCGAAAGATCAGAAGATTCTTCATGTATTCAAATGGGATCCAGAAAACCGACCATCACCACTGCGCGGCTGCCATCAACACGCATATCCTGAATACGCTGGTGTCTACCGGTTAATGCGACGGGCCGCGGTCGCTGCATCACCGACTGCAAAGCGACCTCGAAACAAACGAGTAACCTCAAGCTCCTTCCTCGAGAGCCGATCTCGGGACGAAGTCTATGAAGGACAACCCAATGCTGAAATCACCGCGGTCGACATGCATAATGATCACGCCACGGTGACCTTCCGTCGGTCAGATGGCGAGACATTCACCCGTCAGGTGCGCGGCCTGGTCTATGCTACTGGTCGACGGGGTACTTTGAACTATCTCGACCCTGGTCTTCTCTCCGAAGTACTTGAGCTCAATGGCAGGACTGAAAAAGATCCCGTCATCTCGAGCCAGTCGCTACGCGCCAAAGCCTTTGAAAACTTAGAAGTCGCGCGCGATGTATATATCATCGGCAGTTTAACCGGTGACTCACTCATCCGCTTCGCCTACGGAGGCTGCGTACAGACAGCAGGTCGATTAATCGGGGCGTCCACCGGAGAAAGCGAAGACGCAAGAACACCCAATGGCTCAGTGTCCTCCAGGCCGAGAACAGCGTTTCCAGTCATGAATGGTATTGACGGACACCACATTTATCCTCATGAACATCGTCCTACGTCCTTGGAAAAGGACAGCAATTACTACTCGGTCTCCACCGTAGCTGAGAACGTCGGTCTCGGTGGGTGGTGGAGGTCGTTAATGCGATTATGGGGATGAGAGTCACTTGTATATGAAGTTAGAATTAATTGTACAAATATGCATGCAATGGAACCGAATTTCTAGAATGGTTGCAAGTCAGCCCAATGACACTTGCTACATTGGGCGAGGTGATGATATCACTGGGGAAGTATATATTGAAGGGGACCTCTCCAGAGCATATCGTCAATTCTCGCCCACACACATAAAAATGGTAAACCAAACCCTCCCCTTCACATGCGCCCTAGTGACCGGCGGCGGCGGCATTGGTAAGGCATTGGCGCCATACCTAACCTCAAAAAGGAATCAAAAGTCCTCATCGCCGGCCGCACCGAATCCAAAACTCCAAAACGCCGTCCAAGAAACAGGCGCAGCGGGCTACTACACTCTGGAGATGGGGACCGGATTAGGATGGTTGAGATTGCGCCGCCGGGCGTGGAGAGCGATTTACATCGTGAGCGCGGGGATCCGGATGGTAATAAGAAGAGTAGGAATAAGGGTGTGCTTGGTATGGAGGAGTTTATGGGGAAGGTTGAGCGGAAGTTGGAGGGTGGAGAGGAGGTTGTTACGGCTGGGATGGGGAATAAGGTGGTAAGTAAGTGGTATGGGGTTTATGGAGAGATGTATGAGAAGGCTGAGAGGTGAGCATGTTCATACACTACAAGTTTGTATATACCTGGGTCAAAGCAGCATGTAAACCATTGAAATGTCTAAAATACATCTTCCCAAGACCTAAAGCTTTGCCGCCCACTTCTCATCCCCCCCAATAAATCGAAACACCACCCTCGAATCCCGATCATAACAATCCTCATCCTTCGACGCCCCCTCATACGTCCTCAACCCCTGCTCCCCAAGCTCCAATCTAGCCCCCACACTCTCCGCCAAACTAACCGCCAGCGAGAAATCCTTCTTCATCAACTGCACCTTAAACCCCCCCTCATACCCATGACTACTCGGCGCATCTGCAACAACCCCAGGACACGGGTTAAACTTGTCACAGATGGCATTCTGCGCAGTTCCCGCGGTAAATACATTCGAGAGCACGCGCGGGTCTAATCCAGACCGGATCCCCATGTTCAGTGCCTCGGCGCTGCCTATCGCGATTAGGCCTGAGAGGTAGTTATTGCATAACTTCGCCGCGAGACCGAGCGAGGGTGCGCCGCAGGGGATGATCTGCTTTCCCATGAGTGAGAGGAGGCGGGTTAGGGTTTGCAGCTGGGGATCGGTCTCTGCGCAGCCGAGGAAGAATGCGATTGTGGCTTTTGCGGCGCCGAGCGTGCCCCCGCTGACGGGGGCGTCGTAGAAGGATGCGTTTGGGTGGGTTTGTGCGAGGTGTTGCTTTACCAGCAGGTTTGTGGCGAGGTCGATAGTCGAGCAGTCTATGAGGACTCGGCCTGCTAGGTCCACTGTAGTAACACCGGTTTTCTCGTCTAGATAGACGGATTTGACATGTGCGCCTTCGGGGACCATTGAGAGGATGTATTTCTGTCTTGTCAGTAATCGTTCACCCGTTTTATCAAGCATGAAGGCGCGGGCGTACCACATTCTCAGCGACATCCCTCGGCGAACTTGAGGCAACGACTTTACCAGGATACTTCCTCTCAAGCTCCTCGACAGGTGCTCTAGAGATATCATAGACGTGGATGCGCGCATTGTCTGGGAGCCTGGCCGCGAGTTGCTCGGCCATGTGCTTGCCCATGGCGCCGAGGCCGATGAAGCCGATTTGGTTGAAGTCTGATGTTGCCATGTTGTGTCTGTATTGTTTTTGTTGGATACATAGTGTTTATGAGTATGGCGTATTGTATATAAAGCGCAGTATGCGGGGGTTCACTCTGGCATTGATTGGGGTTGGGGTTGGGGCTTGGATTGGGGAAGTCTGGGGAAGTTTGGGGACGTATGGAAATTGAAGTTGGTGGCAATTTTCTCTATTGTACAGCTATGTGCATTCTATATCTATCAAGATAGTTACTCAATCCCCACCCTTCTCAGCACAATGATCAACCGCCTCCAACAAATGCGGCACAAATACCGCCGGATCCTCCGTAGCCGGGAAATGACCCAGCTTTGGCATTCGCTTGAACCTCGCCCCGGCAATCTTATTAGCCGTGTTCTCCGACATCTCAGGCGTGTTACTCCAGTCGTACTCGCCGGCGAGGAAGTAAATTGGGCATTTCTTTGTGTTGATGGTTTCGACTCTGCCGCGGCCGTCCCAGCCGTTGAAATAGAAGTCTAGGTCGCCGTGGTATACGCCGTAGGCTTGCGCGCTGTAGGTGTGCCAGAGGAGTTGCCGGTTTTCGTGGGGGGCTGTTGGACACATCATCTGGGTTTGTTAGTGGTGCAAATTGAGATGGTTGTAGGGGGGGGGGCATACTCCGTAGACCCATTCCGGGTTGAAAGTGGCGCTGTTGATGAGAGGGGACTTGTCGTGCCACTCACGGTTCATCTCAACGCGCTCGCATCTAAAGCAAGCACTGGTCAGTCTCGGCCTAGTTGGAAAGAACACGTACTCACCCCTGCAGTGGAATAGAACCACCAATCCCAACCTCCTCCGCACGAATAGCAGCAGCAATACACGCCTGCCCGGCCATCGACGCACCACACAAAATAGGATCTTTCAACCCCAACTCCCTAATCATCCCCGCAATACAGCCAAGATACGCATCCTCGCTATTCGTATGCCCACCAGCCGGATACTCCAGACTCGGAAAACTCCTCCCATGCGAAGGCAAATCAAACGCATACATCGTACACCGAGCCCTCATCCTTGCATCATTCATGACCCCGTGGTACTGCCGACTATCAGACCCCGCCGTGTGCAGGAAGACGATCTCACACGGGCCCGTGCCGCTGCTCTCGTAGAAGATCTTACACCGGCCCCAGCCTTTGCTCTGCACGAAGATGTACCGGCCTGTCAGGTAGTCTTCTTCCTGTTCGGGCTGGGCAGAGACATCGTTAGGCCCGCAGTAAGTGTCGTGCAGGACATCCAGCATTGTGCGCCAGATATGCGCATAGTTAGCAAACGCGAGTTGGTCGCCGATCACTGCAACGCTGTCCTGGCGGATGTTCTGTCCGTAAAGAGCCCAGAAACTCTGGTACGGTATGGCTGGGTTCTTCTTGAATAAGTTCTCCCATTGCGTTGGCAGCGCGGCGAGGGAGAACAGGGCATCTGTGTAGGGGCCCACGCGGGCACTTCCTGTGCTTTGGTTGAAGGTGAAGATGATAGCGTCGTCGCTGCCGACGGATTTTATGGCGAAGGATATCGGGATTGAGATATGGGTGGTGTTTGTGAATGCGAGGAACTGGGGGTTTTGGGTCACGGCGCGGTTGAACTCTGGGATGATGCTGCCCAGTTGCGTGGGGAGATTGTACCAGGGGTGTTCGGACATGGTGTTTATTCAATTGGAAGGGGATAGTTGGTTTTTCATGGGTCAATATGGCAATGCATTCGTCTTAAATTCATCCATCACCGGTGAGCCCTTCCCCACATTCCCCATAGGCCGAGGAGGGGTGTTTGGGGTAAATGTACTGGGGATGGGGAAATGATGCGCTATAACATTGGCATTATTAATGATTTAATGGCGTACCTTTCTACTGGGGTTTAGCATTAGCCGGCTAAGTACCAAAGGGCTCCGCGAACCAGGTATATCTCACTCGTAGATATTGTTCGTTTCTCATTCATTTCTCATTCATTTCTCATTCGTTGGACTTCTGCTACTGCTTGACAACGTGGACTTGCACCATCAAGGTAACGAGCCCATACTGTCTCATGTGTTATAGTCAGCACCGTATTGACGGTTCGGTCCTCTCTGCCGCTCGAAATTGTACCAACATCTTCACCCTTCCTGGTCGTGACGGCGTCAGGAATAATTCGACCGGGCTATGTCCCATCCCCAGCCTGCTCACCAAGACCTCTCGGCTCCAGCAAATCCGCATACACAAACAACGCCCTACTAATCAAATTAACCGCATTCCACGTCTGCATACCCTCAAGAATCATCGCCCAAGCCCTCACTACCTTTGCCCCAAGCAACTGCGGTGCTCGGTCAATGAGATTAGGATTCCCTCTCGGGCTCGATGATTCCACCTCGCGGAGTGTTTCTTTGATTTCCATGCGCAGGTTTTGTTCGTCTGCTTCGAGAGGGTACTCCAGGTTTGTGTGTGTCGTGGCTTGGATGAATTGGTTGAGGACGTAGGCGTATTCTAGTGAGCATACGGCGTGCATTACTGACCAGCTGGGTGCGCGGCCGACGAAGTGGACGCCCATTTGGACTGGTGAGCATAGGGCTGCAGTCTGTATTTCTTAGAAAATATGGGCACGGGTGAGGAATGGGGATGCATACAGCATGTCTTGCAGCTATCAGTAGTAAAGAGCCTCTCTGTAATGTCGGTTGCTCATGCAATCGTTTAGCAATTTGGATATGATTCTGCTCCAGGAGTGAACGAGCCGGGCCAACATCAACCGCCAACCTGATATATGCCAGATGGAAGAGAGCCTCACATAGTGTAAATTAGAATCTGACGTATACTCTTAACTTCTCCAGGGTTAGTGGTATACTCACGGTTGAATTAAACGCAACTGGACCATGCTTATCTAGCGGGCTATATGAAGATTCCGGATTCTGTTCCCACGCACTTTGCCATTTGCGCAGAGCCCGCCGTAATGAAACAGACATCCCGGGAACCATTTGGTTTTCCATGCCCTGCAGTTGCATGGAGTGTTGGATAGAAATGATGCGTTGGAGCAAAGCATGAATCAAGACGTGCCCCCCGAGTGACGAACAAGCAGGCATAGCATCGATATCTTGTATCAACGCAGCGATGCAGTCGTTGAAAAGAGGTGGACGATTAGACCGCTCGTTCACTGCTAACCAACTATTAGAATCTGAGGCTTTCCACTCCATCTCCGAACATGGGAGTCTAAGCTTAATATCCGCGACCATTAGAGGTGAAGGCAGGTTGAATGTTATAGTATGAAGATCAAAGAAGCAGAAGACGATGAGTTTGGTGCGTCTGGCGCTCTCAGCTCGAGCCCACTCTTGCCATGTCATGGGTACCACGGGTGACTCGGAAAGGCCATGCTGGCGCACGAGCATTGATAACACACTCTGGGTGGCAATAGCATGTCTTACTAGAGAGCGATGTTCCCCGCCCCAGGTCGCCATGGCCATCAGGAAGAACAACGTCTGTATGGACTCTGTGAGCGCGTGGTTATCTTGAGTAATATCCAGTTCCTGGTCGTCGGTCGTCATCCCATGACGGTCATCTAGATGCGATCCAGATGATGAATGGGGCGTATTTGTTAAGTACTGGAGAGAATCAGATGGGGGATGTGCGACGCTTTCCCTATCGCTTTCCCGCTGTTGTATCTGCTCAAGAGCGATTACCCTGGCGAGATGAAACAGCTTCAGACCTTGATGTGATTCCAAGCAGTAGTGACTGCCGACAGCTGCAAGAGCCAGAACGAGCTCAGGTGCCATCTCCCTGAGCCGAAGAGTCTGCGGATGAAGAATTGGGAAATGGGGGTGAAAGCCATTCATGAACCCGTGCATATAGCGAGATATGGCATGTCTGGAAGGTAGTTCAGGGGATAACAACCGAGTCGAAGAAAACCGCGAAATCTGGGCATTGAGCCACTCCCAATCCTCTTGAGACACTCGGATGAATGGCGCCAAATGGACAGGAGAGCGGCCTGGGTCCGGAACCGAACCAGGCTGCGACTTTGGACGGAAGTCTCCAGCTGGTAGCTCTATGTTCAAATCAATCTGGTCCTGGCCAATCGGTTTCCTGGCTGCTGTAGTAGGCGATATAGACGGGGGATCTATAATCGAAAGCTCCGGGTAGAAGGGTTGTTGTTCAAAGAATGGAGGCAAGCAAACGCTATCCAGGTAATTAAGCCCAAACGATTGAGAATTGCTCTCGGGGTCCATAAAAGCCGGACCCGCTGCATTTAGATACGGCGATATCGAACTCAACCCTGGCTGGCCAAACACAGTGGGGGTTGAAAGTGCATCTCCTACAATGCTTGTACCGTGACCTGAGGCGCTTTCGGGGCCCACCCCGGCGCTCTGGATCCCTGATGAGGGACGTAAATTATCAGTCGACAGCCCGCGGTCATACGAGGGACCCTGTGTGTCATCTGTGGATGGTGCTGGGTTCCCGTCATTATCCGGAGATTCCTTGTTCGTATGGGCAAGTTTGACGTGGCGATTTAATAGATCCCTGGGGATGGTCAGGATATAAACTATTGCCCAGATCTAGATAAAGCATACCTTCGACGACATGAGTAGCGACAAAGGTCACAATGGAATGGCTTGAGGTTGTAATCTACCCTGTGTTAGCTATTGCGGGGAAGACGGATGTGAGGGGAGGCGGACGTATGCTTTCATGCCGCTGAAGGTGTTCGCGCCGATTGAAATGCCGTTGGCACGTGTCACATTTGAACTTCTTCTGGGATGACTGCGGCATGGTAAAAAAAAAAAAAAGAAGAAGAAGAAGAAGAAGAAGAAAATCACTTCGCATGAACGATGAGGAAGAGGAAAAGGGCCGCGATAGTGTTCCCTCGGGGAAATCGATTTTGGGGTACTTTCGGGACCGGCAATTGAGATACTACGGTAATCACAGACAGCAGTAACTATTCCCTCCCAAAACTATTACTATAGAGCACCAGGCAGATATCTCCCCCTCCGCTGAGCATCTTCAGTCCATTCACCATCATGCGCCAAAACAACTTCCACCTCACCCAAAGAAGTCTCCCCCCGTTCCAAACGGCCAATCCTCCGTACTGTCTCAAGCGCCTGTGCACGATCCGCATGGATGCAACAAACCCGACCAGTATCGTGAGGATCTGTCCATTCTGCAATATTCTTCTCTCCTGTTAATATCCGCCGATCATGACACGCATCGCCGGCAAGATAGACATATCGGTCTGCGCTGACATGGCATAGTAGATTGATGTGTCCGGGAAGATGACCGGGTGCATTGACGATAAATAGGCTTCCATCCGAGAATACGTCGATAGTATGGGGTAGCTCGTCCAGGGGCTCCCAGGTTCGTTCTTGTAAGCCATGGTCGTGGACTCTAGTAGAACGGCTGGTATCATTTCTTCCCGGCGCACAGAGCTCTATCGTTCGTTCATGTGGCAGCAATCCGCTTTCGAAGTTGCTGTGGCTTCCGTTGGACATGGTACTGTTTCCTGACAGGAGGTCCAATGACCCATTTCCAACGACAAATCGCGACTTGGGGAGGTCCCAGGGCATGCCAATATGATCCCAATGGACATGCGAAAGAATAACATAGTCAATGTCTCTGCTGGTCAGGTTTCCAAGAGCAAGCGAATGGATCACATCTGGAAAGCCTGATAGCGGCTGTCTGCTTGCGAGATGAGTCCGGATAAGGTCGTTGTATAGATCTGGGTCCCGGCGGATTCCCAGGTCAAACACCAGACGAGTCACCTTTCCGGAGGACTGGCATTGATGCTGAATCAAGAAGGATAGCGATGGCACTGTCTTTCTAGATTCCGAATAATTGTCCACTGGGTCGATGAAGAATTTCTCGGGGAGAGTTAGACTGCCAGCAGCGAGGGCATGGACTGTAACAGTATTTGGTCTGTCCATAATTGAAGGAAACACGTCGAGAGACTAGCGTGACTTATGAGAGACGGAGTACTGAAGAAACATTAAGCACTTTGACTACATATTTTGACAGGAATCTTGGGGTGTCTCCATCCGTTTGGAGGAGCACCGGCATATATTCACATTTTGGGGTAGTTGTCTACAATGTAAGAGTACACCTTATCCCCAATGTTCCCCGGACAGATTACAGCTTCGGACATGCTTATTGTACATAACTTCCATTACTGATAGACAATGCATTGAGCAGGTATCTAAAGATGAGGCTTATATTCGCCATTCTCCTTCATCTCCTTAATCGTCTTCTCCGTAATCTTCGTGGCTTCAATACCCGCCGGGGCCCCGCAATAGACCGTGGCCTGCAAAACCGCCTCGCTAATCTCCTTCTCCGTCAAGCCATTGTTGATAGCGCCGCGCGTGTGAACTGCTAGTTCAGGCCAGGCCTTGAGGGCAATCAGCATGCCGATATCTACAAAACGAGTCAGTGTGCTTGCTTCATGGCGACGGATTTCCTGATAGGGTTCTTACTCAAGAGACTCCGTTGCTTTCTTTCCAGGCCGGGTCTGGTCCAGATGTGACCCCAGCACCATTCGGTTATTAGTTCTTGGCCGGGACGGGCAAAGTCGCTGGATCCATTGGCTAGAGATCTCTCGACATATGCGTCGCCAACGACTGCTCTGCGGACTTTCAAGCCCTCTTCGAAGAGGGTTTCGTGGAGGGGCTTAAGTTCGGGTTTGTCGGCCATGATTTTGAAGCGGGGAGGGGAAGAAGAATGTAAAAATGGAGGGGCAGAAGATAACACTGGGGATTTGAAGGGGTTATTTACATCAGTGGCATGCCTCCCCGGTTCCCCAATGTTTCCCCAATGTTCCCCTCGGTACCCCGATGTTCCTCTCAGTACCCCAATGTCCACTGTTCCCCCAAGATTACAGCATCGGGATGGTAATGTTGATATGGTGATATAAATGAATTGTTCAAGAGAATCAGACGGTGTCTAGGTTCTCGTTCTGTAGAAGGAAAAACATCATTATTCACTATGTCATCACCAATCACGGTAAGTCCCTCCGGTATCAATCGCCACATAGGGCTGCTGACACGGAAGTATAGCTCAAGAATTCCTCGTTATTTCACAACCTTGCCTATTCACATGGAAAATGGATTGAAGCCCATTCAAAAGCACGCTTCGACGTCGATGGTAAGCTCAGATCACAATACTACAACGCAGAACAACAACTGACAACCCCACAGACCCCGGAACCGGAAAGGTCTTCACGACATGTCCCGACCTCGCAGCAGAGGACGTCGACCCCATCGTCCAATCCTCCCACGAGGCCTTCCAGACATACAAGACCGTAAACCCCAGAACGCGTGCCCAGCTACTACTCAAATGGCACCAGCTCATCCGGGATAACTGCGACGATATCGCCACCATCCTGACCCATGAGACCGGAAAACCCCTAAACGAGGCCTACGGCGAGATCGACTATGCCACTGGCTTTACTTGGTGGTTTTCTGCTGAGGCGGAGCGTATCCGCGGGGAAGTTAGCACGCCTGCTGCGCCGAACCGGAGGGTGTTGGTTATCAAGCAGCCCATTGGTGTTTGTGTGGCTCTTGTTCCGTGGAATTTTCCCATTGCGTGAGTGCTTTCAGTTTATCCGGTTGTATGCGGATGCTAATCGGTTGAAGGATGATTCTCCGGAAGGTAGGAGCTGCCCTCGCGGCGGGCTGTACGATGATCGCCAAACCGTCTCCCGAGACCCCTCTAACGACTCTGGCCCTGGCGTACCTGGCAGAACAGGCCGGGTTTCCCCCCGGTGTCTTCAATGTAATCACTACTTCGAACACAAACACACCCGCTCTCTCAGAGACTCTGTGTAAGCACCCGCTGGTCCACAAAGTCTCATTCACAGGCTCCACAGCGGTGGGCAGCATCATCGCGCGACACTGCGCCGAGGGTATCAAGAAAGTGACCCTAGAGCTAGGCGGCAACTGCCCCTTCATCATCTTCGATGATGCAAACCAGGAGCATGCACTCGCCCAGCTCACAGCGCTCAAGTGGCGACATGCCGGCCAGGCCTGTGTCACTGCTAACCGCGTCTACGTGCACGACAGAATCTACGAGCAGTTCCTGGCCAAACTTGTCGACCACGCTAAAACGATCAAGGTTGGGCATGGACTGGAGCAGTCGACTACCATGGGACCTCTGACTACTCCGCGTGGCGTCGACAAGGCCCGTCGTCAGATCGAGGATGCCGCCCAGCATGGAGCGAAGATTGCTCACGGAGGTAAGCCTCTGTCGGGCGCTGCGTTTGGTAACGGTTACTACTTCGAGCCGACGATCCTCCGCGATGTGGATTCCTCGATGCAAGTGACGCAGGAAGAAAGCTTTGCGCCCATTGCTGCGGTGTACAGGTTCAAGAGTGAAGATGAAGTCGTGCGGCTGGCTAATGATACCGACATGGGTCTTGCGAGCTACGTGTTTACCAGGGATGTGAATCGTTCATGGCGCATGCTGGAGAAATTGGAGGCGGGGATGATTGGGCTCAACACTGGGAACTCTTCTGCGGCGGAGTCGCCGTTTGGTGGGATGAAGATGTCTGGGTATGGGAAGGAGTCTGGGAAGGATGTGGCTGTTTCTGAGTATTTGGTGTCAAAGACATGTACCATGACTGTAGAGGGGGCGCTGCCTTAATCTTATACAGCATTCATGATAAGGGGTTGCCCAAGACGATGAGACGAAGTCCAAACAGAGATATCTGTGCTTGTAATCCTGGAACGTATACATTGTCCTTGAATAAAACTTAGCCTACATCAATTTTGGAAGCATTGCTAGCATACCAACTTGTATACAGGGAAATCACATATTTGTCCAAATGAATCCTTGTCGAAATCTAGCCCATAATTTGCAACTGGTCGTCCGGCGGCCACCGCACCTGCGCAAAGCTCAAACATCGCTTGATACTCTGTAGGTACTTGCGCGTAACCTCGTCACTGAGGATATGCGCTTGCTGGTCGCTCTGATGCAGTTTCTCTCGTGCTGATCGCTCGTGGATACCAACCATGGTAACACCAATGGGCCATGCACTGTTTATCAAAATAGTCAGAATCTGTCTTCAAGACATAAGGGTAAGAAACTTACGCCTTTCCAATACTCAACCGCAAATAAGCATCATTCGCATCGACGTATCTCCTTTGCTGAGCCTTGTGGACGATCTCCAGAATAGGTTCCAACATTTTATCATCCACATCGAACTTCTCCAGCTTTTTAAACAATGGCTTCAGGTTATCCCTCGATTGCGCCATAGCATTGTACGCCTGTCGACCCTGGAGACTTTGTCTGACAGTCAGATCCCGCTTCGCCAAAGCAATCTCCCACTCCGAAAGCACCATGTTGAAATACGACGCAAGTTGTCGGAACAAGAACTTCCGGCCCTCGTTTTCTTTGGGAATGGTCTGGGAGATCTTCATTTCGACCTCAGGAACCGGCTCCAGCGTCGTAGGAATCGGGCCATTGGACAGCTTCGGCTTTGGCGTAAGCGCGCGCTGGACTAGGCGGCGGTATCGTCGTAGACGAGAGTTATGCGATTCTCCAAATAAACAGACCGGTTCTTCCAGCTCGCGGAATTTCTGCGCAAGTTCTTCATCAGGAATATCACCCTCTTTCTCGCCCTCGCCCAATATCCCTTCTTCGCTTCCACTACCAGGCGGTGGTAATTCTGGCAAACCGAGCTTCTTCCTACGTTCTCGTTCCTTAACTGCTTCCTCCTCTTCCCTCTTTTTGCGTGACTCCTCTGCCAGTTTCTGCTTCTTCTGTTCTCGTTCGCGTCGCCGTTCGGCTTCTTCGTCGTCGGCCTTGCGCTTTAGTGACATGCGCTCTTCTCGTTCGCGACGGAGGCGTTCTTGTTCTTCATTGTAGGCGGCGATTCGGGCTGCTTCTTCTTCGCCGCGACGGGTGTATTTCTTTGCTGGTTGTTTGGATTGTTTTTCTGTCTCTTTCTGGGAGTCGGTGCCTTTGGCTTTGCCGATTTCTTTGGACATTAAAGCTGCGAAATCCATTTTGCTGTTATCGAGTCAATAGTTATAGAAAGAAATAAGATGAGTTAGTCCATGAATGATTTCTGGAGATACGGTAGTGGTTGAAAAGGTGAATGCTTGCGGCGGTGGAAGTCGAAGTCCGACAAAGCTCCGGATTTCTTCTCGTGACGAAGACACCTTCAACCTCAACCGTCAGCTCCAACCACGCCACACCACAATCCACCGTTATATCGAGTATACCAATTGACACAATCCTTCAACCCCGAATAAGCTGAAACAACAACCTCACAAAAAACCAAAATGGCCGCGCGAAACGCGCCCCAAATCGACCGCCAAACAACCACCCCCTTCCACCTCAAGCTCTTCTACCGCCTCAACAACTTCCATCACCTCGCCGACTTCTCCCTCTCCCCATCCCCCTCCACCTCTTCACCCTACGGCGGCCCCGTCAGCGGCCCCAATGCCATCCGCGCCCAGTCACCCCCCTCCGCAACCACCGCGCGCCTCCCGCCGCATCTCGAAATCTACACCTGGCAATCATGCACCCTGCGCGAGCTCAGCCAGCTGCTTACCTTGGCGCTGCCGTCGCTTCTTCCTGATCCGCCTGTGGGCACGAGGTTGTGCTTCCGGCTTATTTACCCCGATACGAAAGCAGCTGCGGCGATGGGGCCGGGGGCGGATGCGAGAGGGCGGTATTTGAGTAAGGATATTGGGAATGTGGTTATTGGGCCAAGGGATAGTCCGTTTCACAACGGGGAGGATGAGGAGGAGGATGCTGCTGCTGCTGCGCCGCCGCCGCGTGGTTTACGGTTACAAGGCAATGATACGGAGAGGACGTTGCAGGATGTGCGGTTTGTAATTGGGGATTATGTGGATTGTGCGATATTGCCGCCGTTGGAGGATGGGTCTGTTGCGCCGCCGATTATCTCGGGGAGGGGCGCTGTTGGGGGGCCAGGGAGTATTGGTGGGGGGATGAGGGCGTTTCGGGAGAATGGGTTTGGGCTTGGACGGGGTGGGAGGGGGAGGGGGGGTGAAAGGGTTCCTGCTGGGGATTGGAAACGGGGGGAGAGGTTGCCGGATGGGGGTGGACGGGGTGGACGGGGTGGACGGGGTGGAAGGAGGGGATGGGCGCCGTATTAGCTGTGACTGGCATTGGGGATTTAACTGGATGTAATTCGGGATACCCAGTTCATAATAAATGATTCACTTGAATGATTTTATTACTGCTATGTCTACAATGCTTATCGATTGGCAGCGTCCAATCAGAAACGAAGTTATCGTCAGCACAATCGCATGTTGAAGAAGGAAGAAATGCAGTATATTTCTAATGAATACACGTCCAGAGTCGGGTCGGAATATAAACCCCATAACACACTCCGGAACAACCGAGATATCACTTAAAACTCCGCAATGGAATCCTCCCTCCTCTTGCCGCGGAGGTGAAATTTGCCCTGACCAGTTAGCCCTTTCACTAAACTCCTTATACCAGTGACAGCGACGTACATCGGTGTTGTAGGCAACGTAGCCCAGAGCGCCGGGAATGGCAGCCATGTAGAGGAACGAGAACCAGGCGTGGCGCGGCGTCCAGCGGAAATACTTGTAGCGGTTGACGGTGAGTTCTGTTTCTCAATGTCAGTCGTGTTCGGATTGTTGGTATGTCCCCAACGTCAGAAGGCAATTGGTTTCGAGCATTGAGTGTGTTTCTTGGTGTCTCTTGCATCACTATCGGGGAAACGGGTGGGTGGAAGTACCGTAGTATTTCTGGAGGGCCGGGTCAAGGACCAACGCTGAAAGTCGTTAGCTACTGATCTTAACTAGCAGTAGGGAGGAATGGCATACACTTGCTTGGACCGGCCATGATTGCAGTTGATCGTGTCTATCGGCGCAAGTGAGAGAGAAGCGAAGTTGAGGTCGAAGTCGCGGATGCTTGGCGCTGAGTCATATGCAGTTATGCAGATTATGCTGCATAACTCCACTCCACTCGAGATACCTCTGAATGCGATAACGAAAACGCTAGAAAATAAGATCAAATAAAGTACAGTCTAGACACACCTCTATATTCTACTGTCCTTCGCATTTATTTCTACTTTGAGCGTTGACTCAGAAATGGTCTTGTACTCTGGCACATGCACTCCACCGTGACATCACGCCTAATCCTAAAGCGTCGTCACAAGATTATCGCCGAGGTTCGCCTCTGCCCTATATATATTGGCGATCCCCTCCATTTTTCAGACATCACAATATTCTGAATTTTCACAGATTTACACTCACAATGGCTCAAGACACCAAGGTCACCCTGTACTGGTATGTTCCATCTCACCCAGCCAAGCAGGAAATCTCTAATCCAACGAAGGCTGGAGCAATCCCGCTCCCAGCGCATCCTCTGGCTCCTCGAAGAACTCAACATCCCCTACGAACTGAAAACCTTCAAGCGCGGCCCCGACATGCTCGCCCCCCAGGAACTCAAGGACGTCCATCCCCTCGGAAAGTCCCCCGTTATCGGTATCGAGAACGCAAACACCGCCACGCCGTTGATTCTCGCTGAGTCAGGCTTTATTACGGAATATCTGTGCGACCACTTCAATGGGGAGAGGCTCGTGCCGAAGAGATACAAGGAAGGAAAAGAGGGACAGATTGGTGCGGAGACGGACGAGTGGATTCGGTACCGGTATTACATGCATTATGCGGAGGGGAGTTTGATGCCGTTTTTGCTGTTGTCATTGGTTATGAATGGTGAGTCCTTCCATATCACCTCCCGTATGCTATTTGGTTGCTAACGAGACAGGCGTCCGCAACGCCCCCGTCCCCTTCTTCGTCAAACCCCTCACCAGCATCGTCGCCTCCAAGGTCGAATCCGCCTTCATCAACCGCAACATCGACAACCACTTCCGCTTCCTGGACGAGCAGCTCAAGACCGCTCCCGGTGGCGGTCCGTACCTCTGTGGTAAGGAGTTGACGGCTGCGGATATCCTGATTAGTTTCCCGATTATCGCGGCTATGGTTCGGTTGCCGGAGGGTGCGGAGAAGTATCCAAATGTGAAGGCGTATGCGGATTTGTTGCAGGGGATGGAGGGGTATAAGAAGGCGGTTAAGAAGATTGAGGAGGTGGAGGGGAAGTTTGAGGCTATTATGTCGTGATTTTGTGATTTTATTTGAGCCATTGTGTTTATGGATTATGTGTTATGTTGGATGTCTATGTTATATCCGTTCTGTAATGTATATGGATGCAATGTTGAACTGCTATTAAATGACAATACTTGGTATTAGTATCTATAAGTTTCAAACCACTATATACATTCAAACGGAAGCCAAATAGCGCCGGGAAATCAGAGAACTATGGGAAATCAGAACGCCGACCAATAGCATCAACCCTCACCCCCAACCTCTCCATCTCCTTTACATCCAACATCCCCCGTCCATCAAACAACCATTTCGGATGTTTCATATTATACGCGATGCGCGCCCACTCCAGCGGTTCCAGCACCGTAGGACGGCTCGACTTCGAGCGACAATCAGCGCAGTCAACGGGACAGGTATCTTGAGGTGTCAAGTGGTAGGTCGTGCCATTGGAGACCCATACATCCTGTACAGTTGGATCGTTTTCAAGGCTGCTGTCTGTTTCGGAGGTATAGGATTTAGTGGATGACCGCCGAGATGAGTTCCGGAATTGATCGCAGTCGGTAATGACAAGCACCGCATTCGCCAGTGAACAGGCAAGGTATGGATCACCATAGACCTTGACCGCACTGGTATCACCACAGACAGTCTCAACCTCCCGAATAATATCCTCCTCTCGACAATACGGATCGAAAACGGCAATCTCCAACGGTCGTTCTTCAAGCAATAGCCTAATCACATCAACAGCCAACGACTCCCGCGGATCCCCCGTCCCCTTCTTAAACGCAAACCCAAGTAGCGCCAACTTCTGCCCAACCAGATTTCCCCAAAACCGCTGAGCAACCTTCCCAGCAAACCGATTCCGCTGCGCCTCGTTCATCACATTCACCTGTCTCCAGTAATCCGCGACATTATCTAACCCCAGCGACTCAGCCAGATACGTCAAACTGGCAATGTCCTTCCGGAAACAGCTTCCACCAAACCCAAGGCCAGCTTTTAGGAATTGAGGCCCGATTCGCGGGTCTAGCCCGATGGCTCGGGAGACCTGGTCGACTTCTGCGCCTGTGCGTTCGCAGATCGCGCTGATGGAGTTGATGCTGCTGATTCGCTGAGCGAGCATGGCGTTGGCGACGAGTTTGGCGAGTTCGGAGGACCAGGCGTTGATTTCGAGGATGCGGGTAGAGGGTACCCAGGCGCTGTATATACTGGCCAAGACGCGGGCTGCGTGGTGGCCAGATGGCGTGCCCGAGGATCCTATTAAGACGCGGTCTGGGGTTGTTAGATTATCGATGGCTGAGCCTTCGGCTAGGAACTCAGGGTTGGAGAGGACTTCGAATGGGATTCCTGGGCGGAGGCTGGCCAGCTATAGAACATAGCATGTTAGTCCGCATTGTCGCAAATTTAAACTAAATACATAAGCAATCTTGGGTGCATGTACCAACTGCCGGACCCGCTGCGCAGTCCCACACGGCACAGTGCTTTTCTCCACAATGATAGTTCCCGGTTTCGCGTGCGCTGCTATTTCGCGCACGGCCTCATCGATGGCTGTCATGTTAGTTGCTCTTCCGGCGCCTTCTCCGAAGGTTTTGGTTGGCGTGTTGACTGCTAGGAAGATCATGTCGGCTTGTGATGTGCGCGCCGAGTCGCAAGTGAAGAACAGGTTGGGGCGGCGTTTCAGGGTGTTTGTAGTGTTTGCGATGGGATTGTTGGTTTTGATTGTTGTGCTGTCTCTAGTCGCGCGGACTACGTTGACCAGGCCCTGTTCGTGCACGGGGAGGTGTGGTGATGTCCATTTTTGGATGCGTCGGGGGTCCCGGTCCAGGACGTTGACGGTTATTGTTGGGTTGTTCAGCGCCAAAACTGCGGCAGTTGGTCCTCCTGTTCAGGTTAGCAACAAGTCACTTTCCACTCTCCTTCAGCAAGAAAAGCCTACCTACATAACCCGCACCCACGACGCAAACATCCTTCACAGCACCCCATGCCGCAGGGCCCTGGAAGGAGATATAACCAGAACCAGGAGAACTCGGCGACGGCGACAAAGCAAGATCATCTCCTTTAGATGGTCCGAACAAAGGACTCGAAGCAGGCGTAGTGAGAGCAGTTGAACCCGAACCCGAACCGCTCCAGGAACCCTCGCCCGAGGTTCCCAGGGGAGAAGCGACGAAATCCATAGCGTCTCCCTGGCAGATTGCCATATAGATTTATCGATGTAAATAGTACCATTCTGGCCTTAGTCCGCGGGACCAAATGGTTTATACACGGTTTGCGCCAACTGCCCCTCCTTCGGTCGAGGGGCAATGCCCTGTGATCGCTAGCCGTTATCGTGACCATGTTGTACCATAGAATAACCAACGGGATGTCCCGCTACTATCCTAGAAAACTCGTGGTATTCAGCACGCGGGGTGTCTCCCGGACTGCCAGTGGTTGTTGTTCTTGACTCGTCCCTAGCGAGGGACCGGCCCACGTGCCGCCGGCTTGCGATATCCTTATTTCGGAGTCGAATAGAATTCGTCCAAGGTTTATGGTTCTTTCGTCACGATAAAGAGGAGGGATGAAAAATGAGGATGGCTTGCTTCTTGTTCGGTATTCATAAGGTGGGGTGTCTGCGGTTTCGTGGACAATAGGTGTGTTCCCAGCGCTGCAGTATGGCCCTAAATACAGCCGTCTCTATCTCTCCACGAGATAACTTCCCGGATGTTCTTAGAGAGAAACGGGTCTTGTTGACGACAGAATCACTCGGTCCGGTCAACGGCGTCAGTCGCACAACGCGCAGTCTCGTCGATTATCTCCATCGCAATGGAGTAGACCTGGCAGTGGTTGCGCCGCGCTTTGAGGGCCATCAACAGCAGCAGGCAGGTGAAAAGCCATTCCGCGAAGTGCGCATACCCGGATATCCACTACCCTACAATCCGGACCTGACAGTGGTGTATCCATTCCACCTAAACGATGTCTACCGACAAACCTTCGAGCCTGACGTGATCTATCTGGCTAGCCCTGCCTCGCTTGGTTTCCAGATGCTGCTACTTCTTCGCCAGCTGCGACGTTCTCCGGTTGTGCTGTTGAACTTTCAGACGGATTTATCTGCATACAGCGAAATCCTCCTGCCGGCTCCGTTGGACCGCTTCGCTGTCTGGCTTCTGGCGACGGTGCAGGGGTACTTGTTTAGTCTCCCCGCCGTGCACACCATCTTCTATCCCTCTTCTACTATACAAGGGTATCTCGAGAAGACAGGAGCACCGCAGAACCGATTCCATAAACTTGGCCGTGGCGTCGATACTTCACTATTCAACCCATCCCATCGCGATGAAAACTACCGCCAGTCAATCGCCCCCAACAACGAAATAATCCTCGTCTACGTATGCCGCCTAGCCCCAGAAAAAGGCTTCAACTTCCTAGCTCGCGCAGCAACACGTCTCGCAGCAGCAAACCTACCTTTCAAACTCCTCATCGTAGGCGGCAACCGCAACCCAGCCGTCGAAACTCGTATCCACCGTCTCTTCGACGCAGTCCAGGACCATGTCATTTTCACCGGCTTCCTGACGGGCGTGGATCTCGCGCGCGCATACGCTGCTGGGGATTTATTCCTGCACTGCTCTGTAACTGAGACGTTTGGGCTTGTCGTGCTTGAGGCCATGGCTAGTGGGCTTCCGGTTATCGCGCGCGATCAGGGCGGGCCGTCGGATATTATTCGTAATGGTCAGACGGGGTATCTCGTGTCGCCGGACGATCTGGATGGGTTTGTCGCGTTGGTAAGACAGATGTCGCTTGACGGGGGACTCCGGTCTAGTCTGAGCCGTGCTGCTCGGGGGTATGCGGACGAGACGACGTGGGAGGCTATTAATCGTCGCGTGGCGTGGCAGATTGCGGATGCTGTCAAGTCGCAGCCGCTCTCGAGAGTGTCGTTTACTCCCCTGCACATGGCGTGGAAGGTTATTGAGAAAATGCGCCTTCTGGCTGCTGTGGGGATGGTGTATTTGATGTGGTTGATTGCTGTGGTGCCGTTGATTGTACATGGGGAGGTTATACCGCAGTTGCGCGCTGTTTACAAAGTCCGGAAATAGTAATGGATAATTAATAATGACTTTGTTGTAGTGTTGTAGTAATACAGATTATCACTGTTAATTGAATAAACAAGCCAAGTTGTATGTCTCATCCAAACGTCGCTGAATAGCAACCATAACTCGCTCCAAATCAAAAGCATCTGGCTGCAAAAAAACCGATCACAAGCCACCACATCAAACAGCAAGTACTCAGCATGCGGAAAACAAGCACGACGACAATCTCCCGAAAACGGCTCCATCAGCTTCACAATCTGAGGAACCTCCCAGAATCTATCAGACAGATCGCTCACATCCTCCAGCTTATCCCTAGCCATTTTCTCGACAATCTCAGGATCCATGACGTTCGCAATCAACCCCTCACTCGCTAGGTACTCAAGGACACCCCTTACACGCAGCATCTGGGCTTCTTGTCCAAGGATCGAGTTCACAACTTGGCCTCTGAGCTCAGGGAACTCGGATGGGACTTTGCACTTTGCCTCTTAGGACTCTCTCGCAACAGCCTACTAAGTCGGATAGACCTCCCGCACAGGCGTCACGACCGAGGTCTTCGAGGTAGGTTTTTATTATGTCAAGCTGCTCGTATGCGTTGGAATCATTCCCGTGGCCATCTTTAGGCTGGTGGCGAGCTTGCTCATCTGCTCTGTTCAGGATGAGTTGGCCGATACTGCGGCGTTTGGTATTGGGGTTGGGGTTCTGGGGATGGAGGAGGCGACGGTGCTGCTGTTTCTTTTTCGTTTGAATATATTCCATATCATGTTGGGTATGTCTTGTTTATGTAGTGGGTTGTTAATGGAGATAAATACAAATTAACTCATTCAAAATAACAACGCCGTCACTTCATTGTCCGTCAACTATTTCCGAAGCCTTATTTTCTAGTCGGTTCTATACAACAACATCTACAACATTCGAGACCATAGCTCAGTCTGATAATATTCTTTTCTGTCAATCAAAAAGTCGACCATAGGTCTGGAGAATGTGTTCGTGATATTGTAGGTGCAGTCAGGATTCTATAGAAGTGCTTGGAAAGACTCCGTCTGATGATACAGAGTACAAACACGCGATTCAACATATTCAACATACCCAACACAGGAAAGCGACACAGCAAGTAAATTGCCCAATTTCAACGCCACTTTGTCGACCATCAAGAGATCAAATCAAACCAAACGCCAAAAGGAGTAAAGATTACACTGTAACTTCGTGGCGCGAAGGGACCACTGTACTGTCAGCGAGCGACTTTCGAGTTGGGTTTTCTTTGGTCTCGTGTCCCCAACACCAGACGAAGCTGCCCATCGTGAGAAAAGTGTCAGGGCCTTGACGCTCCTGTCCTTGGTGAAATCGTAAAGTTCGGTCTTGTAGATAATCACGTTCGAGCCATCATAATGGGCCTGGGGCATTCGAGCATGTCGGGGTCCCATGAATGAGATGAGCAGAATCTAGTATTGTGTGTACTGCGCGTTAGTGCTGTCCATATTCCCAGCATACTTGACGATGAAATAAAGACTTACTGTGTAAATAGTGTGCTGTTTGAGGAACTCAATCTCGTGGAATTCACCTGCATTTGAAGAATGCAAAGCAATTCCCCTCAGCTTCATTATACAACTCGTTTGTCATGTCGCACACTTGGCGTTCGAGGCTTTGCAAACGCTCAAGGCATTCGCTGCGTTCTGGCGATGGTTTCTCGTACGCCGCAGTCATGATGAAGGTGAAATAAATGAAGATAATTGAAGGGAAGGGAGCATCTAGATACGGCCAGATGTGACATAATGGCCTGAGGCCTGGAACTTTCCCGATTAGGCTAGCCTGTTATTTATTTACGACTTTCTTCCTCCTACTCCTAGTTCATGAGATTGAGCCCAAACATAGTTCGTCCAATACTCGTATGTCTATTGTGCCCAGAGAAGTGACGGCACGTCGTAACCATCAATTATGCTAGCTTTAGTTGCTCGGACTGCGCTTGGCCGCTTAGGAAGTATCTGCCCGGTCTAAACAGCATTCTTAGTGCCTCCTTCCGGCCATCCAGCTCCTTAAGCTCGAAGAATTTGGACCGTCAAGTATCCAACCATTCTGTGTCTGGCATTTATTCTGACTGGACGTCGCGAAGATATGCTTGCATAAAGATAGTCTTGATAGGATGTATTATGACGAATGCTTCCTGATCTCCCTTGGCTGAGCGCTCAGGTCCGTACTTTAGGGCTGACAAGGAGCTCTGTCAGCTCTTGGGCTAGGCTATCTACCTGATATTCCTCCTCGTGTCCTGTATTCCGGATAACGCCGCATTGCGCCTCTTGGTCTGGATCATGTATCAACATATGTCGCGTAGGATGTTTGCATTGGGCTTACTTCATATGAGACCAGAGGGGTTCTTCCAACGTTTCCATTTTTTGCCTTCAGCTGGATTATCCAGTTAGCTGTCCTTATTTATGCTATCTTTGAGATGTGGGGTATATCTTCATGTGGATGTCATTGCGGACACTACAAGATATCAATTTTCATCGACAACCCTTTCGTATCCATGACTTACTTTCAGATAGTATACTTTGGGCCAGAACCCACACTTCAAACAGGGGGCAAGCGATCACGATATCCTGCCCACATATTCGTACCAAGTTCTGGGATAAGTGTTATATGACCGAGCAGCGCAAATCAACAGAACCGACTGATGGACACACCTTCACATGTGAGAGCCAATTTCTGGGCTCCAGGAAAAAGTCGAAAAATATGCTTCCGCCAGATGTCCCTCCAGGGCAACACCCGGTGCTCATCCTGGTGGTTCGAAGTGCTGTCTTTATTCACCATGTCAAATTTCTTTGCATAATTCTCCCGGAACAAATCTTACCTGTTCAATTGCGGCCCTTCGGCCCAGGTGTGGTATCCCGGGATGAAGTGGGCGGCTTTGCTATCTCAAAGGTGTCCTTATCCTTGTCGGTGCTTTTTGACAGGTGTTTGAACAAGAAACAACTGTGGATTATGTTGTTCTCCAATCTCTATCTGACGGTCAGTCAGACACGGCATAGTTCACCCTTAAAATTCACCGAGTTCGTCCTAATATTCGCTTGCTACACACCTACCCAGCCCCCGGTAACAATTCCATTTAGAACCTTTGTCACGTGTTGCATACCATGTCCATTAAGCTATGACGAGGCTACACATCCCTGTAAGGTCGACAGGGATTACGCCTTGCACGGGCACTTGGTCGATTGCATCACTATTTTTACGATCTTACACTCAGCCTCGTACAGAGTACAGATTCGGGGATATCTACCCGCTTCCGTCAACCTTGCCTTCAGATAACAATACATTTCCATATAGAGATATCACGTGTCACTCCGTAGTTACTCTCTCCACGGAGATACTCTGGAGAAACGGGTCGGAGTCCCCGCAGCGCCACATCACTGCCACATGGGCGCCACATTCACATCTCCACGACAAGGCTTCACGTGACACTACCGCGTTCGGACCACTACAGTACTCCGTAATTACGGACAGACCACTACTACTAATTGCTTCACTTCTACCGGCCCGGCCGGCTCCAATTACAAACCGGGATTTAGATCGACGACTCCTCCGCGGAGGAGAAAGGCACGGAAGAAGCCCGTCGCAAGAGTTCGACACAGTTCGACACCAAGGATTGAGGAGATCATGATCTACGAGAAGATGCATGCGGTGAGAAAATGTCTTACAGCGGCTCTGGAAAAAAAAAAAAAAAAAAAAAATTTCAATCATCTGTAGGAAGACATAAACGGTGTTATGGGGACGGTATAAGGTTTGGCCAGCTGTCTGATGATCCAACGGTGAATGACATGGAAGTTTCGACTCTGTACTCTACGAGGACTCTTGACAGTAAGTAACTAGTAAGTACGGAGTAACTATGAAAGTAAATAACGGAAATACTAACCCGCTGTGGACTAGCGCCATACATGGAAACGGCAGCGAAGGCCATAAACCGCGGTTGACAGTCACTAGTGTAGACACTAACCAAATCTGGAATAGGGGGATGCACGTGAAATGAACCGGTTGGTCCTTCACTTGCAGGGATCCATTTGTTCGGGGACAGTCCGTGCCAACAAAGTTGCACTGGCCAATAGCTGGCCTGCGATAACGAGATCGCCCCTTTTCTTCCAATCCGGTGAGGCGATGGCGCCGGCGGTTTGGGAAGGAGGGCCGTGATTGGTTCCGAGGTCGTGCCGGCTCACCGTTCACCGCTGTTTGTGAGTACTCCGGAGTACAGAGTAGAGTATGTGCTCTACTAGTAGTACTCTACTCGCAGTACTCTACTCCATGCTTACAATGGATTCAGAATAAGTGGTAGTAGTGTTGGTAGTAGTATTGAATGCGTATGATGATTGTTCAAATAATATTGATGTAGCAGTACCCATTCTCATAGTAGGACAGTTGCATAGAACTACATAAGAGGTACAGTAGCAGTAGCACTGTTGTCCGAACTGGAGCCGAGTGGGCCGCTTATGGTTCCCGGAGTGGCGAATCAACGCCCAGTTAATTTGGTTCGTTTTGTGGAAATTACTCAGCAGACGGTTGGAGAAGCCGAAAGGGGAAACTTGTCACTGTCCTCTCTCTGTTCATATTTTATTATATTGATTGTACTGTAGTCCGTAGGATGGATTAAGTTGAAGGTCGTAATTTGATAGTCACTAGTTTAGGTTCAGAATCACTTGGAGTAGCCGCTGGAAAAAAGGATCGTCTACATCTTCCGTTTTGGTCATCGACTCGAGGAAACCCGAAAAAAAGCCACCTCGGTAAATGCCCGTCGGATGAGACACCATTCTGTAGACACCGTTCTGTACGAAATACAGGATGTGTCTCTACAAGTATTCACTACGAGTACAGGATATAATTGTAGAGAATATATCATTATTATATTATATATTATATATATATTATTATATTATATATTATATATATATTATTATATATATATAAACTAGAGAATCAAGAGCGACTACACCATATACTCGGTTGAATATTACTCTGTACATGGTGAATACTCCGGAATAATAGTGAGCTCATGATTTGGTCCGTGTAGCCCCACCGCCTCCATATTGCCCACCTCCACCACTACTACTATTATCCACTTATCCACGACGGAAACTGTCCTACTGCGACGGTAATACTAATCCATACTTATACCTGTCTCTCCTATTTTATTCTACTCATTATTCTTACTATCTTCCTCTCTATACCACTACTATCTCACTACTATCTATATCACTACATCTCTACCATCCTCTACCATATTTGATTATGGCTACTCACGTTATCACTCCCACTACTACTACTACAAACCAACAAATCTCTCTCTACGGCCATCCCTCGCCCGCTTCTTCGAATAATACCACCCCCACTACCACCACCAACAGCTCTCCCACTTCTCCTCGTCTCTCCTCTGCTACTCTGAATCAATTGCCCCTTCAGTCTCGTCAACTGCGTCCTCCCAAGGCTCCTCTCTATGTCCCTGCGGCTCTGCGCCCGACCGAACGTCCTCAGAGACACTCGCCCCCTACTCCTCCGCGCAGTGTGCATGGCTCGCTTGACAGTCTGAGCAACAGCGACTCCGAGGTTCATGAGCCTATCAGTCGTCGCTCCACCATGGATAGCACCACCAGCAGCAACGGTATTATCAGCAAGTTGGCCGAGGATGAGTGGATGAAGAATGAAGACTTGGGTTCGGTTACTGGTTTGCCCACCAGAGACCACTGGAAAGTGAGTATTTCTTCTCGTGGGAACACGATATATATATACGTCTGAGCTCGTCGTTGGATTCGAAAATGATGTGCGAATGGCGTGATACCTGAACACAATGATGCTAACAACAACCTCAAGGCGGACTCGGCTTCTTCCAACTGCGACTCTCCCACCTGCCGCTCCTCCTTCGGTCTGTTCCTGCGTCGACACCACTGTCGTCACTGTGGTCATGTCTTCTGCTCCTCGCACACTCCTCACCTCGTTCCTCTCGACCAGAATGCTCGTTTCCACCCTGACGGTGTGCCCTCTCGCACCTGTGATCTCTGCTGGCACGCCTTCTCCCGCTGGGAGGAGTCTCGCACTGAACGTCTGAACAAGATTCAGAGTGTCTTGGATGCACAACAAACTGGTCCGTCCGAGATCTCCCAAGACTCGGATGTCTCGGACGTTTCTCAGGAGGACACCTCCAAGTCCACTCTCACGCCTCCTCTCGCTCAGACTGGTGAAATCGCAGCCAGTGTTCCTCGCGGCTGGAACTGGAGCACTTTCTAATTTACTCGTTACGATACCCTACTGCCGCGGCGCTCTAATACTCAACTCCATACGCCCGCTAGACTGCTTGCATTGCTTGCATATGCGCACGATTTTTTTTTTTTTTTTTTTTTTGCGATTTCTTCTCAATCTCTTTTTCGGCTTTATTTTCGTTTTGTTTGGAGTACGGTTCGGATGGTTTTTCGGTCATGGTTTACGGCTTATGGTGTTTCGATCCTGCCACTCGATTGAGACGGCGAGGGGTATTTTCTTCAGTTTTTTTTTTTTTTTTTTTTTTTTTTTTTTTTTTTTTTTTTTGTCAAGATACCCCGTCAGCTTTGAGCGGCAATTTTCTTTCGTTTGTTTATTGGTTATGGCTCTGGCGCATGCATATAGAGGATAATGAATTTACCATCACCACCACATACTTATTCCAACGTAGAGGTCATGATTTATGAATAACATCAACCCGTCGCCACATCCCAACATGCTCAATACCCTCCTCATCCCACCTCCCCATACTCTCATCAGTAACAAACCCCAACCGTGCATACATCCCTTCAACCGACACCTGCGCATGAACCAGCACCAACCCGTTCCACTTGACATCACCACTACCACCACCACCACCATCCCGATCAGGTAAGCCCTCACGCCCGCGCACAACTCGGGAATAAGCGTGTTCTATCTCCCCCGGATTCCTCCGCGCCCAGTCAATAGCCGTCTCGACCAGTTTTCTTCCGAGATTTCGCCCGCGGTACGCCGGGAGTACCGCCACGCGGGTTAATTTTATATAAGGTTCGTGAGTGGTGCCATATTGCCTGGCGGGGGGGTCATTGTTGATTTTGTTGTTGTCGTTGACAGGTTTGACATTGTCTGTGTGCGCGTGCGCAGGGCTGATATCAAGATGATGTTCATGAGGAGTGTGAGGAGGAGGAACTAGACGAATCACTCCGATTGCCTCGCCATCGTCTTCCTTCTCCCCGCCATCCTGTTTTCCGCCCCCATCGCCTCCCTCTCCATTCCCATCTCCATCCTGCGATTGACGGGCGTACATAACCCAATGCCAACTCCGCGCATCATCATCGTCGATCTCGCCCTCCGGCGAACACCCCTGTTCGTCGATGAAGACTGTATTACGCACGGTAAGTGCATCGGTTAGGAGCAGTGGATTTGTTGGTGGGCGGGGGTTTGAAGGTGTTGGGCGGGTTAGTTTTGTGGTGCCCGGGGGGGCATGGATTGCGGTTCTGGGGTGCATGAGCTGTACTCCGGTGTAGGTTTGGTGTGGATTGATTGTACATAGTAGTGTAGAGGTATATGGTCCCTCTGATAGAGGGTGATAGAGGGGAACTCAATTGCCGTAGACACTCCGTACAATAACCTATCAGAAGAGTGGGAGATAAAGAAAGCAAACAATGCAAACATCTTATCAGATATTTTATTTTCGTCGCGACAACACTCTACAACCCCCGTACTAGTACAGAGTACTCACTCCATATCCAGGGACAATAACACGAAGATGTCCCTTTACTACGACGCATCCACAATCCTAACAACCCCCTCCTCCACCGGCGGCTCATTCAAATCCCGCATCTACAATTCCAACTCCCGCGGTACCAATACAAAGGCTAATCCTGCGCAAATCTACGCACTTATTACGGAGACTGCGAAATGGGATATCTTGCTAAAAGAGGTTATTGAGCGTGCGGAGATACTCAAATTAGAATCTAAGGTTGTTCCCTCACCTACCCACATACTATATACTACCCAGGTATAGGTCAAATAGGACACTGCTAACTAAAATGACAAGACAGCTCACCCCGCTCCTCGCGCTATTCCTGGTCCATGACCATTTACTCTCGAAAAAAGGTATCGCGGCGACGAGTAATCATCCGCTGCGACTAGCGATTGAGAAACACAAAACGAGGTTACGGGGGGAGTTTATCAAAGCCCGTGTGCGACGGGGATGCGCATCAGTCGAGGAATTGAAAACAGTCGTGTTACGGGAAAAGAAAGCACGACTTAAGGCTGATAATGGCGATAAGGTTACCGCTGTGTATCCGCGGTGGGTGCGGGTTAATACCGTTAAGACGACGCTGGAGAAACAATTAGAGACTACCTTCGCCGCATACGAGAAGGTGACCTCTCTGGCAGACCTCGTCCAGGACGACGACGACACGGATGACCAGAAACGGTTGTATGTTGATCCGCATATCCCTGATCTGCTTGCTGTGCCGCCGGGCGTCGAGTTCATTGCCTCTCCGACGTATAAGAATGGGGAGATTATTCTGCAGGATAAAGCTTCTTGTTTTCCGGCTTATCTCCTAGCGGGGGATACGGAGTGGAAAGGTGATTTGGTAGATGGGTGTGCGGCGCCGGGGAATAAGACTACGCATCTTGCTGCACTGTTATCCAAGCACGGGATCAAAAAATCGAGGGTTATCTCAATGGACGCATCGCCCGCGCGCTCGAAAACGCTACAGAAAATGGTCGCCGCGGCTGGTGCGGCAGGAAATATCGTCACCGTCCTCCAGGGACAAGACTTTCTAGCCATCGATCCCGTCGCTGATGAGCGCTTCGCGGATGTCACCGGTCTCCTCCTCGATCCTAGCTGTTCGGGTAGCGGTATCATCGGCCGAGACGACGTGCCCCAGCTCCTCCTCCCTAGTATCCCCGAGAATAAGAGTCGCAAGAATCAGGGGAAGAAACGCAAGCGCGATGACCCTCACCCTCACCCTGTACAATCGAAACCCGCCCAAACGACACCATCTCCAACAGATGAAAACGATACCCCGGCTATACTGGATAACGACCGTCTGACAAAACTATCAAACATCCAAGCCCACATCGTCGAACATGCGCTTTCTTTTCCGTCTGCTACGCGCGTCACGTATAGTACTTGTTCTATCCATCTGACCGAAAACGAATCCGTCGTGGAGCGCGTGTTGGGTTCGGATGTTGCGCAGCGCCGCGGGTGGAGGGTTCTGCGGAGGGATGAGCAGCCGGTTGGTTTGAGGGGGTGGACGTATCGGGGGATTGGGAGTTATGGTGAAGGTGAGGGCAAGGAGAGTGTGAAGTTGGGAGAGGAAGAGTTGGAGGGGTGTCTACGGTGTTGGCCTGGGGATGAGGAGGGTCTTGGGGGTTTTTTTGTCGTTGGGTTTGTGAGGGATGGTCAGGATGATGGTCAAGAGGATCAGGAAGATGATGAATGGGAAGGATTCTCTGATTAATCATATACTGTACAATACTCTTTCTTATACACCACATTTATATCACCTCAGAAACCCCCTCGTGCGATTCAATTCCTTCTGCCTTGTATATAACTCCAACTTGACCGGGAAAAGGGACACTCGCACTCTCGTATCACTAGGAATAGGCTTCCCCACACGTACCCGCCACTGTCCCCTCCGCACGAACCATTTACCATCCTCCGGTTCGTCAAGACGCGGGCGTTTTGTGGCCGATGGCAGTTCTGGGGGATAAGCGCCAGGGCTCACTGGAGTATTATCAGTCTGGCCATTGACGGTAACATCAGCGTCATCCAATATGGTAATGGGAACGGCATCCTCGTTCTCCTCTATTAGGGAAACATCAGGCGAGAACTTGCTGGCGGCAGACTGGGCCAGGCTCGCGACTCGTGCGCTGGTAGGACCTGAAAACCTGACTCGAGTGAGATAGATAAGGGTAGTTTCGTTGTTGGTTTCGACGATGAGGTCGTGCGGTTTCTCATTTGTGTAGGGCCGGGCGTATCCCATCCACCCAACTTGTCGTCGGTCGTCATCAGGGATGAATTCCAGCCCCGATGGTCGTAGGTCCTCTAGGCGAATGACAATCTCGGATCGCTGCGTGATTGGGTTAATGCGGATATCGTGAGGAATTAGGCGCTGTTCTAGGCCGCGGAGGTGGTAGTATCGACAGTCCCGTAGGAGTTGTTCGCGATGCTCCGCACTCCGAATTTCCAATGGATAACCCCGTAGCATGTGCAACAGTTCTGCGAATACATCCCCAGACCGATTCGGCACGCTCGGGGGTTCAATTGCCGGTGGCCGCAGCAGCCCTGTCCGATCTAATCCTGGGAAGACTTCTAACGGCGAGGCGAAGAAATCCGCGAACCCCAGGGAAAAGAAATTAGGCGAATCACCCGGGGACGAGAAGATGTCGCGGGGGATCTGGAACTGGCGGCCGCCGATTTGTACGAAGATGTCGGATTCGAAAAGTTGCGATGTTAGGCGAGGTACTATACTGTCAATTTGGGTGCGAGGTATTGGGTTGAGGGGCCGTACAGCTGTAGAATTGCGCGTCTGCGAATAGTTTGACGAACTCTGCGCTGTTTCTAGGGCATACGTGGTATCCTGCATTCATTAGCATCGCTATTGCCATCCCGGTGGATAAGGCATACCCTGCAAATGCCTCGCAATCTCCCGAAACGTCCCTGGATCCCGATCAATATATAACGTCCTCAGATTCGCATCTCCATTCTCGTTAAGTTGGGCTTCGAAAAACTGCGAGAAATAAGACGGGGCTCGAGGGTTTTAGCCTTCACTTCAATTATACAACCGAGACGGGACTGACCGTCAGACGCTATCGAGGCACCCGAGAGGCGGAAGAGTTCAGTGCCGATTTGGATGGAGAAGACCTTGTCGGGTGGGAGGGTGCATTGTTCTTGTTTTATTGACATTGCGTTCGCTCAATTGAGATCAAGTTGAAATATCCGGGCAGGTTCAAGGTTCTATTGCGGGGCTGCGTGGTTGTCGCAGGACTGCTGTGTAAAATGACAGTTAGAGCTATGGATTGACTGTGTGTATGTACTCCGTAGCTGTCGTAAGAGAAGCTGTAGAATCCGACGCGATGCGTGTCGTCAGTCCTTAAGACTGGTGTGCGATAAGATAAGCATGTGTGTGTGGGCAACAAAACAAAAAAAAAAAAAAAAAAAAGAGCAAAAAAGAAACGATCCCGGTGCGATTCGAACGCACAGCCTTTAGTACCGGAAACTAACGCGCTACCATTGCGCCACGAGACCGCTTGTGATAGTTTGGGAACTTCTTCGCTTTATAACCTAGCTAATCCTGAGGTATCGATGTACGGAGTACAAAGTACCTGATGCTGCATGCTACACATACTACCATTCCTATCGTCTTCTACCTTAGCAATGCTACCTTTACTACAGGTAATGATTTTGACAGCGCTTATATACAGTTTCAGTCGATATGGCTTCTTGTCATTGTCCTGTTCTCATTATTCTTCGGTTTTATGTAGAAATATATATCTTCAGTGGCACTATACTCTAACCACATCAACTATGACCAGACTTAACATCTAGGACCACATGGCCAATTGTTACGGACAATAACAAGCATCCCGGAGCCTCACCTACAGGAAAAGCCCTCTTGACTCGGTACGAATAGCCCCCCCCCCTGGTATGACTGCCCACCACCGGGACTACACACCATACCCCGGGATCCCATCGGGATGACTGGACTCGGATGACATACTACACTAAATATACCCAACTGCTACCGTGGGCATCACATAAAGAACAGCAATAGCACAGAGACAGCTAGATCTTGATCCGACGTTCATTCTCCATATGCACAGGACGGAGCAATTACCCTCCCTAGCCAATCAGCACCGCCGATCCTTCGCGATGACACCATATCTATACAACATGCCTTATATAGAACCACCCCGGAGTACAATATAACATCCTGCTTCAATTCTAATCAACAACACTTATACACATGCACTTAATGGTTGTATCCTCCCACCAAAGACAGATTCTACCCCGCAGTGCATTTGTAATCTCCCAGTGATCTCCACAGTGATCCGTGGTTCATTGTCTTTCCACGGTTTTCTCACCATCTCTTCCTCTTTCCTATAAAGAAAGACTACTCTTCACTTCATCATTCTTACACACCCAATCAAATCCATACCAAAGAAAGACAGATAAAATGGCATTCGGAACAATCTACTCCTACCCCAACAACCCGCGGGTCATCAAGGTACGTCACTCACCCCCAGCACCACCCCCAGTACCCAGATTGTCCATACCAACAAACCAGACCCACGCCGTCGCAAACCTCAATGGTCTGGAGGTAACAGAAGCCCCCTTCCAAATGGGCGTCACAAACCGCAACCCCGAATTCCTCACCAAATTCCCCCTCGGCAAAATCCCCGCCTTCGAGTCCGCCGACTCCACAGTCCGCCTCTTCGAATCAGACGCTATCACCCAATATGTCGCTGAATCGGGCCCCGCGGCATCCCAGCTATTGGGCAGCACACCCGCTGAAAAAGCACAGATTAGACAGTGGATTGTCTTCGCGGAGGGCGAGGTCATGGGTGCTGTGACTAGGTCTGCGCTTTGGAGGGTTGGGTTGAAGGCGTATGATGAGGGGACGGAGACGGCTGCGTTGGCGAGCTTGGATCGTGCGGTGAAGACGCTGGAGGCGCATTTGCAGGGGAGGAAGTGGTTGGCTTCTGAGGAGAAATTGAGTTTGGCGGATATTTCGGTGGCGTCGGCGTTGGTTTGGGCGTTCTCTATGATCCTGGATGCCGAGTTGAGGCCGCAGTATCCTACTGTGCTTGCTTGGTATGATCGGGTGCTGGAGACCGAGGGGGTTAAGCAGGCTTTTGGGGAGAAGAAGTTTATTGAGAAGCGCAAGGCTCCTCCGTCGTAGGCTCATCTACATGTACATAGCATCCAAGGACATAAAGTAAAGCATAATTGCATTGAAGGATATCATACACTCATATCAACATAGGAATAACGTTTGTACAAAAATAAGACTACAGTCGAGCCATCATATTACTATTCCGCGTCATCGACTTGGCAATGTTCCGACTCGCCCAGTCCGCAATCGCCATATTGGTCACCATCGGGTTCACTCCACTGGCACTAGGGAACACCGACGCATCAAGCACATACAGCCCTTTTGTCCCCCAGACCTGACAATCCGCGTCCACAACGCTCGTCCGGGGTGACTTGCCCATGCGACAGGTGCCCATCTGGTGTGCGCTGGCGAACAGGGTCCGTTCCGGATCGAGAGGGGGATGGCGACGCACTTCCGCAATCCACTCCTGCAGATCTGCGCTGTTTGTGCCTTCGGGTGCTTCTGTCGAGTCTGATGACCGAATAAACGGAGGCAGTGCCCGGCAGCTCGAGTGGAACTCCCTCGCTCCTGAAATGTAGGCAATCTTCGCCGTCGCGATCAGCGCTTCCAGCATGTGCTTCCGGTCGTAGTTCGAAACCGTGTAGTCAATGCGACACCGTCCATCAACGGGATCTGGGTATACTCGTCCGGCGTCGCGCTCTTTCGTAAGGGTGATGAAGCCTGACATCCGCGAGAATTTGGCCGCCCACATCTTGTAATCCAGTCCATCGCGCCAGGGGAACGTCGGGATGAAAAAAGCCGGTATCATCGAGATGTTTTCGATCTTGACGCCGTGCCCTTGTCCGTCCATATTTTCAAACTCATTGACAACCGTGGTCAACGCTGAACCCTCCCAAGGACGAACCTCCTCATCAAAGACTGCGGCTGCCAGAGAAACCGGATGAAGATGAAGATGTTTGCCAATATGCGAATTTTTCAACCCGCTGCGCAGCAGGAGAAGAGGGCTGTGCAGAGTTCCACAAGACACGATAACCGTCTTCGCTTTGATGACAACCTTCCGCGCCACGACATCACCGCTGGTACCAAAGTGAGTGTCTCTGGAGGTCCAGGTACCCTCTACACCGCTGGCCACTCGTCCTCCGGCCGTCTGATCGAATAATACCTTGTTCGCGCGGAAACCTTCCATGAACTTGGCGCCGGCCTTGGCTGCGTCCGCCAGATAAGATTCGGTTGGTCCCTTTTTTCCGGTCGAGTGACAGCCCATCGTACAGTATCCACAGTAGTGCTCGCCATTCCCGGTGTTCTGGGGAACCGGCTTGGCTGCGTAACCCAGCTTACGCGCCCCTTCGAGAATGACTCGGTTGCTATGATTGTGCTCGATGTTAGAGTTCACCCCCATCCGATCAAAAACCCGATCCAGAGCCATTTGAAATTCCAAGGACGTAAAGAATGGAAGACCCGCGTTTGCCCACTCCTGCCGGACGTAGCCCTGTGTCTGAAGCGAAGCTGACCAATTCACTGTACCACCACCTCCCCAGGTGGATCCTGAAAGCACGGCCATGGAGCCGTCATCGCTCATGGTAGCACCGCCGCTTTCAAAAAGGTTTGTGAAACCCTCGTTGAACCTCATCGGGAAATGCTTTGTTGAGTGGTGATAGGACTTCTCCACGACAAGCACCTTATGACCTGCTTCGGCGAGGTTCTTGGCCGCAACGCCTCCTCCACAACCACTGCCCACAATGACAACGTCGGTCTCGATCGTCTCTGGTTCGTCACCGGGCGGGATCTGTAGAAACTCATACTCGTAGCCGTCCATGGGCTTGCCATGAACGGGAACTCGAGGAAAACCGACAACCGGACAAATGGTCGGACTCACAGTCACCCACGTCTTCTTAAAAATGGCCGTGAGAGCCCTGTAAACCGCCCGGATCGGCTTCAGACGAGAAGTTTCCCATCCGCGCAATACCCTTTCACGGACCTCCAAAGGTTGCTCCGCGATAGGAGTAGTCGAGCCTGTGAGAATGAGAGAACCGGATTTCGAGTTGAGAGCACTCAGAACCATCGACATCCCGTTTTTACCCTCATCGTGCACCCATTCCGCAAATAGCCGTTGAATCGCATTCCGGAAGTGTGGATTCGTGGACGGACGTTCCTCGAGGTATTGTACTGCGACTTGGTTCGCATCCGGACCGGGGATACTAGTAGCCAGCGTCGCTACAGCCTTATCCACCTCCGACGACGACACGACTTTATCATTGGACGAGTGTGGACCCTCCCGGGCCTTGACAGAGGGGATGACCGTATCCGCCAGAGCCAAAAGTGTCTGCCATTGTAGTGCCGAGAAGATCTCAGCGGTAGGAACGGGGGGAACCGGGGCATCCAACGGGGTATAAGTCGAGACCACTTGCTCTGCCATTGTCGCGATTAGGAATATCGTAACTCGTAAGAATAGCGATGAGGGTGAAAAGGAGAAGTCGAGTGCGCGTGGATGGGCGATAAGAGCAGAGCACAAAATACGTGAAGTGGACCAATGTCACTTCCGTATCGCCAATACTCTTACAGGGGAGGTCAGGCGCGCCTTCCAGTATTTATGTTGTCCTCAACACTCGGATTGACCAGCGATCGCTTTTCCCTGATTTGTCCGTAATTCTCGAGCCGGAGCGAGTTTGCGGGGGAAGGAGCGACTAAACCGCAATAGACTTTTTCTTGCGAGAACAACGAGGCAGGAGACGGAGATCGGGGGAATAATGAGCAACGCGGAGACTGAGGAACCGAGGCCATTTTGCTTCAATGATTGACGGTGGGTCAGACTGAGGTTTGAAGTCGAATAATTAACTGAGAGCTTGATCTGCAGTGGGGGGGGAAATAATAACCGAGATGGCTCCATGTGAAGTCGGGGCATGATTTGCACCCCGCGATCGAACAATAGCCATAAATACCATTCATTAGAGGATTGTAAGCTGTATAGCCTGAGAACGGAGGGAGTTGAAGGTGAGTTGGAGGTTGCGTAGGTTCTACTGAGGTGTACAGCGGGTATTTATGGACTTGCATTAAGTCTATACTCTTTATGTACAACAGCCGGGATTCGCTTCATGATACAGCAATTTTTAAGGATTTCGTGAGCCACTGTAATGGTTTTCTCAATATCTTCGACGCCCCGTAGAGAGTCGCATCTTTCGTTAAGTTCTTCTTAGTAATCCAACACAAAATTTTAGGAGCCTCTTTGGCCAGGTTACAGGTCATGTGAACCGTCGGAAAGTGGTCCCTACCTCGAATGATTCACCCGACCTTTTAAATACTCCGTTATTTCCAATGAAATACAATTACAATCCTCTTCCATAAATATTTTTCGAATTCTTGACACTGGAAGTAATTACCAAGTACTTTCACTACTTGATAAAATCATGGATACAGAAAACCTTTCTATCATATGGGGTGAAGATATTGAGAATATTTTTAATGATGATGATGATGAAACAGCTGCAGTAAGAACATTCGAACTAATACTATAAAATATAAAGCAACTACTTTCTAATTACTTAGACTGAACCTACATCATTGACTCAGCTTACTGATGCAAAATCCAACCCACATCAAACGCTACATCTAGAATTTGCAAATGACCTACCAGAATACCCCCAAACTGATTTGAATGGGTATACTTATGTTATTGCTGCTGACATGTTGTCACAAGAAGAGGCAGAACACTTGGTTACAAATGTAAGTTAATTCTAGTAAATACCTCTCAACTACTTCCCAACTATTTGTCAACTACTTTCTAACTGCTTGGAGATCCAATATTCCCGGGCAAGCTATCATGGCACTAAAAAGAATATCAAATCATCATTTTTAAACTGTCCAGTTAAGAAATGGGTTTGGAAATGTTCTGGTGCTTTAATATGTGAATATCTAAAGCCAGATCTTCGCATGCTACATCATACCCATGTAAATGATGAAATGTGGTCTAAAATTCAGGCTGCACGAAAGAACATTGAATTGATTGAGAAAGATGTCTGCAAAAGAAATGCCTATAGGTAAGTACCTCTTAACTGTCTATCAAGTACTTGCTAAGTGCTTCTTGAATGTTTAGTCTTTACCGAGCTAGAAAAGCTTTTTTTACAAAGCAGCAGCCATGCCTTGAGTCACTTTCAAGCTGTGCACCCCAATTCAAAAGAAGTATCTATCCAGTAAGTAGATCTATATATCTTGTAACTACTTGCTAGTTAGTTGCTAACTCAATCAGGATGTGAATGGTGAATATCATCCATATGTTGGATGTGTAAATCAGGGATCAGGCTTTCTCCAGAAACACTACTCTAGCTCAGTTAAAGGTCATACTAGTATTGATCTTGAGTTTCTAGAGCAGTTATTCAATGATCTGATTATGCCATCTCAAGAAGACTGTGGTGTGATTGAGCCATTAACATCACGACGAAAATTTTGTGGTAAGTGCTTCCCAAGTATTTTGCAACTACTCCCTAACTATTTCATAAACACTTATGAACTTTTCTAGACTGTGATCATGTTCAGGGCCCTGGCAGACTGGAACGTATAAAGTGTAGTGTTACATTTACTGCACTAGTACCAGTCAATATTGAGGCAACACCTTATATCCTCTTCACCTCTCATGGTATTCATCAGCACCCTCCACCTCCACCTCATAGACCACCAGAGCTAGTTATGAAGGGGATTCAAAAAGTGATAAGGCAGATGAGAAATCCCAGCTTAACTTTAGGTAAGTACTTCTCAGCCAGTTTGCAAGTATTTACTAACTACTTGGTAGCCCAATTTATTCAGAGTCCAGAGCTGGAGTCATTCTGTCAACAGTATGATGCATATTCACTAGCTGAAATCCATGCATCATTCTCAAATGTTGATCGAATCTCTGCAATTATTCAAAAGCAACGCCTTATGACCTACCCAGCAGGCCAACACTTTAATGGGGTTATATATCTATGTAATACTGATCCTTTCATAAAGGTAATCACTTGAAAACTACTTGACAAGTACTTGCTAATTAGATATAGGATTACATCCAAGAAAAGTTCTATGATGCTGGCCAAGTTATGATTATCTGTGGCTTTAAAGAACAGATACAGCTTCTCAATACATTGAATTCTTTTGAGATTGACATGTCATATAAACGGATTCGAGAAAAAGGGATGAATGAGGTTGTATTTGCAACCTACTTGCCTTCACATGGAAAAAGTAAGTACTTATAAAGCAATTAACAACTGACTACCAACTGATTAGACACTAATATGAGAACAGTCATTACACTTCTCCGAGTTTTCACCAACCAGGAATCCACTGAAGGCTATTATCTTCTATTTAAGAGGGCTTTCACTCTAATAGAACATGTAACTGGCAACCCAGTTGAATTTTATTCTATTCATTCCACTGGAATTCATGCTGTCATAGTTGATATGTGTCCAAAGCAGTATACAGGTAAGTGATTTATAAATTATAACTGCCTGGTAACTGATTCACAAGTACTTATGGACTACTTAGGTCTTGGAAAATACCTACAAGAGATTGATCCTCTCCAGCGTCCAATACTATGGCAATTACAGGGAATTATAATATTTTGTCGAGTTCACTTTTTTCGCACAATCACTGAGGCAGTTGGCTGTAATGATAGAGGTATAGGAGTTTGGAGTCGAATGGCTTCTTTGATTGACTGCAAATCTGAAGATGACTATGTTCAGCTATGTGAGCTATTAATTGGTAAGCCTTCTCCAAGCATTTACCAAGTACTTGCCTGCTACCTGCTAACTACTTCAGCCTATGAGAATACCAAAGTTCAGGACTGGGCAGTGCATAAAAGGCAGCCAGTTATCAAAGCTGGGCTTAATAAGCACTGCTCAAATATCCCTGAATTTATATATGATTCTATAAGAAATCATACCAATTCTGCAGAGCAATCTCATCATAAGGCAAATGCAGGTGGTAAGAGACTCACATTGACAGGCAATTCGCAAGTATGTATTGTCCAAGTACTTCCAAACTGATTCTCAAGTACTTATCTCTTTTTTATCCAGTTCTGCAAAGCTTGACAAACAAGATATTCTGCAATATATTAATCGCAGTGAACTTGGTATCCGTCATACTTATCAGACAACAAATTTGACAACCAATTATCTGCGGCATTCAACCCGTGAAGGTAAGAATATAATATATATATTTTTCCTTGGTTTATTTCCAAATAGTTGCCAAGCGATTGCTAACTATTCTAGAATCTCTCAAACGTCAGCGTTCTGAATCAGCCTCTCAGGGTGCTTCATCTAGGTATGTTTCAAGTGCTTAGGAACTGGTTGCCAAGTGCTTTGGAGATAATTAACAACTGCGTAGATCAATCTCTACTTCTTCTCAGGGTCGCCATCGTGTTTTGAGAAACACATTATCTTTTGAAGAGCAACGACAGGCTCTTGAAATTAAGGAGCGAGAAATGCAGCTTAAAAAAGAAGAGGAAGAGATTAGGAAATTACAGCTTGAAAATGAAGAAAGGGAACTTGAATTAATGGAAAGACGTGCAAGGATGCAGGAGAGTAGTTAACAACATTTGAGCACTGATTAGGAACTAGTTAGTAACTAATCCAAGATTCTTTATAATTTCAGTCAGGGCCTAACTACTTGTAACTAAACCCACATTGCCCTCTAAGCTTTAGGGGCTGGGCCTGGAGATGCTAATGGCTAGCTTTGGCACAAAAGATTTCATTGGGGAAGAGAGGAACAAATTCCCGATCAGGCAGCTCTATATACATGTGCATGCAGTGCAGGTAAATAGTTCCTCTGATAACCTCTCTGTCTGATAGCCCCTCTGCCTGACTAAAGATATTGCTTATGCAACAGGCGCAGCCTGTGACACTAAGCCTGCTTTAGGGCAGTGCAATCAAAGTGATTGAAATGTTCACAGGTCTTCAAGTCCTTGCAGCACTGCTTTGCAGTATGACAAGCACCACAGGGGATTGCATGGCTGTGACGGTTCACATATAACGACCCAACACCGCATCAACGGATGATGCATCACAAATGCCGCTATACAACCCCTATAAAAACCTCTTCATTATCCAGATAAATACCCTCTCCTTCCTCTGGATAGATTCCGTTCTCCAGATTCGAGATTCTCGTCGATGGTTACAATAGTTTAGATAGGAACTTTGATTCAATATTATCTACTATTCCGAGCCCGTGACAATGGCCCATATCTCGAATGTTCTTGCGCATATCGGTAATGTGAACCTAAATGTCACGGGCTCGGAATAGTAGATAATATTGAATCAAAGTTCCTATCTAAACTATTGTACCCATCGACGAGAATCTCGAATCTGGAGAACGGAATCTATCCAGAGGAAGGAGAGGGTATTTATCTGGACGCGGAGTTGATCTATCACATATGATGTGTCTTATATGATACATCAACTGTGATGCTTCTGAGAAAGTCTCTCCCAGTCCTATAGCGTTCGATCGTCACAGAGGTGTTGGGCCGTCACAGATAGTAAAGGTATTAAGGAAGAAATGTAGGCGAGAATTGTAATTTTGATTTCTGTACCGAAAGGTCCACATGAATTGTTTTGGGTCACATGACCATACTAGCGCGGTCACCTGAGGCTTTGAACGAGGTCGTGCCACCTGTATACTCCCCGGAATCAGGATTTTCTCCACCGGAGGAGCCTTTACTCCATTATTGCAAATCCAGGTGCCGCGTACACCGCCTGCTTCAGTTCCCTCTGGGCACATGGATATGATTGCCGACTGAAAGCGTGTCAGAGACCCTGCGTGCTCAACTAAGCATACAAGATCAGTGGCAGGTATTGTTTTCCTTGCACCAGCTTCTGCTCAATGGGCATAATGACTTTTTCCTTGCCTCCCAACACCCATCCGCAAGCCTTGCTTTGAAACAGTTGCCTGAAAAATATGCCATGCCGGCCCGGATGTGGCGCCATGGTATCCATTCCTTGGTGATGATACATTTGACCTCGGAGATACCTTTATCCCGAAGCATAGATAGCCCCCAAATAATATAATGAATTTCTTCCCCTCGGTCTTCTTCACATACACACACACACACACACACACACACAAACTCCCTCGCTCTTTTTTTCTCTCTTTCTCCATCAATGACTTTGGATTGACCAGGCCAACTTGCTCACTTTGCTGGCAACAATGTCCTTCCAATGGCCATCAGAAAATGACCCATTCTACAAACGCATCTTTGTGAAGACCCTGCTCTTCATCCCAGTAATCGCCGAAATTATGCTTCCAGTATTGATTGCTTTGTTTGTCATTGGGATGATTGTGACGATAACTGTGATGTTTTGCGGCGTGATGTTGGGCTTGATCCCGGATCCTACCAAGAACACCGACGACAACAGCAGCAGCAACAACAACAACAATAAGGGGGGCCAGACTGATTCCAGCAATCCTGCACAAGCAGTGGATGAGAAAACACGCATCAATGTTGAGATGGAGTTGCTCCGGGAGATGTTGCAAGCACGACAGGAGAAATTTGACAAGTTGAACCTGGTCAAGAATGATTGAAAAGAGAAGGGAAGGTTTGTGGCGGGGGAATAAGGGATCAAGTGAAGATTTCACTCCGGTCTTCCTGGGAAGTGTTCAGCTGTATGTTCTGGCCAACAAAGCTTGAAAGGACATTGAGGCAATTCAAGCTATGCCGGGCAATGTGATAGCGGATTTGAATTTGTTGGGTTCATATACGCCAATGCACGCCGTCGCGTCCAACGTAGAGATGCTCTGAGGATGCTGGCTGTAATTTACGTCGTTTCTGTTCTGGGGCAGCTTGGTGGAAACAAACTATTCCACGAGGTTTTGCGGGAAGGTGGTGATTGTGTTTGGTTGGACCAAGCCGGGTCCTGACAATGATCAATAGTTACCAACAGCTTCTGAGGGAAATAATTGGTTTCTTAAATGAACTGGCTGTATCATAAGTAGCATTTAAATAATGAAAAATACATATAAAGCAATTCTGAACATCTATCCACACCACACTCGAGCCAGTACTCAGAGGCTCTCCGAAACAGGTTGGGTCTGCTCTTGGTTACGTTGCTGACATTGCGACTTGTGTCTATCTGATCACCAGTGCTGGATGCTTCTCACGCTTCTCGTCATTTTGTGTATAAAGCAAGACACAGAGGTGTTCGATAAAAATGACTGAGTTTATTCACAATGACTGGGCGCTATCTTATGCCCAAACGCCGTCCTCAGAATCTGGAGTCAGCCTTGTCTCTTAGCCCCGCCCTCCTGAATAATTTTGGCATTTATCCTCCAGACTTCGGTTCCATAACATCTTTTATTTCTTTCATATTTCTCTTTAAATTAAGAAACCAGTTATTTTATCTGGAGAACCCTATCATTACATGGCCTATTATGGCAGATCTAAACTAACTAGTAGCCATCGACGAGAATATCGAATCTGGAGAGGAAAAAGAAGAAGAGTAATCTATCTACAGGATAATGGGAATATATCAATCAGCTGTACGACCGGGCTAGGGCGCCGTTTGTCTCGACTGCCCCGATGGCATCGTTTGCTCTATTGGTGGTGTTTGTCAATGGTGGCCATTAGCCGTTTGTCGTTGGCGACTATTGATTCCATGTCCATGTCCATGTCCAGTAGCAGCGAGGTTGGTGTAGTTAAATCCAGATCTTCTGGAGGGTTCTCTACTAGGGCTGCCTTCTGTTTATCTGGCTTATCTGGCTTCAGTCGTTTGCGAATTCCCGCCGGTTTGGCGATGCCATTGATCAGGATGTTGTCCCGTTGTTGGGGCGTGCCTGGAGTGCGGTCTCTGGCCGAATAGCGAGTGACGGGCGCCATGCGGTACTGCCTGCTAGTGTGTGAGGATAATCAGTGGATGGAGAGCTTTGGGAGTGTATGTCTGGCTGTATGCCTAAGGGCTCAGACATATAAGTCACGTGTGAACTAAATACGGAAGAAGGTATTTCCCCGAGACCCCGGATCGAAACCGGGACATGCTATGTACATACTTTTTTTTCTTTTTTTTGCTTTTTAAAGAGGCCAGCGACCGGCTTATCTTATCAGCCACACACTCATTTTCTTCCACCCCGCGAAGACTCATCCTTTGACTGATCTGAGTGAGATACAAGAGTCGTTGCTTCGTCTTAACACTGTCCTTTTGGTTACTCAAGGGACGTGGAAACCATTGAAAAGAGTTTCCAGTTTACTATCTCCATTTTGACCTACCCCCAGCGATTCGCAGTGGTGGACTTCGTTGCCCCTCCTTCGGACATAACACCACCACAATGGAGGCCAAGGTGAGTCGCGTTCCCCTACTATGGTCCATGAGTCCACTCTAACATATGCGATACACAGCCCCAGGAAACCTCCCTGCCCCTCCGTCCCGCCGCGGACGTGAAGCCTCCCCAGGAACAGCCCCCGGCGCAGCCCGAAGAATCCCAGGAGTCAACATCCAAAAAGAAGGAAAAGAAGGAGAAGAAGGCCCAGGAGAAGGCCGCCAAAAAGGAGCAGGCAGCCAAACAGCCCAAGCAGCCCAAGGGTCCCGCACCTGTCAAGGCAAAGAAGGAACCCGCCGCCCCTACCGACCCCGAGCAGATGTTCAAGGAAGGTTTCCTGCACCAGGTCTACCACGAACGGCCCGAGGAGAGCGTTACCACCCGATTCCCTCCAGAACCCAACGGTTACTTGCACATCGGTCACAGCAAGGCTATTGCCATCAACTTCGGTTTCGCCAAGTACCACGGGGGCAAGTGTAATCTGCGTTACGACGATACCAACCCGGCTGGTGAGGAACAGGAGTACTTTGAGTCGATTAGGGACATTGTCCAGTGGTTGGGTTTCAAGCCGGCTGCTATCACTTATTCCAGTGACCATTTTGACCGGTTGTATGAGTTGGCGGAGGAGCTGATTAGGAGGGATGGGGCTTACGTTTGCCACTGCTCGAGTACGTGAATTTTCACTGCAGTGAGAGATGCATATATTGACGGATGTTTTAGAGGCCGAAATCGAAGTCCAGAGAGGTGGAGGAGAGGGAGGAAAGGGCAAAGAACGTTTTGCCTGCGCGCACCGTGACCGTCCGATCGAAGAGTCGCTTACCGAGTTCCGGGCCATGCGCGACGGAAAATACCAGGCCAAAGAAGCTTCTCTTCGGATGAAGCAGGACCTCAAAAACCCGAATCCCCAGATGTGGGATCTTGCAGCGTACCGTATCCTCGAGGACAATCACCATTTCCGGACCGGTGACAAGTGGAAGATCTACCCGACATATGGTGAGTGTTCCAGACACGGTTGGGAGTGCTATTCGGATTAACAACGTCTAGACTTCACGCACTGCCTTGTCGATAGTTTCGAAAACATCACCCACTCTCTCTGTACCACCGAGTTTGAGCTCTCGCGTGAGTCGTACAACTGGCTCATCAACAAGCTGGACGTCTTCAAGCCCATGCAGAGAGAATACGGCCGCCTCAATTTGACCGGAACTGTTCTTTCCAAGCGCAAGCTGAACCAACTCGTCAAGGAGAACCATGTGCGAGGCTGGGACGACCCTCGTCTGTACACTCTGATTGGTCTTCGTCGCCGTGGTATCCCCCCGGGTGCTATTCGCGCATTTGTCAATGAGTTGGGTGTCACAAAGAATGTGACCAACATCGAGATCAACCGCTTTGAGCAGTCCATCCGTTCTTACCTGGAATTCTCGGTGCCCCGTCTGATGATGGTGCTCGATCCGATTGAGGTTATCATTGATGATCTGCCAGACGACTATGTGGAGATGATTGAGCAGCCTTTTGCGCCCAAGGACCCTTCGTTTGGTGTAAGTTTTTGACCCATCTCTTGAAGATAAATAGCTAATTGTTAGTCCCACCAACTGCCCTTCACCAAGCGTGTGTTCATTGACCGGAGTGACTTCCGTGAGGTGGACTCGCCCGACTACTTCCGTATGGCACCTGGCAAGCCTGTTGGTTTATTGAAGGCTCCCTACCCGGTGACTGCCAAATCGTTCGAAAAGGATGAGTCTGGTCGGGTCACGGTGGTCCATGCCAGCTACGACAAGCCTGCTGATGGGTCTGCACCCAAGAAGCCCAAGGCGTGAGTACAACCTTTTTTTTACTTTGCAACAACAGCATGCTAACAAAGCCAGTTTCATCCAATGGGTCGCCAACAGCCCGGCACACAACAGCCCGGTCAAGGCAGAGGCACGATTGCTCAACCCGCTGTTCCAGTCGAATAACCCCTCGGCTCACCCATCGGGCAACTTCCTCAACGACGTCAACCCTAACTCCGAAGACATCTACCCCGACGCCATGATCGAGGTGGGCTTCCACGACATCCGTCAGCGTGCTCCCTGGCCGGCAGAGGACCGCAAGGCCGGCAAAGAAAACGGCGTCCAGGCCGGACCTGAGGGCGTGCGGTTCCAGGCGATGCGGATTGCGTACTTTGCCATGGACCGGGATACGACGGACGACAAGGTTGTGTTGAACCGGATTGTGAACTTGAAGGAGGGTGCATAGTTTATAGCGTAGCATTGGTAGTTTGTGAATAGGTGCATGAATACCCCTGGGGTAATATATATCTTGCTTGATGTGTTCCTTAGCAGGGTAGCATTCGAACATATAGTGCTTAGTGAAGAACTGGCCAATACAAGGTCTCGTGGCGCAATGGTAGCGCGTTAGTTTCCGGTACTAAAGGCTGTGCGTTCGAGTCGCACCGGGATCGCATCCTTTTTTTTTTGACTTCTTTCGCTTCTATTTTTGCGCCATAACCTGCCGGAAATTGATCAAAAGAACGAGAATATCATCGTTCAGCTCAATTGGTATTCTGAGACTCGTGCGGCTTTTCGGTGCTATCTTTTTGGCCCCGGGTGCCGACCTCGATGACTGGGGGATAGATACCATGGGTCTTCCCGCGAGTGACAGGACGGTTGGCAGGTGGTTCACCAGGAACATGCCCGGAGAATGGCTAAAGAATAACCAGGAACAGAGCAATGTTATCCTAGTGTCATGGATCATTAGGGACCGCCCGGCTGTACATACCCCGGGGTACGTACACCGATACCCAACCATGATTCAGACACCAATTCAACATCATCCAGAATGCAGAATCAATCGGATACACCCGATCAAGCATAAAGATAAAGTACCCGGAAAAAATACTCTAAATTGGCGGAATATCTCCGACTTGTTTCAACGGTGCATACGCCATTCTCGTGGCGATGTCGTGATCCCGTCAGACAAGCACATCTGCGTCGATGGTGGAGAGAAAGACTGTGCGAATATGTCCACTATGCTTGCACCATCCACGCTAAACATGGGTTTCTCGTCTATCGGGAAATGTCAGGTTAAACTGGGTGTATTGGCCGGTAGATATAGATCAAATAAAAATGCGGATGCCCCCTGTCACTGTCATGTTGCAGATTCCGATTCCTTCTGGATATTCGACAGTGACAGTGACAGGGAATTATGGCGCAGACAATGGATCAGAAACAGCATACGGTGGAAGATGGCGTGGAGGTTTCGCCGACAAGCTCTGGGAAGGTCGATGACAACTATGATATCTACAAGCGGTACCAGGGCATTGAGTATACTGAGGAGGAGGCCAAAAAAGTTCTTCGGAAGATTGACTGTCGGGTGGTTCCTATTCTATTCTTGATCTATTTGATTCAGTATCTGGATAAGAACAGTCTGAACTTTGCTTCGGTGTATGGCTTGAAGACGGCGACGAAGTTGGAGGGACAGGATTATTCATGGCTGGGTTGGTACCTTTATCGTGTTGGATACTGGATTGTGCTAATGTTCGTAGGATCAATCTTCTATATCGGATACCTCGTCGCCCAATGGCCAGCCGGATATGCCTTGCAGAGACTGCCGATTGGAAAGTTTCTGAGCATTACGACATTCAGTAAGACTCCATATTCCAAATGTTAACCTAGCTTTATTGACCAAAATCAGTCTGGGGAGGTCTCCTCATGACAACGCCGGCATGCCACAACTTCCCCGGTATTGCTGCCAACCGCTTACTCCTGGGTATCCTCGAGGCCGCAGTTAACCCGGGTTTCGTGTTGATGATGGGTATCTGGTACACAGCCAAAGAGCAACCACTGCGATTGGAAGCATACTACTGCACCAACGGAATTGCAACCATGTTCGGAGGGTGAGTTTACATCCCAAACCTCAATGCAGACTGGCCACTGACCAACCAGTCTAATCGGTTACGCCGTCGGCCACATCACAACCGGCCTCGAACGCTGGATGTACGTCTTCCTCATTTTCGGCGCCTTCTCCATAGCCACCGCCATCGTCTCCATCATCTGGCTCCCCGACCTCCCCTCAACAGCCAAATTCCTCACCGAGCGCGAACGAGCCATCGCCGTCGACCGCGTCGCTATCAACCGGCAAGGTGTCAAGAACCACCACTTCAAATCGGACCAGGTCTGGCAGGCTGCTCGTGACCCCAAGACTTGGTTGTTGTTCATCATGGCCGTGGGTGCTCAAGTGCCCAATTCCGCACTTACTAGTTTTACCTCGATCATCGTTAAATCCTTCGGCTTCGATACCCTCGGCACGCAATACCTCCAGATCCCCGGCGGAGCAGTACAATTCCTCTCCCTCCTCGGCGGAGGCATCATTGCAACCAGATACGCAGACCGTTTCCACGCCCGCAGCACCTGTATGATCGTTGCTAATCTCATCTGCATCATCGGCGCGGGTTTACTCGTTGGCCTCCCCGATTCCAACCAGTGGGGCCGTCTTGTTGCGCTGTGGCTGTGCTATTTCCAGGGTCTGGGGTTTAGTATGAGCTTGACGATGATTAGTTCGAATGTCGCCGGGTCCACGAAGAAGCAGATTACGGGGGCTGTGGTGTTTACGGGGTATTGTGTGGGGAATATTATTGGGCCGCAGACTTTTAAGAGTAGTGAGGCGCCGGGGTATCATAGTGCTTATGTTGCGTGAGTTCCCTGTTCCCATCCCTGCGGTGGACTTAGTGTGATGTGTGCTAATGAATTGACAGTATGTTGGTCGGTTATGCCGTGAAACTGGCGGCTATCACCGGTCTTTATGCATACATGTACCTCGACAATAAGAAACGGGATCGTGAAGCCCATGTTGAGGAGTATGGAGAGGACGTTGTTAAGGAAGGGATCGAGAAGGGGATGATGGTAAGCCTTCTTTACCTCTTCACCGTGCTAGGGATATGGATGTGTACTGACAGCTACAGGACCAAACGGAACTCGAAAATAGGGCGTTTAGATATGTTTTATGATTTGTTTTCTACCACTAGTATCAAAAGTAATAAAGTCGTTTTTAAGTTTCACGCCACTATGGTTTCCAACCGAATGAACATTCTGGAATATCAGCAATGATAATTTACTTGTTGCATTCGTTCACGCCGTCACTGCTTCTGATATTGCGGATTTAGTAGGCCGTCGCCTGCCTGTCTTAGCTACTACTCACGAGGCACTGAAGCTGGCATGGAAACTGGAGTATATATACACATAGAGACCAAAATATGCTTTTAGTATCTGACCAGCGAGGCTTAGTCCTGTCTCGCAGGATCTTCATCCGGCTTGTTGAGCAACAGCTCATCGATTTCCGCCATTATTTCTGGCGTCAACTTGGGCAACAACTTCAGACTCTCGACGTTGTCGACGACTTGCTCCGGTCTCGAAGCACCGGTAATAACAGACGAGACGTTTTCGTTCTTCAGACACCACGCCAGAGCGAGTTGGGAGAGTTTGAAGCCGAGTTTATCGGCGAGGGTCTGTCCACAGTCAACTATTTATCTTAGCAAAAGTGGCAGGAAACATACCTTAAGCTTCACGATCTTCCTGATTGTACCCGCCCACTGCTCATTCTCCCAGTCCCTGCGCACGCTATCCGCAAATCTATCATTACTCTCTGCGAACCGAGAACCCGGCGGAGGCTGCGTCGTCGCATCATTATACTTCCCACTCAACAACCCCATCTTCAGCGGCGAAAACGTAGTCAACCCAATACCAGCGCGCGAGTACAAACGCTGAAACTCGCTTTCGACCTTGGTCCGGTCAAGCATGTTATACAACGGCTGCTCAACAATCGGCGCAATCAGACCCAATGCCTTGGCAATTCCACACGCCTCGCTGATCTCATCGGCAGACCACTGCGATGTACCCCAGTAAAACGCCCAGCCCTTTTCAATGACATAGTTGAACGCGCGCACGGTCTCCTCCATAGGCGTCAGACGGTCCGGTCGGTGCGCGTAGATGATATCGACATATTCGAGCTGTAACCGCTCAAGCGAGGCGCGGGTTCCTTCGATAATATGCTTCCGCGAAAGACCGTGGTTGTTGATTAGGATTTCGCCGTTCGCGAGACCCCAGTTCAGTTTGGTGGTGATGACCAGGTCGTTTCGCTTCCAGCCATATTTCTTGATCGCCTGGCCCATGATGATCTCCGATTGTCCGCCCGCGTAGCTTTCGGCTGTGTCGAAGAAGTTGACGCCGCAGTCGTAGGCTTGTTTCATGCAGGTGAAGGTGGTTTCTAGATCGTTAGCGTTGGGATTGATGATCAGTAGGTGGTATCGTACCGTTTTCGACGTGGCCTCCGAAACTGTGAAGAAAGGCAGTGTTAGCGATATTTTATTATACTGGTGTAGGGGAAAGGCTCACGTTAACCATCCTCCCAGTCCAATGGCTGATACGTGCAGGCCCGAGTTGCCCACGCGGCGGTACAGCATGTCTTTGTTCTTGTTTGGCCACGCCATTGTGATGTGTCTTGGATCGATCCGGGATTATTATTCAATTGAGATAGAAAGGAGTTTGAAAGTTGTGTACAGCGCAGGGTGCGCAGTGCTATTTATTCGTTGCATCGTGTGGGGAGGCTTCGGAGTAATACTCGGAGGGTCCTGAGGTTAGTTGGACGAGTGAGGATTGTGGATGCACTTTGGCCGGTGAATTACTGATAAATCATAGTAGTGCGCTGTATAGAATAAGGTCCTTTGGAGAGTTGTGATGGTGAGAAATGAAGCTGCCAGACAAAGGGCTGCCATCAGGTGACCTTCCCGATTGGGCAGCCCTCGACCTCACTCTCTTCTTTCTCGATTCTTTCTTCTTTCCACCCAAGCAATCAACTTTTCTATTCAGTCGCCATCACTGTCCAGTATGTCAAGCTGGTTTCTCGCTAATTATATTCTTCGTCATATCTCTTGAGTTTCCGCTTATTGATCCATCTAGAGAGTCTTACTCTTCAGCTTCAACGTCCACGGAATCTCCCCGAACTGTACCAAACGGGCCTCTACAACAACCAGCGAACAAGATTGATATACCCCCAGTACACCAACGGAGTACGGATAGTTATCTCGTTCATGAGTCGCGGCCTACAGCGTACCTCGATAGTCGATTCTGGCCCATGTGGGTCGGCGATGGCGTGCCGCCGGGGTCGATTAACGCAACCAACGCTATTTCTATCTCTGGCATCGTCGCCAGATCCCGTCGAATAAACTGCAGAGGAACTAGAACTTCCAGGAATTATGGCAAAATTTCGGAACAATGCATCTTGTTCGGCTCCTCTTGGCTCCATGCGCGTTGGCGCATTGCCCCGCAAGTCTGGGATCAACTGACTCTCGCAACGGCTGGTCTTTTGTGCTGCAGAATTTCAACTCTTTCATGTGTGACAGATTTACGACTTGACGACTGTCATGTCTTCGAATCGAACAAACGTGACCAAACGCGCTTGCGATGGGTGCAAGATTCGGAAGATTCGTTGCGGCGGAGGCCATCCGTGCAAGGCTTGTACGAATGCGCGCATCAAGTGCACTTACATTCGAGTTCAACAACCTCGAGGTCCGCAGAAATTGCGCTCGACGACAAAATATCTGATCGAACAAGCGCAGAGGGAAGACGTTTGTGAATCACCGCGCCAGTCCATAGAGCCCACATTGGCGCATTCAGTCGAACATACAACAGACAGGTACGAACATTTCATGACTTTGGTATCCCCGCACTGTTCTGATGATGATTGCATTCTAGGTCTCGGATTCCTCTGAATGTCCTGACCACTCCCCTCTACATCTATCACGTGCGCATGTACCCAGTATGGCCTATCGTCAACGTCGAACGTCTGGTATCTATATTGCAGCATGACACTGAAACTGCGGATCCCGAAATATACGCCTTGGCCACTGCTGTCGTAGCTGCAACAGTCGCGCAGTTGAGACTAGGTCAAGGCTCTCTTTCCGACGACTCGATGACCGCGGATACCTTTGCAGCAGAATGTCTTCGAGTCCGCGGTACGTGCCAGTACAAGTCCAAGGTTAACTTGAATAACGTGCGAACATCGTTCTTTTTGCACGTATACTACGAAAACCAGCAGTCGGGAGGAAGCGAGTCGTTGTTGTACTTGAGGGAAGCTATTTCGCTCGCTCAAATGATGAATCTGCATCGCGAATCGTCATATGCGAACCTTTCGTTGGAAGAGCAGCAAATCAGACGTCGCGTACTGTGGCTCTTGTTTGTTACAGAGAGGTGAGCATATCCTACTTGCTAACTCGGATTAAGCTAATGATATAGGGGCGTCTGCATCCTCCATAAACTCCCGGTCGTTCTACGAACCAATGTTGTACCTCCTTCAGCAGATGACGGCAACGAACCCCATGTGCTACCTGCGTTTCTCAAACTACTCAACCTTTTCCGGCTCTTTGAACGATCGAAAATGTTCGACATAATAGAAGGCGATGACCTGGAGACAGAATCCGTCGGTGATAAACTAGGCTTCGACAACCGATTTCTAGAGACATTGCAAGATAAGCTGGAGGACGGGTCAGTTGTTTTTGACCATATATCGGACGTACAAAAGGCAGACCTATGCGTCACACGACACTGGATGCGAATGATCTTGTGGAAGCTCTCAACCAAGAAAAGCATCTCATACAACCAGTCACCGCAAACGCCCACTTCACCGTCATTCCCGGTGGCAGTTGCGAAGGAGCTGCTGAATATTGTTTCGCAGCTACCCAGACCAGCCATCGAGGCGCATGGTCTTGGAATGGTGAGTTCGATCGCCTACTGATGTAGATGACCTCGTAACTGATCTTGTAGGAACTAAAACTGTACGAAATTGCAAACTCGCTCGCCGATTCGATCATGAAGCTGGCGATGTTCCCTCGGGCTTCTGAATTAGAATTCGAAAGCCGACCAAATAATATTCTGTATCGACTGCACTCCATATTATCGACATTCCGAGGAGGAGGAAACAAAACATTAGTTGACATGCTCTATAAAAAGATGGCAGAAGCAGATTCTAGAAGCGCGCCAACGTTATCGGCCCTGCAGCCATCGCATGCAGGATACCGGAAGAGTAGACGATTGACAAGGGTTGGGGTCAATCAGCATAGCCAAGATGCTGTCACGGTAGCGACTGCACCTAGTCTTGACCATAATCTTGCTGTGACAGGACAACTTCCAGAACAAAGGACCCGCACTGTTGGAGACAGTCTAAACCCTCCAGAGGAGCTACACATCGAACCAATGGAAATGGACCACCGCAATGATTACCGGCAGGCAATAAAAGACCCATCAGTCGACGGGATTCCGGAAATGCCATCTAGCCCACTTTTCCCAAACTACATTGACCAGGATCCCTACATAGCGCCAACGCCCTTCCTGCATGCATCAGCAGCACCGGATCTCCCCGCATTAGCCCCATCATGGCCGTCCTATGACTCGGTTGAGCTAATGCTTGATGACTTCCTGGCGCAGGTCCCCGGGGATCCATTTTTGGAGGACGGCTTATTTGAGGGGCCGTTTATGGGATCTGATTTGCCGGAGCAGGTCTTTACAGGTCGGGATTTTGTGGGGATTAGTCCGGCTTAGTAGTTTTATGCATGTTTGGTATTCGTGATTTTGGCTTGTGATGGTGTTATTTGGGTTGATTGGTTCTATGTACATACTTTTCTCTCTCTTTTTATTTTTTTATTTTTATTTTATTTTTTTTTAATGAACCGCTGTACGGAGCAATTCTCGGACAGTATTTACTACTTCTGAAAAAGAACATAACAGATTTTATGTAAGACAATTCGTCGATGGCCAAGAAGAGAACAGGAGTTGCCGTCTCTTTCTGCACATATTCCTTAAAAGACCCAACGAATAGCTGGTTCTAGGCTTCACGCATTCCTTTGACGCTCGTAGTGACAAAATATGAGAGCTGCTTTTAACGCAGGTATCTCGGCTCGGATTCACTTCTCTGGTATAAATGACCATGTAGTAAATTCTTGCTATGTCAGTCTTTCAACCAGGACACCATGGGTTGCGGCGTCTTGATCAATTTTCTTCTCTTGACTGGATTTTTCGTTGCTCGACTTAGCTTCTCTTTCGTAGAAAGTAGCACGAGATCTGGCTCAGATAAGCAATTCCTGGATGGTAGATGTGCAAGTTGACGAGACTTCAGTGACCACCCTGTATGCCCAAGCTGTAGACATTCAGAACATCCGACTTCGATGAAGATATGGACCATTTCGAGCCGCTATCAAGGACGACGCAAAACGTTTGGGGTACTGTTGGTAACTTTTGAATTCTTTTTGTCAATGACGGTACTTGAATGGAGCAAAATGTCATTTCTTTGACATGAAACGGGACGAGAGAAGGAGCCCTAGCGTGATGGAACACACGCAGGATCATGGAAATCCAAACGAGCCACCACGCTGGATAGACTCGCAGGTACTCGCTTTCGCTTAGACCATTTAGACCCTCTGCAAGGAGGAGAAACCTAGGGATTCCAGGAATCAGCTGGTTCTTTTTGAATTAGCCTCTCAATAAAGATGCTCGAGAGGAGCGAGATGAGCTCTCAGTCCAGCCCCATGTCCCTAACATTGCCAATTACACAGCAAATCATTGCTTTGCTAATCTTTCATCAGGGCGCCACACGGTGGTCAAGTCTCTTGCTTCCTTGACGGAAGTCCTCTGACTTGATTAGAATTCTCTTTCGTAGAAAACAGCACAATATCTAGCGCGCTTTGCTTAGGCAAACAATACCTGTATGGCAGATGCGTAGCTGCCGATTGCTGTGGTAATCGTGTGATTTATCACCGTGGGAAATATGTACCGGATAATGCCTGGCATTCGAGACTTTTCCCTTTCCGTTTTAGTGCTCACCCTTGCCGCTTTTTGATCACTGAGTAAAACTGAGCACTGAAATGGGGATCGGGGGCCGGAGGTCCGGAGGAGTCGATTATCCGCGACTAGCGAGATCGTATACGGAGAGACCCAGTTTTAACGAAGAGATTGATATATTCTCGTCTATATGCGTGTACACAAGTGCTTGAGTGCTTGTCTATCTAAATGTGCGCTCACGCTGGCCTATATCATCGGACCGGTGGAACTAATCGGACCGACATTATTCCTTATCATCGGGCTCCTTGATCTTCTTCTTCGACAACTATTGATATCGCATTCTCCCGTCAGCTTATGGGGAGTAACTCTGTAATGAACACTATAAGGCCGTCCATTCCTCGTTTGTCCGCCTTGCTTCGCAAGAAACCGTTTCCCATGCCTTCTCCCGGGCCACCTTTACCGCCCGGCAGACTTGTTGATGAAGAGATCTCGCCAGTAACTATATGATTCCAAGTACTTCTACCCAGCGAGGCCTGGAGAGGTACTCGCCGATCATTACCAAACCCTGGTCAAGGTTGGCTGGGGTGTGTCTTCAACAGTATGGCTCGCGCGTGATTTGCAAGGGTAGCCTTCAATAATTTCTGTTCAATTTGAAGCTCTCTCTGTCTCTAACAAACATACAGGCATATCAAAGAGTCAGAGAGCGTTGTGGCACTGAAAATCGCCAATAACAATGTGAGTTCCGCTGGTCATGAGCATGAGGTTGAAGAGCACATTTCCACAGCAGACCCATCACATCGCGGTCGCTCACTTATCCGAACATTACTAGGCTCTTTTGAAGTTAAGGGTCCAGAAGGTTCTTATTTGTGTCTTGTGTATCCGCCTATGAGGGAGCCATTGTCGATGTATCAGCAGCGCTTTGATTATAGAAAGATGCCACTGCCCCTCATTAAAACATACATTCGTGCTCTTCTTACGGGGCTTGATTATCTTCACAAAGAATGCAGGATAGTTTATACGGGTAAGTTCATCTTCAGCCTTGCTTCCCGTCGGTGATACTGAGCCCAGGCGGCTGCCTAGATCTAAAGCTTGAAAACATCATGGTCTCATTCGAGGATCCAACCGTGCTTGCTGATTTCATGGATTCTCAGCTTGAAAAGCCGATGGCTTTCAAGATTGATTTGGCAGGAAGACCAGTGTATCAGTCCTGTAATGACTTCGGGCCACTCAAAAGCCTGAGAAGTATACCACAGCTTGTCGACTTTGGCTTGGCAACCAGACTTGAGGAAGATGATGACTGGGGCGTCTGGCCTATTCAGCCAGACCACTATCGGGCGCCAGAGGTGATACTGGGTAATGGATGGCAAATGCCTGCGGATATTTGGAATCTTGGTGCTCTGGTGCGTCCCATTGTTCTCCAAAGTTGTTGCATCCACTAATGCCAGACCAGTTGTGGGATATGATTGAAGGCAAAGAGCTATTTCAGCATATCCATGATCAACAAGGTCGCTATGATGCTAAATTACACATCACTGAAATGATAGACTTACTCGGTCCACCCCCTCCAGAGGTCATACAAAAGTATCAATACATGCGAGAGTATTCGTGGCCGGAACCTGTCAGACGAGAAGATGACAGAGTATGTGAGACCGCAGAGGAGTACTTCTGTGGGCCATTCTTTGACAATAATGGTATTACTGGGTTTCCTATCTCGAACGAATTATTCTCAGACTCACAAAACATCTTAGGTTGCTTTCACTATGAAGACCTGATCCCCAACCGGAAACTAGGCGACACAGTTTCCTTCCTTGAGGGAGAGGAGAGGGAAGCGTTTCTGGATTTTGCCAAGGGAATGCTTGCCTGGCATCCAGATGCGAGAAAAACGGCAGGCGAACTGGCGGGGCATCCTTTTCTTCAACCAAAGCAAACAAGCGCCTGATTTCTGCGGTGTTTGCTAGCGGAATGACTCGAAATCGTGTTTGATCCCAGTTCGGCGGTGCCATCAGATGACCGGTTGAAGCGTTAACGTAGTTGTCTTTCTGAATGACATCTAATAGAGTCAGTTGATCTGTCTTTGATTGGAAAGTAATAGCATTATACCTTAAAATGAGATCCAAGCCATCAATCGCAATTTCATCAGGGTCATGATTCTAAAAACTGCTGTCAATGCGGGTGTATGTATAATTGGCGAATATATATAATATATTCACCATGGAAGAAGTGATTGAAGGTTGCCAATTCCGCCGCGCCTCCCCTTCTTGCTGAATAGGCACACATTACACTCCTGCATTTTGCGTTAGTAGCGATATTCATTGCTACTTTTACCTTTTTTAGTGCTATTCTATCAAAATGATCGCTCTACATCTCTATATGCGTATAGAATAAACATAGCTTAATAAGTCGGCCGCTGGATTCCCCTTCACAGCTAGACCTCGCCCTCACTCGCCGGTAACCCTCAGAGGGTCACCCTAATATCTTCATTTTGAGGGTTGAGAGTCCGACTCTCTCACCCGCAGTGAGTGCAGAATATTGGAGGGAGTTTGGGAAGGAGAAAAAGATTTGGGAGGAGACGAGGTCAGAACAGTGAGGGAGGGCTCTTTTATATTGGAAGGCCAGGCGGGTGGTGCTTACAGTACGGCGTATCAGGAGGCTATACCAGAAACGGTAAAACTAAGCGGAAGAGGGAATTCACAGGTCCTTGTTTTACACAGCTAACCCATTTCTAATTAGCTCGTGTAATCATTGACCAATGTAGCTCCAAATAAGTGTATAATACTCACTTAGTTTCTTCACTGGTCCTTTCTTCTAATGGCCGAGTTGTGGCATTATAACTTCACTGCATATTCCAAAGTGCCCAACATATCCTCCATCAAATCACTGATATCTTCCACGCTTACACTGAGCCGGATCAAATCATCGTAGATTCCACCTTTTTCCCGCGCCTCTTTGGGCATTCCATTGTGTGTCATCGCTGCTGGTATTTCGCACAAGCTCTCCAGCCCTCCCAAGCTCTCAGCAAGAGCGAAATACTTGGACGATGTACAGAACTTCGCTGCCGCTTTTGACCCGCCTCGAATTCGGAAAGATATCATCCCTCCGCCCAAACCATTGCGGTGTTGTTTCACTGCGACTTGTCGCTGTGGATGACTATTGAGACCAGGATAGTTCACACTTATCACGTGGGGCGACTTTTCAAGGATATTGGCGAGAGCTGACGCATTACGGGCTGCTGCAGGTGCACGGAGATGCAGGGTCTTCAGACCCCGATGGGCGAGCCAACAATCAAAAGGGCTAGGAACACTTCCAGCGGCATTCTGAACGAAAGATAGGGTGGCATGAATCTCGGAAGAGTTGAAGGCGATTGCACCCATTAAAACATCCTGTAGTGTGTAAATATTACGCTCAGCAGAAATTTTAAGAGATCTGGGCACTATTGACTTACAGTGTGTCCATTGATGCATTTGGTGACAGAATGCAGGACAATGTCTGCGCCGTATCTCAAAGGATTCTGGATATATGGCGACAAGAAAGTATTGTCTACCACAACCTGGGCTCCGGCCGCATGAGCGGTTTCAGCCACAACCTGAATATCGACGAGGGACAGAGTTGGGTTACTGGGTGTTTCAAGCCAGACGATTTTGACTTTCTCCTCAGATGTGTTTAGCACTTGAGTCAGTCTGTTCTGGATGTCATCAACAAATATCACTTTCACACCAAAGGCCGGTGCAATACGTGTTAGATATCGATGGGTTCCGCCATAGAGACTGTCTATAGACACAATAAGCGATCTTTGTGCTAGGCCTTGGACAATGGCTGCTGTTGCTGCCATGCCAGAAGAGAAGACCAGTGCGTAGGTAGCACATTCGAGGTCGGCAATGGCATTTTGAAAACTGTCACGATTGGGGTTGGAAGAGCGCGAGTAGATGTAAGGGCCAATGGGACAGCCAACATCCTGTTGGGCAAATGTTGTTGCAAGTGAAATCTACAGTAGGTGTGAGAGATTCTGAGGTGATAACCTTATTATCGAACGAAAGAAAGTCGACTTACTGGTTCCACCAATGCACCTGTGTTGGCATCACGGGGTAGACCCGATCGGACAGCTCGAGTTCCAAAGCCTGTCATGTTTCCAGTGGACTGATTCAATATGGAAAATAGAAAACAAGCTTGTCTGTTAATAAACAGAACGAGGGCCAAGTCAGCTTCTTAAGTGCGAGCCAAGCGAATCCCCTCTTTCCCAAACGGGCAATTGATAAGGCGTGAGCATCAACCTTTTGAAGGGAGTGTTAATAATTACTACTAATTTCTCCTGAAGTCGGATACAAACGGCCTGGCTATTGTGTGCTTGCTCATGCTCTACTTCTTAGAAGCTACTGGACTCAAGAGTTTGCTCTTATCTTCGATTTCATCCTTTGAATTTGCCCGCGAAAGTATGCAATCGACGAATCATACACATTTTGAGGTGACATTACATTCCACGTAAACACTCAATTATACCTTGGAATTCCCAAACTACTTCCTAATGTAAACACTCACCATATCCGTTCCCTTGCCGCTTTCATAGGACCGCTCAGGCTTAATATACATCATTCTAGTGAAAGAGCCACCTTGAGGACCTTGGTGAACCTCATCTTCGATAATTCCATCACCACCTTCAGCAAGCAGATTCCAATGCACACCCTTTAGACCCCACGGAGGACCCGGAAGCTTAGGGTCTTTGTAGAGAGGGAATTCAAGACAAATTAGCATACCACCAGGAGTGAGCAGGTCTGCCATTCTTGAGGCCCACCGAGAGCGGAGTACAGGTGGAAGAGCACACAAGAACTATTTATTGACTTTTCGTTAGAGCTTTTCTCGGGTCACAGGCGCAGAACTTACGGTGTAGTCGTAAATCAGGTCATATTTTTTCTCTTGCTCCCAGTCGGATTTGAAGAAATCACCCTCAATGAAAGATACTGATCCTCTTTGAGTGTCCACCCAAGAGGCTCCAAAGTTGTACTCCTGTGGCTTGGAAAGCTCATTGCTGGCATACTCCTTTGCCACGGTAACTCCAGTCGCTGAAACTTCCAGTCCAACAACGTCAAAGCCATGAAGTGCGAGCATTACCACATCATAACCCTTTCCACAGCCCTATATGCAATCGTGAGCTATAGTTCGAGAAAGCTGCAGCCACCCTACTCACTGGAACGAGGGCCGATTTTCTTTTCCCATCGGGTGTGATGGCGCTCAAAGCGTCTGCCTTTTGCTCAAGAAGGTCAATAAGGGCCGGCGAGGGCTTCCCTCTATCCCACATATCACTTTCATCAGTGTCCCAGAGATTTGACCACGCAGCAGAGTGATCGTCGATGGCACTGTCAAGCGTCAGAATAAGTGGGTATCTTTTAACGAAAGGGAAAGGCACTTTACCGTTCATTGAAGTGTTTGATGAGACGAGTCTGCCCATCAGGCGTTTGAAGGCACTCGGGGAACGGAGATGGCATTGAAGATCTTTCACTCTCAAAGAATGCTGGTTGATCTTTATTGATCAGTAGTAGATGGCGAGCAGTGTTACACCCGGATAATATATAGTGTTATATCTCTGAGTCACTGTATTATTCATTCACGGATTCCAGAACAATCTAAAGGAGCCTTGTACGAGTCCCTCCTCTCGCGCCCTTGACTAATCTACTACGAGAAATATAACTATTTGACTGCGGAGCCACTCGGGAAATGCGCCTTTCTGGTTGCCGTTTTAGGAATGACCCATTTGACTAAACGCAAGCCAATGAAAACGGCTCATCTCGCATCAATATATAAGAACACCCCTAGCCATACCTATAGAGGAATACACAAGGGCGTGGCAAGAACAATACATCATGATAGCTTCAATTAGCAAGAACTTTAGATTCGGACATATTCAGTTCTTTACCCAATGGAGCTCAACCAAACATATATCCCATTTGAAATTGTTCAACTAATCGCGCAAGTATGTAATCCACTGTAAAAGATATTTGAAAGGATGCTCATGGATGTTTTCAGTTTTGTGACAAGAGAGAAATCACGCAGTTACGACTAGTATACCGCGACTTGAACGCCATATCATCCCCGCTCCTTTACAGGGCCCTCGTCGAAGAAATCTCAAACGAAGGACACTTTCACTTTCACCGGGCGATTTCACGCTGTCACTTAGCTGCTATATCTCGAATGCTTGAATTTGGAGCCTCACCAAACCAGCGAGATTTACATGGCGAAGCTCCATTACACGCTGCTGCGCGAAACAACTGCGTCAGTGGGGCTCAATTGCTTCTGGGCTTGCATGTGGATGTCAACGCACAATCTCAGACGGGCTGGACACCCTTACACCTGGCTGCTAGGTATGGACATTATGTGTTCAGTACAGTATTGCTTGAGCATGGTGCGACGCTCGATACTCCGGGCTTCCATGGATGGACAGCACTGCACTATGCTGCTCGTTCGGGTCATGAGAAAATGGTGCTACTACTGCTAAGCTCCGGTGCCCGTAGTGATTTTCAAGACAATGATTCAAAGGCTCCTACATATTATGCCAGAAAGTTCAGGCATTGGGGGGTTTTGAACATGTTATGTGAACCGATTAGTGAGAATTGAAATAGAGCCTAAAATTATGGCTCATAATTTATGATCTTAAACGGTCTATTAGATCTGTGCGACTATGAGATGTAAAAATAATAATAATAAAAAAAAAAAAGGATGAGACAATATAATACGCCTTTCGTATTTCCAATTTGGGATTTTCCAAAGTACGCCTGGAATCGGCAAAATGCATATCCCACCACACTGGAATATTTTAAAACCTGATAATCGGTCTGTCTTTTTTCAAAGTTACCTTACCTTAGTTGGGATCAATATATTCTTTGATAAAATGGACCAAAGCAACACCAAGCCCGGAAATTTCCTAGGTCAGCTGAAGTGTGACTCCGTTGCGGATAGCATTGGAGCAACGCCCCTCACGCGGCTCAATCGTCTCCCAGCAGCTCTTGGGATCAAAGCCCAGGTTTATGCAAAGCTTGAATACCTCAATCCTGGTGGCTCCGTGAAAGACCGAATCGCCAAAAGCATGCTCGAGAAAGCCGAGGAAGATGGCATAATCAAACCCGGCGATACCTTGATTTAAGCCTCGAGTGGTAATACGTGAGTCTCATACATTCACTTCTATACAGTACAAGTATATTAAGGTGCAAATAACTAACAAGAGAATGCCAAATAGCGGAATTGCCATTGCTCTCATGGCCGCTGCCAAGGGCTACAAATGCATCATCACGCTGTCTGAGAAGATGTCCCTTGAGAAAGAACAGATTTTGTGCGCATTAAGTGCCAAAGTTGTCCGAACCCCCGCTGGAGTCCCTATAGACTCCCCCGATTCCATTATCAGCGTTGCGAATCGTTTGCAGCGGGAAATTCCCAACTCGCACATCCTGAACCAATACACCAACCCCGGAAACGCGGCTGCGCATGAGTTCGGGACTGCCGAGGAGATCTGGTATCAGACCGAGGGTAATGTCGATGTGGTAATCAGCGGTGCCGGAACTGGAGGAACTGTTACGGGAATATCCAAGGGCCTGAAGAAACGCAACCCCGGGATCTTTGTTGTTGGCGTGGATCCGATGGGATCGGTGCTTGCTCAGCCAGACTTTCTCAACGAAGTGAAGCAAGAATACAAAGTCGAGGGGATTGGCTACGACTTTGTGCCGGGGGTCTTGGACCAGACTGGGCCTGATTTATGGATCAAGACGACTGATCATGATTCATTCCAGTTTGCCCGGCGACTTATTCGAGAGGAGGGGCTGCTTTGTGGAGGTTCTGCTGGTGCAACTATTGCTGCATTGACTCAGTTGGTCAAGGAAAGACCAGATCTCAACGTGGAAGGCAAGCTCATTGTAATCATATTGGCTGATGGGGTTCGGAACTACTTGACTAAGTTTGCCAGTGATGACTGGATGAAAGAGCAGGGGTATAGCAATGCGTGAGCATGTATGAGGGTGGTTGTAATTAGAGAAAAGTCAAAGATACGTTAAACAAATGAAAAGGGCCCATGGGAGATTTTTCTTACTACTGATAATGACCTATGGATCCGTGTCGGGATCCAGACTCGCTTGTCGCTTTAAAGGAGCCCTGTCACTATTCTCAAATCGCGATACTGATCAAAAAGGCAAATCTGCTTCTGCTGCTGAGGACTCCTGAGCAGAGTACATCCCTGTTTGCTGTGGGGTAGAGCACGAAATGGAGCCATCCCTGAATTTGCGAAACTCCGCAAGGCATTCAGGACTTTGCCATGCCCAAGGCATCCAAGGATCAATTTCACCAGCAAGGCCATTGGTGCACATTTCATTTTGATTTTTCACCCGATGATATTCTTCATCTGCTGTCCACGGAAGTGGGAAGATAGCATTAGAAGATATATTTGATGTACCAGGATCCAGGTTTGGAGTTGACGCGTTCAAACCAATTCCCTCCTTGAAAAGTCTCAGCCACTCGGGACTATCTGCTGCGGTTTGGTTCCAGGGATCGTCATCTCCATACAGAAGGCCACGTGCTTCCTGTTGTATACATTCATCGGTAATGGGCGATCCTTGCGCTTGCTTCCTTCGAACGAATCGTATCAAGTGTTCCGTGAGCTGCTCAAAGGGAGTCGGCTGAGCCTCCTTCGGTTGATTAGGACAGAATGCGCCATAAGCTCTACTATCAATTGCCGCCGTGGGTGGACAGCCTCGGGTAGAGGCACTGAAAGGATCCACACCATTGGATTCAATTCCAATAAGATATGGGGGCATGGCATTGTCCACCGCGAGAGCTACAGCGGGATCAAGACCCCGACAGCCCTTCCAATCTTTCATAGAGGCTCCTTTCCGGTAATGTGCCGCAAGGTGATTGTTCCGTTCTGGCCATTGTGTGAATGTGTCCCCACAGAATCCGCAGCGAGAGTTGACATGCGTGACCTCAGACTTCCATGTTGTCATCCTGGCTGCTATGTCTTCGACTCCATGTACTAGACGCAGATGCTGTGTGAGATGATCTTTCCGGTAGAATGTCCGTAGTGTAAGTGGCTTGTCTTGGCATTCCCAGAAGCGATGCTCTCTAATATGACTCTCTGGAGGGTTCTCGGTGCCGCAAAAAGCACATCGCGGTGTGCTAGTGGCTTCGTCCTCATAGGTAGGCCCAAACGGAGCACAGGGCCATCTTTCCAATGACAGATGTAGTGTTTTCTCATGGCGTACCCAGTCATGCTTTGATTTAAATGCGTCTGTACAGAACGTACACTGGTATGGTCGTTGTGGTGGCTGCTCAGGCCGAAGGTGGTGCATGGAAGAGTCCTTCTGTTGGCGTCGGCGTCGGCGACGTGTAGACTCTCCCACATAAAACTTACCAAATGACTTCGAATTATTAGAGCCTAAGCTATGTGCTGACGATGCAGAGGTACTTGAAGCACTGGACCTGGCTGAATCAGATGCAGCCACCGAGGGTGTTTGGCGTTGGGACTGTTGACCACGTGGCTTGGAAACACCCGAGCTTTGAGTTTTCCGTCGCAACTTTTGTGATTTTTCTTCCATTGAACTTTTCTTCACAGAGCTCAGGATATCATCGAGACATGCTGCCTCCGCCTCTGGCGGGGAGTTCTCCCAGCGATCTAATGGGCTCAGCGTCGACCAATAATCCATGGTTGGGTCGATGGTTTGGGAGTAAGAAGAAAATTGTACGTCAAAATCGTTGGTTAGATATGACGTTGCTTCACTGCTCTGCGTGGCAAAATCTTCTTGGGGCATGTTTCCCGATTCACTGGTCCCAGGATGGCGAAGAAGGGGTGTATTGGGTATACAGTATGCCGAGCTCCCGTGGTCTTGACTGTGTTGTAAGGGGTTGGCGAGATTGATATTGATATAGTAATTGTCGTCAGGTGGGTATGGCTCGAATTCATGTAATGGGTCATTGCTCAGGAAGTCTGCGTCTCTATGGCAGGTTGATAAACTGGAGACAGAAGCTTCAAGAGGCTCTATTGTCGATAGAGATGAACAAATTGGGCTGATGAGACTGTAAGTTCTTGTACACTAAAACTTGATGCTCTTAAAATACTTACTCTATGCTTAGTATGGAGTTGTCGGTCTCTGCAGCTGTGATCCGATGCTTCGGGGCATCTCTGCGACGAGAAGGTAAATTTTTCTCCATCGCTATCTGGAATGAATACCAGTGATAAAGTAGTCATCTCACAATAATGGTGACTGGAATTAGATGGGCTCTCAACTTGGCCTGGCAGGCCGTAAGGTTACTAAGCAACGCCTTTATAATTACCCGATTCGGAAGTCTACCCCACTTGGTTATCATCGACCCTGATGGTAATCTGAAAGCCATCGATGCTTATTTCTTCGGAGCCAGCTCGTCGACTGAGTCAGGTTTATATACGAAGAGTCCCAGAAGGGTAAACTGTTTTCGAAAATCGCTGTATGTAGTGGGACCTGGCTAACCGCCGGACTAAGGAGCATCAATCCTCGGACGCCTATACGATGGGTAAGGCAATGCGCGTCTCATGAAACGACTTATACTAGTTTGTACAGACTGTACAATTTCTCTCAAATCCTGTGAGCTCTGTATTGTTTTTTCACCGTTAGTTTGGTCATTCTGACTTATCTTTTTAGTCTTGACTCATTAGCTATGTCTTGTTTTCAGCCCGTTCACTATGTGCCTGCCAGTCGCCAGGCTCAAATATTGGCTATGCCAGTGAAGCGCATACTCGCCGTTCCACATCGAAAGGCAGGGGGTACTAGTAGTCCCCTTTTCGCGTTTTGGAGGGATAATCGTCACAAGCCACTGGCCAATATGGCATACAAAAAATACATCTGAATGAGCATATTTCCCCCTGTGTATGTCTGTAGGAGTGCCTAAAAGAATGGAGCATCTCCAAATAACGCTATTAGTCGATTGTAAATGGGCCAGTGAGCAATTAAAAATTCGAATAAAGTCTAGATAGAAAGCACTGAATGTGATGTGAGCAGTCGCTGCAGTTGTCGAGATTTCGCTGCTCTGAAGCTCTGCAATTAAGTGAAGTGCCAAAAAAAAAGAACCATCCATTCTCGAATTAATTAAATACAGCAAAACATTTACTCAGTACTTAAACCGGAAATCCAACCGCTTATTCCCCTCCTTCTCTCTCGCCACTTGATCAGATTGATACAGAACCTGCTCCTCCCGAGACATAGCGTTCCACGCTTTATCCTTCTGCCGGTTCAAGAACCAGAGGTATTGTCGTTGGACGATAAAGGCGGCCAGTGAGACTACGCAGAGCGCGATGAGGATTTTGTCGCCGGTATAGTAGTAGGGTGAGTCATTGTCGCGGTAGATTTCTGCATCAGTTAGTATAACCATTTATCATTGGAGTAGGTATGGAGAGGACTCACGAGATGAAATAATAGAGCCAATCTGCACGACGACGTTATACGTTGCAGCCGTGATAGCACGCTTCTGTACATCGAACGTATTCTCCGAGATCCACGCAGACACAATCGGATGGAAGTACGGATACCCGGATATCAACGTCGTAATGGTAAACCGCGCCCAGTCGTGTCCATACGCCGGCAAACCCAACAACGCAGCCAACAACGGTAGGGACCAGAACTCGCCGAAGAGCGAGTGGAACGTTCGTTCACCGAAGTACTCGCTGCTCTTGGACAGGATGAGCATGAGGATAATTTGCAAAGCGGCGGACGGGATCGAGAGCATGTTCGAGTCGAAGGTTGAGAAGCCGATGCGCTTTAGGGTCAGGGAGAGGTAGGATTGCACCGGGCCCTGCGGGATGTAGGCGACTAGGCCGATGAAGTACAGTCCCCACATGGATTTGTCACTCCAGGCGTCGAGGACGTTGCGGAAGGAGGCGGCTTCGTGGATGTGTGTGAGACCTTTGGATGGGTCGTCGCGGAGGAGTCGCTGAGAGGTCAGTAGTGGAATAGAATAGAGAGGCGAAGGGAGCGTACATTGACCATGATCACCTCCTGTCTCTCAGTGTACCATGATCTACGACAGAGAACGCTCTTGGTATTGGTAGGCGAACTGGGGAGGTAGAAGAAACTCTGTTTTTGTTAGCAGTGCACAAAGACACAGATGGGACACATACAATCAGTCCAATGACAAAAGTCAACAATCCTTCGATGAGGAATAGCCAGAACCAGCCGGGTTTATCCTCGATCCCGCGCATTTTGAGGATTCCTGCCGCAAGGAGGGAGGAGATGATTCGGGCGACCTATTCATCGTTAACACCGAAAATGCTTTTGGTAGAGAGGGCGCATACATTCAATGACGACCAAAAGAAAGCCAGTCGAAAGGACAACTCCCGGGTCTTGTAGAAATACGTCGCAAAGAGAACCGTTCCCGGAATGAAGCCACCCTCCAGAGCACCGATCAGAGCTCTCGTCACATAGAACGAAGCCCTGCTGGTCATCCACGATTGAGTCCACGAGACGAGACTCCACCCCATCATCATCAGGGGAAGGACTCTTCGGAAACCGTAGCGCTTGATAAGGAGTTGAACGGGGAATTCGGCGGCCAGGAAGAGGACGAGTTGGATTGTTGTGCCCTGGACTGTCAGTATTCCGTCAACAATAAAACAGGCGAGTGTACTGACATTGTTATAGTCATTGCTGTTCATGTTCAGATCCTCCAGCAGGCTATCTGTTAGGGCATTCGACAGATTCCCCCGATCCAATTGCAATCCGAAGAACTATACAGTCAGCCATATCCCAAGACCTCTGAGATCAAGCTTACCATAATGCAGACCCAACCAAGAAGCAAAAAGTCCGTCTTAAGCACTACCCGCCGCTCCTCATCCGGCGTCCACGTCGCAGTCGCATCGAACCGGTGATATCCTTCAAAGGACTCATGGGGAACAGTCACTTGCGCAAGCTGCTCCTGTCCAACACCCACAGACACCTTAAACGATTCATCCTCATCAGTCGTAGTCTCAGCGCCTTTGCGCCCTCGCTCGATATCGTCTGCCATACTGCTACGCTGCGAAGAGATATCGAGATTGTATTTGAATAAAAGAATACATTGCTACTTTTATATATACTCAAGACCACACGCACGGAGGCTTGTTGATATTACTGAGTTGGGAAGCATCTCCATGTCAGCAGAATAACGTCGCCAGAGACTAGTCGGATTGCACAACGCCGCTCTCCGAGCACATCATCGAGCCCTAAGCTTTGTCGAATCAGGATTGACTATAGTGGCTGGATAGTTTAGGGGATCGTGAAACTCCGCGGGAGGGCGCTGCCACGCTTGGGAATACAGTACTTGTTCCCCAGATCGCATGCTCTCCAGTCACAATACAAGCAAACAAGTAAAAGCTCTAAACGCCATTATGCGAGCATTTCGATTGTTGTACCATGTAACCATCATCGCCAAGAATTGAGGGGAATTAGGTGTCAACAGCCTAACAGGTCAATGTATCGAAGTTCCGAGATTTTCGCCGATGCCCCGCCGATGGCAGCGCCGTTCCATAAGGACCAGGATTAACAACGCGATCCGGATATGATGCAGGAATTATGCATAATTAGCCGGTTAAGCATTGTCTCGTGATAGTGGGGAGTTTGTGTAAGCTCTAAAAGTGCAGTACTTATAAAAGTCAATATCCACCGGCGCATTGATCTGTCCGGATATACAACCTAGCTTTCTATATCTAGAACCGATATACACAATGCCAACTGCAGTTGACGCACCTACAGCCATCCGGGGAGGCCATGAGCAGGCCCGTCCGCGCATTCCGCAGCCATTGCAATATTCCGGGTCCCTGGATGGATATTTGAAGAGCGATCTGACACCTGTCATCGGACGGGAATACAGTGGACTCCAAGTCGCAGACATACTCAAGTCGGAGGAGAGTGATCGATTAATCACAGATTTGGCAGCGACTAGTATGCTTTTCCGATCTCTTCATGGGTTATATCGATCTTTTCTGAATTATACTGACTCGACCAGTCTCGCAACGAGGCGTCGTCTTCCTCCGCGACCAAAATGTCACACCACAGCAAATGCAACAATTCGGCGAACGACTAACAGCTCTAGCCGGCTGTGTAAGCCTCATACACCCCCTCAACCAGAACACCATCTAACAAACAAGAACAGCCCGAATCCTCCACCCTCCACGTCCACCCCCTAACCGAAGAAGGCAGCGAACTTGGCGACCAAATCAGCGTCATCAGCAGCGAAAAGCAGAAAAAAGGCGGCGGCCTCACCCACCAACTCAGCGACACCTCCCGTCTCGCCTCCGTCGGCTGGCACACGGATATCAGCTTCGAGCGTGTCCCCTCAGACTACGCCATGCTCAAGATTCATACGCTTCCTGAGACGGGCGGTGATACGCTGTGGGCGTCTGGGTATGAGGTGTATGATCGGTTGTCGGGGGAGATGAGGGGGTTTTTGGAAGGGTTGACGGCGACGCATGATGCGAGTTTTTTTCATGAGGAGGCGAGGAGGTTGGGGAATCCGTTACGGAGGGGGGAGAGGGGGTCGCCGTTGAATGAGGGGGAGGAGTTGAAGGCTGTACATCCGGTTGTGAGGACGAATCGTATGTATCTGCTTCTTTACAGTCTTGATCAATGGGATGAACTGACAGATGCAGCTGTGACGGGGTGGAAATCGGTCTATGTCAACCGGGGCTTCACGAAGCGCATCAACGGCGTGACCAAGGATGAATCGGATATGCTGCTGCAGTATCTGTTCAATGTATGTTGTCTTGCAAGTCTAACCCGAATACAAAGCTAACTGACCATAGCTCGTCACGCAAAACCACGACGCCCAAGTCCGGTTCAGATGGAACCGCAATGACATGGCTATCTGGGATAACCGGTCGACCTGGCACTGCGCGACGTACGACTACACGGAAGCACGGGCTGGAGACCGTGTGTGTAGTCTGGGAGAAGCGCCGTATTTTGATCCCAACTCTAAATCTCGCAGGGAGGCGTTGGCTTGAGTTGGAGTTTGTTTCTGGTAGTTTGGTTGATATCCTCATGAATGCAATATATTCAATCCATATGCCGTGCAAGTACATAAATAAATCCAGAAAACACATCCCTATCCTGATAAAGTCATAAACTCCCAGAAAACCGTTTTGAAAAGAAAGAGTAGCTCATGCCTGGCATGGCTCACTCAGCCGCATCCAGTTCCAGCATACTGCTATATGTTAGACTTCATCATTTCTCCAGGGGGGAAACTTGTACATACCGGTATTACCCATATCATCACCAAACATAGAAGCCATCAGGTCCTCACCTGAGCGTGTCCCCTCGATGTTGTTGTACGTGACAGCCGTCTTACCCAGACAGAGTCCGATCATTGGTGGTGACACCTGAAGGGACATGAACTCAGGCTTGCTGCCAATACATTCGGAAAGCATGAGTTGGTGGACATTTGTAGCGGCATAGTGGCCGTGGAGCATAGCGCCTCCGCAACGTTTGATACCCGGCCAGGAGGCAAGGTCACCGATAGCGAAGTGGTGCTCTGCATTGGGCATGTTATTTTGGAATTGACATCTGTTCTCGTTAGCATAAGTCAAGGAAAGAAGAGGAAGGGTGGCATACGTAGGGTGAATGTGCACGTAGCCTTCTTGATCAAGTGCATCCTGTGGCAGGTATGTCGATGTGGGAACGCACTTGGAGATGGCGCTCAGGATATGTCCCGCCTTGAGCTGCGTGCCATCGGCCAGGGTGAGATGCCAGGTGCGTCTTTCGTCATTGGTTTCGACTGCTTTGTGGTCGATGACTCTCTGACCAAGGATGACTTCGATGCCAGTCTCCCGCAGGATATCGCATACACGGTCCTTGAAGTCATCTGGCAGTGGCTCTGCAGAAAGTAGACGGTTCCGGGAGTGAACCAAGGTTACCTTTTGGTTCGGATTGAGTTCTTTGATCTCTGTGGCCATTTCCACGCCGACAGCGCCACCACCAACAATAACCACTCCCTCTTGCGCGTCCTGAACGTTCTTCCTATGCAACTTGGCTTCGTTCAAAAAGTCATCTCTGCAAAGAGACTGAGGAACGGTAGGAAAGACGCGTCGCAGTCCCGAAGCAGCAATGAGGTAGTCATACTGCTCGTGTCGGGTTTGCTGAGACTGCAATTCGAGAATCTGGGCCACCTTTCGTTCCGGATCGATGGAGGTGACGCTGCCCCGGACAAACTCCATATTAGGAGCCTTAAGAGCCGGGATGTCTGCGAATCGGGTCCATGCCTTGGGGGCAAACTTTTCGCAGGCCAGGGCTTTGGGAGATCCTATGAGGTGGTCTGAGAGGTTAGTATATCTTTCGTCTTTTGGAAGACAAGAACCTACAGTATCCATCTCGCTCATCAACGACGGTAATCTGAATAGGAAGACGAGCCTGAGGAGCTTTGGCATCCGGGTTATAATTAAAACGAGCAGCCTTCCCACGGGCAAGGTCGGCTAGGGTCAAAGCGGCAGCCAGACCACCATAGGAACCACCGATAATAAGGACACGGAAGGTCCGAGAGAAGGGTGCAAGGGCTTCGTTGGATGGCATATTGAATGAGACTGTACTTTGTTCGAATGGGATGTTGAACAGAAAGGAAGAACAGAAATACGTTCAGCTGTAGAAAAAGGCCGAAAAAGCAAGCAATCGAATGAGGGGCAGCGTGAAGGATTATGTCTCAGAGTCAATTAACGAGGGGGCGGGAGAATCTTTAAGTGACTCTGGAGTAACTACTCCATGTTGCGTACATCATCATAGCATTGTTGCTTTTGGTGGACGGGATACGGAGTCCGTAGTCCGAGCTTGGGCTCCCCACGGCGATGTACCTGTACTAGTGCTATGGAGTACTTGTATTGCATTCCAGAATACTGCTCCATCTTTGTATTGTTTCATACTCCATACTCTGTATCTTATCAGATGGTGACTAGTAGTATCTGGTAGAGACCGAGGTAAATCCGACCCAAAAAGGAAAGAATCATATCTGATTGTGCGTTATCTGATCGATCTCGCTACGTGCTATGATTGGCCGAACCAACGGGTAATCCCTTCCGAAGTCGGCGTAGTAGAGTTATCTGATCTGATCTGATTTTTTTTTTTTTCTGTATCCCACGAATGCCTGTAGTGAGAGAGACAAAGTTAGATATATAGCTGCATCTCCCACTGCTCCCACTGTAGCTGCATTTGTTCTTTGGGGTATCAAAGTACTACTATGTACGGAGTACTCCGTACATATTCAGTACTCGCCTGGATTCTGCTAAATGCCGCAAATAAATTAACATTATCAGATGCAATCAACCCGGGTGACCTGACCACGGAACCAACTGAGCCAAGGACACAGCCTGAACATTACTGAGTCTTGTCCACGGACATTCCTATTCTATGTATTCCTCCGTGCTGCGTATCCCACTCCGACACTTCCACGAGCTCGCGTTATTACATATTCACGAGACGCCATCCCGCGGTTGCCCCCCGAAAAATTGCCCAAATGGGTTTAGATTGACGAGGTCATTAGAGGCGGATTATGATCTTCCGCATCACGACTTGGGGGTCGCCTGCATCATGGTAATATTACGGGAGACCGTTACCAGTCACATACGGAAAGATACACAGACCCACTACGTATCGTCCTGAAAATAACTGTCGGTAAATTTCGGTAACTACCACTAATCTACTTGTATTTGTACTTGAAGCCCCACCACGTCTGTCCCCGATATCAGATCCGGATTGTGCTGGCTCATAGTCCTGTACATAGTATAGTTAGTGCAAGGATACAAGTCCACACGTGAAGTACTATGCAGAAGTTAAATGTGAAGGATGGCGCCATTGTGCTGTCAATCGTCATTCTTCTCTTTTTATACTCGCATTCCATTTGATAGCACAATGGCCCCCGATCAGAAACTCCCTTGGGTGCGCTTGCCAGAGCCCTACAAGACATCCTACGCCTTTCAAGTCCTCTCCGTGGAACATGGCCTGCGGACCTTCCAACTGCGGCGTGCTGCTCGCCCAGACGATGGCATTCCCCCTCCGGTGTCGCTTGATCATGCTTCCTTGAAATTCACAGACCTGTCACAACCTGATTCCTCTATCATTCCTCCGCTCGGAAACAACTCAGCCTGGGCTCGCGCTCAGCGAAGTCCAATCACAAAGTTCAGTTGGGACAGCACCGACGCACCATCAGTCGGACAAATCTGGAATGTCATCTACGCCCTCCTCATCCTCTACACCGATTTCGAAATCTTTCGCGTTGTCCTTTCAGGGGAGGGCAAGGAGCTTCTATCACAAGAACTGCAGGCAGTCGGTCTTGCCACGGAACATCCCAACCCCTCTGCTCCGCCGGGTCAGCCGGTGCCCGAGTCTACAGACCATGTCGGCCAATTGGTCGTCTTCCGCAGCATGTTCTGGCAGGGAGCTGGCTCCCCGTTTGGAACAAGGCCGGCGTGGATTGTTGGCTCTGAGACTGATAAGCCTTTGCGAAAGTCTGCGGCGGCTTTTCCGACATTTCCGGTTCAACATATTTTGACGACCAAGTTTCCTGGTGTTCGTGTCCATGCTGTTCACCCTATCCGCCCTGCGAAGCCAGCTCCGGGCTCGTGTATCTACAGTCGCTACATTCCGCATCTGGATGAGTTCTTTTCAATTTGGGTGTTGGACTACACGAACGAGGAGCATCTGAAGTTGTTCAACAAATGGCAGAATGACCCCCGGGTGGCGCAGGGCTGGAATGAAACTGGAACCCCAGATCAGCATCGCGAGTATCTGCGCAAGATTCACGAGGACCCTCATCAGATGGCGGTGCTTGCCAAGTTTAATGATACTTTCTTTTCGTATCATGAGATTTACTGGACTAAGGTATGTTGACCCCTTATATGAAAGTACGTAGACAAGGTACTAACGAGAATAGGAGGACCATTTAGGAGTCAACTACAACGCAGACGACTACGACCGCGGCCGCCACTCCCTCGTCGGTGACCAGCGTTTCCGCGGACAACACCGGGTGATGGTCTGGTGGTGCAGCATCATGCACTATATGTTCCTCGACGAACCACGCACAAAATACATCGTAGGCGAGCCCAAATTCACCAACCTCGCACCACTAGCCTACGACCACGCCACGGGCTTCAACATTGAGAAACTAGTCGACTTGCCGCATAAGCGGTCTGCGCTAGTTAAATGTCCGCGAGAGAAATTCTTCCACATTTCACCGTTCCGGTTCGATGGGTCGGATCACTTGGAGCGGAATCCGTTCCGAGCTTTGAAGCTGTGATTCCGAGCATGTACTTTATCTGTGTTAATTTAGCGACTGAATCAGTTGTTAGCGTAACGCAGTGGAATTTAATATATACTCTAGTAAATGTTCGCCTCGTGTTTCCTAAAAAGTATCCTTAGACGGACCTGTACGTAGTATATGGAGTACTTGAGCAGCTCGGAGTTATCAATCTATGGAGCATATGGAGAATTGGAGAACTTCAGCTACCCATTGTACGACTGCCATACCATCCGTAATATACATATCCAAAACGGAATAGTGCAAACATACACTAGCGCAGGAACGAAACGCTAATTGGCTCGCTTGGCATCTGATTAGATGCTTCATCTAATCAGATTGATAAAAAACACCGAGGTGGGACTGACCCACTTGGCGCATGTTTACGGTACTCCGTACATACACATACGTAGTACACAATACTGCTATACGGAGTACGAAGTATCTAGACAAGAGGATGGAATTGGTAGATATAAGCCAAGCAGCCGAGTCTAACGGTGTTTCCAGGATGGTACGAGTATTCCAGAGTAGCGGAGTAAACCGATGTGCATAAACAACATAGTACATAACATACAAGGATATCAACTATATACAAGACAAATCACACGAGCACAGCTCATACTAAGCCTGTCCAGCACGCCGTTCCAGAACACCGCCCGCCATCTTCCTCAGCTCCACCTTTCGGACTTTGCCGCTCCCCGTAACAGGAATCGTCCGGTCCACCCCCTCCTCCCCAAACACAAACACATGCTGCGGCGCCTTATGGCGTCCCAGGGTCTCGCGGGTCCACGCTCGGAGTTCCTCGTCCGATGGTCGTGGCTGTCCCGCTGCTACTAGGATGAAGGCGCCAACGACTTCGCCGTATTTCTGGTGTGGGACGCCGATCACGGAGGCTACTTCGATGGCTGAGTGGGCGGCTAGGCGCTCTTCGATTTCGAGGGGGTAGATATTTTCTCCGCCTGTCTGTTGTCAGAAACCGTTGGATGGATGGTTGGGTTTGTGCTCACCTCGGATGATTATGTCTTTGAAGCGGCCGGTGATGGAGCAGTAGCCTTCTGGTGTGAACAAGGCTTCGTCGCCTGTCTTGAGCCAGGTCACGCCGTTCTCGTCGGTGGTGAGTGTCTCGTTGGTTTTTTCGGGGTTGTTCCAGTATCCCTTTGTAAGTTGGTAGCCGGTCATGCAAAGTTCCCCGCGCTGGCCGACTGGGACGATGTTGCCTTTGGCGTCGATGATCTTGGCTTTTGCGTGCGGCATGACTTTGCCGACGGTCAAGAGTCGGGTTTCGATGGTGTCGGTGGTGAGAGCGTTGAAGCAAGTTGGTGATGCTTCTGTGAGGCCTGCAATCATCAGTTAAGAATTGCACAAGTAATATCATCCAAAAAAACGAACCATAGCTACTAGTATACTCGGTCATATTCAACTCCCCAAACAAACGTTTCATCAACGGTCGTGGCACGGGAGCCCCAGCGATGATCCCCGTCCGCAGATTTGAGCAGTCAAATTTCTGGGGCTTCGGAACGCTAAGGATCGCCTCGAACATCGTCGGCACGCCGTGCAGCGCGGTGCACTTCTCGTCGGAAATCGCGTGCAATACCGCCTTCGGGTCGAACGTCTCTCCGGGGAAAATGATCTTCGAGCCGTGGGTGACGACCGCTAGCATGCCGAGGACTAGGCCGAAGCAGTGGAAGAGTGGTGGTGGGCAGCAGAGGATGTCGAAGGGACTGAAGTCCATGCGGTCGCCGATGAAGCGCGAGTTGTTGACTAGGTTGCTGTTCAGGTTGTGTTAGATGTATATATTTGTCGCATGTTGGAGGGACATACTGGTGCGTCAACATAGCAGCCTTGGGATTACCAGTCGAACCACTGGTAAACTGCAAATTGCACACATCATCCGGTTGAAGAATATCCTCGCGCTCAGCCAGAACGTGGACCGGCAGCGATTGTCCGCGGTCGATAAGGTTACCGTAGGTACCAAAGTCCTGGTATTGGCCCCGGAGAATGATGATCTCTTCGAGCGCCTTCGAAGATCCCTTCCGCGTGGGATGCGGGCCGAGCGTGGACAGCACTTCGAATAGTTCGTGGCGGCCGATCTGGGGTGTCATGAAAAGCAATCTGCAGTCTAGCCCTATGTTAGTATACTGGTAACTATAGTTGTAATTGACAAAACATACCGGTATGACTGAGTGCGTAGTACACCTCCGACGAAGTATATGTATTGTTGAGCACCACGAGGATCGCACCAACACGCGCCGCACCAAAGAACAGAGAAATATATTGTTCGCAATTACCAGCCATAATACCAATGCGATCACCCTTTTGAATGCCCATGGCCAGCAAGCCCCGAGCAACCCGGTCGCTCTCATCGTGCAGGTCGGAATAGGTCCATCGGGCTCCGGTCCAGGGGAATACCAGGCATTCGTAGTCGCTGTATTTCAGACTTTGAAGAGTTAAAAGCTCGCCTAGGGTGATTTCCAGCAGTTCTGGCTGTGTTGGGCCCTCGACTATGGATAGTTGTAGCGGGGCTGGCTTGGGCTGGACATGGGATAGGGTTTGTTGGAGACGCCGTACGCTGGCCCGGTTGGTGGTCATTTTGCTGTCTATACTGCACTATGTAAAAGTGGCAGGCAGAGGAATTCAAAATTAAAGATTCAAAAAATATGCGAGCGAAAGAATCCTACCGTATGCCAGCCTTATAGCACCCGGCCCATATACAACCTCGGAATTAGTCTCTATACTTCGGAAGTCGATACCCATTCCAACTTGACTGCGATATCAATCTCATAATTATCACATAATGCTCTCCACTTGATCCATTCTTTTTATATATTTTATATTGCTCTACCAGTCTTTCATTCGTCTCGCTTGTATTTCAAGGTTTAAACATTTCTTTACGGAATACTTAGCTCGCTTAGCTTCTTACTACCAACCAGAATCCAGACCTACTTCCGAGCAATCCGATGTTTTGGCCAATGATCAATTGCCGTGATATTAGATTGCATCCCGCTATCGTCGCCTCCACACCTAGACCTCGGCTCAGAAGATGTTTGTTGTAGATTGACGTGCCAGGGCTCAGGCAGGTCTTGACAGGAGATCATCGTCTGTGGTACTTCCCGGGCATGATATTCCGCCCTGTAGGGTGATTGACCCGTCAGAGTATAAGGTCCTTGGCAGTGAGAGATTGTATAGCCAGCAGTCGTTTGGAAGAATCACACGTCTCTCGACACGTGGACTTTTCCGTATCAAACACTCGCTCTCAGCCGTACAAGCAATTCAATGGAGATGTGGAACTTTGACATAGCGTTGGTATACCGATTGAATACGCAGCTCTGCCTGCCCAGTATCGTAAGTGTTCCATCAAACCACCCGGGCCGGAGTACAGATGGATAAGAAATTTTGCGCCATACAACAAACCCCGGCCATTGCACCATATTCAGACGTATTAGACCCTGAACTTGCCATGAAATCTGCTCAAGAAGCATGTCGTTGCCTGGAATATGGATCCACGGCGGTAGATCCCGCCATGTCCAAGAAGCCCTTATCAGATTCGGACTTAATTACTGCATATTCATGGACCCAGTCCCTGGAACCTTACCTATAGAATAATTAGCTCCGAGACATGAGTTCTTGGCCGGTGTACCGGGCTGTAGTGGTTGAACTTCGATTGGCTTAGCTGAACCTATTGAATGGAGGCCATGGCTGCTGAGTTGGACTAGGATACAAATTAGGATGTATACAATCAATGCAACATTCAGTCGAGGAAGCACTGCCATGGCGACGTTGGGACTTGCATAGAGTATGCACATCTCCCAGACAGGCAAGCTAATCCTATCTGATTGATATGGCATTACGCAGAGATGCACGGGGAGCATCCGGGGGCAGAAGAAAAGATGCCTCGGAGAATTATCAGATGGTGGAGATGGAAATATTGGAAGGTATGTGTACTGTACTGGTATGGTACTGTGACCGTCCCGTAAATAACCATACCAAAAAATACTTATCTAATCAGATGCGATCAGATAATCAGCTCCCGTGACTAGGACTTGGCACGGGACTTGATCGGGCATAACCGCCCATCCCACCACGGAGACATCTCCCACTGTGTCAACGACTTCCCACTGTCTTTTACCCACCCTCTAACCGATGACCAATGGTACTGCAAAATTAATTCTGCAACCGCGGGATCCACCGCCGATGACTGTCCTGCGCGGTGCCTGCGTCGACATCGGCGTGGGCAGATAGTGGGATTCCTCGGCTCCGTGTTTTTTTTGTCTTCTACAACTACCTTCATCGCTCATTTTCCTAGCATTCTGACACTGTGCCTTTCATTCACTATACTATTGTAATCATTCTCTCGTTATTGTGAAAGGTGCGTATTCCCGCCGTCTGGATGCTAAGGAAAATCATGTCAGGCTTCTTTTCGAGCTTCGAGGGGCACCGGAATCCCCCAGAAACCACCACGACCAACGACTCCAAAATGACAAACGGTGACTATATTATCTCTGTCCCGGCTGACGAGATTCTCCCGGTCACAAAGGTCCCTGCGTTGGATACAATCGATCAGTATGCTGTGGAAAGGGTAGCCGGCGAAGTTGCGCAAAGTCCCGCGATTGAGCTGTCTTGCGACGCCGGTTCTCGGGATGTCGCGAAAGGAATCGTGCAAGCTTACGCTCGTTTTGTCTCTCATTTTACCGGCCTTGAAGATGTGGCTTTTGCGATTTCCCGCGACTCGAGTTATGTGTCGACAGAGTCGCGGCGCGCAGTCGTTTGCGCGTCGGTATTTGCGGAAGAGGAAGCAGGCAAGACCTGCAATTTGCGCGAGGCCGACTATGCTCGTCTCGACAAGGATGAAGTCCAGTTTGCTTTGGAACTGCGAAATGCTGAGCCTGAAAATGGTGACCAGCATGCTGGATCGGAAGATGTACGTTTTTGCAGTATACTCGGATTGGAGAGATGCTAACAGCTTCAAGTCATTTACTCTACTTGCGCAGCCAGGCGCAGGGAATGGCGTCTGGCAATTCAGCTTCGCATACCCCCAGCGACTAATTCCCGACGCGGCAGTCACCCAGCTTCTCAAGGTGATCGCGTCGTTCTTGACCCATTCTGCCATTTCCCCTCGTTTTGCCATACCCTCCGAAGCCGATAATACCCCGAATCCCTCTATCCTTAACTTCCCACCACTTATGACTCCTCCGTCGCGCGACAGCGACAAGGATGTGGAGCGCCCCATTTCCCCGTTTCTGCTGCATGCTGCCTTTGAGGGCTGGGCCCAGAGCAGACCTGAAGCAGTTGCGTTGGATTTTGTACACTCCTTGCCATCCGCATCCACCGAAGCCGAACACAGCGTGTTGACGTACGGCGCGCTCAACACAGCAGCCACGCGCTTGGCTGCGCGCCTGCGAGAGCTGTGCGCGACAGCTCCAGGCACGGACGAAGGTCGGATTATTCCGGTTTACATGACTACTTCGCCCGAACTCTACATTTGCTACCTTGCTGTTCTGAAGGCTGGGTATGCTTTCTCTCCGATTCCGCAAGATGCCCCCGAACAGCGTGTGAGGGAGATTCTCGAAGACATCGCTTCTCCTGTCATCCTGGGCAACACCCCCGAACCTTCCTTCGGACCCTGGCGCCACGACGAATCTAACGCGCCTACATGGCTTGACGTTCCTGAGGTTACAGGGTGGCGCGACTTGCAAGGAGAGACCGCAGTGTCCGCTGACACTGTTCCTTTCGACGCACCGGAAATCAAAGCAGACCAGACAGCCTATCTGTTATTCACCAGTGGCTCCACTGGCAAGCCCAAGGGTGTCCAAGTCCACCATATGGCCGTTGCGTGCTCCATCGAATCCCACTCTACCGCGATCCCGCTCCCAGGCAACTCTGCTGGTGACTTCCGCTGGTTCCAGTTCGCAGCCCCGACGTTCGACCCCTCCTTGATGGAGATTTTCGTCACTTTGAGCAGCGGCGCTACTCTTTGCTCCGCCAACCGCAGCCTTACCCTGACCGACCTCGAGGGCACGATCAACGAGGCCAGAGCCACCATCATGATGGCCACGCCCAGTTTGGCTGCCTTGCTGCGTCCATCGCGCCTGACCACCTTGGAGTCTCTCTGGACTATGGGCGAGAAACTTAACCGGACCGTCATTGACAACTTCGCAACGGACGAGTCGAGGATGCTCGTCAACGCCTACGGTCCGACTGAGGGCGCAATCAACTGCACGTTCCTTGGTCCAGTCGATTACTCCGTCCGTGGCTCCATCATTGGAGAGGCTTTGCCAACCTGTTCCATGCTTGTCCTCGACCCCGATAGCCATCTCCCCAAGGCCGTCCCCGCAGGTCTCGCTGGTGAGCTGGCCATTGGTGGCCCCCAGGTTAGCAAGGGCTACCTGAACCGTCCCACGGAGACCGCCAAGGCGTTTGTTTACAGCCCGGAATTTGGATACGTGTACCGCACTGGCGACATGGCCCGTATCGTCTGGGACGATTCCGGCCGTGAAGTCCTGGAATTCCTTGGTCGTATCACTTCTGACCAGGTCAAGGTTAGCGGTCGTCGACTTGAACTTGGTGAAGTCGAATCTGTTCTCGCTACTGTCAGTGGAGTGACGGAGGTTGTTGCTATTGTCTCCAAGCGCGACCAGCAGACGCAGGGTAGCGAGCAGATCGTCGCGTGTCTCGTCACAGACAGCGAATCCGATAGGCAGACCATTGTGCGACAAGCCCATGATAACACCCATCGCCACCTTTCCGACTACATGTGTCCGTCTGTTTATGCTTTCTTCAACGCGCTGCCCCGGTCCAGCTCTGGCAAGGTGGACCGCAAAGCCATTTCTGCGAAATTGCAACAGGGTAGCAGCGATGTCGAGATCATCTCTCCTCCGCGGGCCGCTGATCTCAATGGCGACTTGGCTGACTGGGACGTCCCGGCTGATTCAGACCTGTTGTCGTTGCGGCAGCTTATTATTTCTCTCCTTTCCGAGGCAACCAATGAGGAGACCTCCGCCATCAAGCCGGATGCAAGCCTCTACTCCCTGGGCGTGGACAGTCTTGGAGCCATGCGTCTGCTCCAGAAACTCAGGGACAACTCGATCACTGGCCTCTCCGTGGGAGACATCCTCCAAGCGGAGACTCCCAGAGCGCTTGTTTCGACTGTATCGCAAGTTCGTCAATCAGAAAGCTCTGGCGCTGAGGCTCAGAAGGAGAAGGACGACCAGCTCCAGCAGCGTCTCGTTGCTTTCAACGCCAAGAACCTTTCGACATGTGCGGAGAGACTTGAACTCAGCGCTGACCAGATCGAGAAGGTCTTGCCCACCACTGCGACCCAATCTGGTATGCTCGCCAGTTTCCTGCGAAGCAGCTCCGACAAGACCTTCGAGACGCGTTCCTACATCTACCACTCGGTGCTTCCTCTCGGAGCTGGTGTGGATGTCGACCGTGTCAAGGGTGCCTGGGATACCGTGACTCAGAGCTACGACTCTTTCCGGACGGCCTTCTGCTGGCTCGACGACGACATGGCCCCGTTCGCGCAGTGCATCATGGCTCCCGGTGCCTCTTCTGAGCAACACTGGAACATTTACAATGTTTCGGAAGGGTCTTCGGAGGAAGAGACAATGCAGACTGTTCTGCGACACGTAGAGAACACTATCAGCCTGAGCTCTCCTCCATGGGCAATCTCGGTCATCCAGACCCCCGAGAAGTGCACCTTTATCCTGAGCATGTTCCACGGTATCTTCGATGGTGGCTCCTTGCAGCTCCTGCTCGAAGACGTCTCTTGCGCTTACGAAGGAAAGCCCCTCGTCCAGCGGACTTCCCTCGAGCACATCGTCAAGCACCACTTCCAAGCCGACCATGCCGAAACGGCGGCTTTCTGGCAGAAGCACTTGGACAACCACTCGCCCGTTGGTTTCCCGTCTGTTACGCCCTTCCGCCCGCCCACCGCTAAGAAGACAGACGCCGTGGAAATCACTGCCCGGACTGGTTACGACGACCTGAAGAAGCTCTCCCGGAAGAGCGGCTCGACTCCTCTGTCCGTGCTTCAGGCTGCTTGGGCTTCCGTTTTGTTGGCCTACACCGGAAACCCTGACCTCGATGTCGTGATTGGTAGTGTTGTGTCTGGCAGACTCGACCCGGAGTCCGAGGCCTGTATTGGACCTACCTTCACGACTGTTCCCGTTCGACTGTCCCTCAACCAGATCTCGAAGGATGGAGAGTTCTGGACGAACCAGTCCGTCGCACGTCACTTGACCTCTTTCAACGCGAAGACTCTTTCCCACCTGCAGCCTCGTCTTGGATCTATGGTCACGGCTGATGGCAAGCTGCCGTACGACACTCTCCTCGCGTATCAAGACTTCAACGCTGGATCCAGCGAAAGCAGCCTCTGGACCTCCATCAATCATCCGCCCATGGCCAACGATTTCGCGGTGATGGTCGAGGTTTGGCCTGATGTGGACTCGAGCCTCACCTTGCGCGCCAGTTTCAACCACGCGCAGCTCGACCGTGACGCGGCTGAGATGATGCTCCGACAGCTGGATGACATTGTCGCCTTCGTCCTTGAGCGACCGGACGAGGACTTCTTGACCGCTCCGTCGAACACCCAGGTCGGCTTGAAGTCCTCTTGCAACCCTGACGCTGCGATCACGGAGGCTTCTCAGACGACCCTGATCCACACCCAGTTCGAGGAGCATGCGCGATCCAACCCCGAAGATCTGGCGTTGATTTTCAAGGGCGACCTCGAAGACGAGAACAGTCCTCTCAACATCTCCTGGACATACGCGGAGATGGATGCTCGTGCTGCTCGTCTCGCCCAGAACCTGGTCGATGTCTACGGCCCGCTCACCAACAAGGCTGTCCCGATCTGCATTGAAAAGAGCCCTGCCCTCTATGTCGCTATCCTGGGTATTCTCAAGGCTGGCGGTGCCTGGTGTCCTATCGATACTTTCTCTCCTGCGCAGCGCCGTCACGATCTCGTCGCGCGTACTGAGTCGAAGGTGCTCCTCGTCTCTAGTGCGGACGGTGCCCAGCCCGCAGATGCCATCCCCCCTGGTGTCGATGTGGTCGATGTCAGCCCTCTCTCCGGAAAGGAGCCAGTCGACGCTCTTGCGGTTGACGAGGTCTCGCAGCGGGCAAGCCCTAGTGACATGGCCTACTTGATTTGGACCAGTGGTACCACCGGTGCTCCCAAGGGTGTGCCCATCACGCATTCCGCTGGTGTATCGAGTATGCGATCGCTGCAGAAGGATGTTCCGACGAATGTCGCTGGCGGCGTGGTTCGGTGCTTGCAATTCTCCGCTTACACCTTCGATGTGTCTGTGCAAGATATCTTCTACACTTGGGGTGTCGGTGGTGTTCTCATTTCTGCGTCGCGGGAGATCATGCTTGGGTCTTTCTCTCAACTCGCCAACACCACCAACGCAACCCACGCCCACTTGACCCCTGCCTTCTCTGCTGGCGTCTCGCGAAAGACCTGCACGACGCTCGAGGTCATCACCATGATCGGTGAGAAGTTGACCACATCCGTTGCCGATGACTGGGGTACGGATATGCGCGCATACAACACGTACGGTCCCGCCGAAGCCACCGTCGTGTCGACACTCCGTGAATTTGGCAACGAGTCGAAGAACATCAAGAGTGCTAACATCGGTTGGCCCATGGACACCGTCTCCGTCTTTGTCACCCGCAACCAGAAGCAAGTGATGAAGAACGCCGTCGGTGAACTCGCCCTGGGTGGTCCCCAGCTTTCCCCCGGTTACCTGAACCAGGACGACGTCACCCACGCCAAGTACGTCTGGAACGAGGAAGCTTCCCAGACAGTGTACTACACTGGTGACTTGGTCCGGATGCTTGCTGATGGCTCTCTCGAGTACATCAACCGTGTCGACGATCTTGTCAAGCTGGGTGGTATTCGTGTCGAGCTGAGTGAGATCAGCTACTCGCTTGGCGAATGCCACCCGCTCGTCGAAAACATCGAGACTTGCATCATCAACCGTCCTGACCGACCTGCGAAGGTGGTCGTTGCGTTCCTCTCGGCTCCTGGTGCGGTGTCTGAGGATGACAAGGAGCTGTTGTTGCTCAGCGATGTTGCTGTCGAGATTGCCCGTGCTGCTAGCGAGCAGGCCCAATCTGTTCTTCCTGACCACATGATCCCGTCTGTTTATCTTGTTGTCGGCAGCATCCCCAGAACCCAGTCGGCCAAGACCGATCGTCGTGCATTGCAAGCTGCATATGCCTCTGTCGACATTGAAGACTGGGAGGCCAGAATGAACCCCGGGAACGGTTTGACTGACGACTTGGTGGACGACCAAGGCAACGCTACTACTGTGTCCCAGATCGTCGAGACCATCTCCGCCCTTGCCAACATCTCGACCTTCATCATTACGAAGACCAGCAGACTTGGAAGTCTTGGTATCGACTCGATCCACGCCATTCGTCTTGCTTCCCGACTGAATGAGGCCGGATATCGCCTTTCCGTTGTCGATGTGCTTCACTGTGTCACTGTCCAGGACCTTGTCAACTTGGCCTCTGCCTCGACAGATGTCAGCGGCGTCGTCGTTGATGCCTTCGACGTCGAGGAGTTCAACCAGCGCTGGGTCGGATCGGTCAAATCCAAGGTCAAGGATGAACTGTCCGTTGTCAAAGCTACTACGATCCAGGAAAGCTTGCTGAGTGAGACCATGGGTACTTACAACATGTACTGGAGCAACCACTTCGTCTCGCTTGACTCGACCGTCGACCTCACACGCCTCAGACAATCTTGGTTCGCCGTCAGCCAAAAAGCCGAGGCTTTGCGAACTGGTTTCATCCCGGTCGCTGAAATCAGCAACGTCAACGTCCAGGACAACCTCGACTTCTCGCTCTTGCAGCTGATCTACGCGTACCCTCTTGTCGACTGGGAGAGTGTTGAGTGCACTGATGCGGACTGGAGGGAAACTCTTGACACTCGTCTCGAGGCTCTCATGAGCAAGCACCAGGCGAACTACTTCAGAAACCCGCCTTGGGCCGCTACGGTCTTGGACAAGGGAAGCGAGCGCATCATGGTCTTCACCGTCCACCACTCCATCTACGATGGCCCGTCTCTCGAGTTCATTATGGACGATGTCCAATCGGCCTACGGCTACAAGCCTCCCACTCGGAACCAGATGCGTGACGCTTTGTCCGTTGTTCTCCCGACCGACCAGAGAAGCGCCGAGACTCGCGACTTCTGGCAGACTGAGCTCGAGAAGTTCTCCCAGATCGAAGCTCCCGTCTGGCCAGACTTGACTGGAAAGCGTGTCGCTCCTGGCACCGAGCCAGAGCACAAGTTCATCACCGAGGAGATCCTGCTGACCGAGCCTGTTGGCAAGCTTCAGTCCGCTGCTACCCAACTCGGCGTTTCCTCCATTGCTTCGATCGTCCGTGCTGCGTGGGGTTGTGTTTGTCTCTCCTATTTTGGAACGCCAGCTGCTGTGTTCGCCGAGACGCTTTCTGACCGTGTTCTGGATGCGACTCTTGAGAACTGCATTGGTCCGCTCCTCTCGGTTGTTCCCGTTCCATTCCACCCTCAAGGAACAGCCCGCGAACTCCTGACCGACCAGCACCGGATCTCCGTTCAGTCGTGGAAGCATCGCCACATCCATGCTCGCGAGGTCCGGAAGATGCTCAAGCGGGCTCGCGGTGAGCCGTTGTATCCCGCCATCTTCACCTTCCACATCACAGACCAACAGCCGGGCGAAAAAACCTCTGGACTCGACATTTGGAACGCCATCGAGGATCCGATCGGTTTGCATGTCGAACATCCCATGGCCGTCAACGTCTTCCAGCGACCGGATGGTGCTCTCATGGTCGAGGCATCTGCCGACAGCGCGATCATCAGCGAAGAGCAACTGTCCATTTTCGCTCGCCAGATTGACGCCTTCGTCAGTGCAATGATCGCTTATCCTGACGAGCCGGTCACGCAACTGGTACAGCACTTCCCGACGGACTTGCTTGCTGTTTCGAACCAGGTGGTCACCCAGGAGGTAAAGAACTCGGTCAACCTCAGTCCGACTCATTGGCTGGAGCAGTACGCTCAAACGAACCCCGACTGGACTGCCGTCGAGGCGGCTACGGCCATCAGCGAAGATGGCATCGAGAAGGAGGGCATGTCTTTCGGTGAACTCAACGCCGCTGCGAACCAGGTGGCTGCGTTTATCGCGTCTCAGGGCCACAAGAACCGAATGATTGCCATTTGTGCTGGTCGCAATATTGCTTCGTACCCCGTCACCATCGGTATCTACAAGTCTGGCAATGCGTACCTTCCCATCGACGAGAATCTTCCCAACGACCGCAAGGCGTTCTTGGTCGAAGATGGTGAATCGCCAATCGTCTTCACTGAGTCGTCTTTCGCTGCGACGTTCGCAGATGTGCCTGAGTCCTGCCGCGTGATCTGTATCGATGACCCATCCTTCCAAGAGACCGTGGCAACGATGCCATCCGAGGACACCGATTATCAATCCCACCCAGACGACCTCTCCTACCTGCTCTACACATCCGGTTCGACTGGTAAGCCCAAGGGTGTCATGATCACCCGAGGCAACCTTTCGTCGTTTATCGAGTCGCTCTCCGAATTCATCTGCGACATCTCCCCCGAGACTATGAACCTCGGTGGAAAGGGTAGATGGATTGCCCAAGCCAGTCGCGCCTTCGACCCCCACATCGTGGAGATGTTCTTCCCATGGCGCCACGGAATGGCGACCGTGACTGGACCCCGGATGATGCTTCTGGACAACTTGCAATTGACCATGTCCAAGTGGGAGATCACGCACGGCAGTCTTGTCCCGTCTGTTCTTGACCAGACCAACACCCTCCCTGAGGACTGTCCCAGCATGGTCTACCTCAGTGTCGGAGGTGAGAAGATCTCGCAGAAGGTATTGGATACCTGGGGTCTTTCGCCGAACGTCGCCCTCGCCAATGCCTACGGTCCCACCGAAGTGACCATTGGTTGTACCTTCGCCCACGTCAAGCCGGATACGAACCTCCGCAACATCGGACCCCCGTTGACTGCCTGTACCGGTCATGTCTTCCTTCCTGGCACCATGACCTATGCTCTCCGCGGTCAGACCGGTGAACTGTGCTTCTCGGGAGACATTGTCGGCAGGGGCTACCTGAACCGCCCTGACGCAAAGGGATATGCCGCTGGTCCTAACGGCGAAAAGATGTATAGAACTGGTGATATTGGCCGTTTGATGCCTGATGACTCTGTCGAGTATCTCGGACGTGGTGACGACCAGACCAAGATCCGTGGTCAACGTCTGGAACTTGGTGAGGTTTCAGAGGTTCTGCGCGCATCGTCGACAATTGACATTGACGTCGCCACCGCGGTTGTTCAGCACCCTGGTCTTTCCAGAGTACAGCTCATCTCTTTCGTGTCCCGCTCGAACTCCGTCAAGTCTCGTTCGAAGGCCGGGCTGGGTGAGAAGGGCTACGAGGTCACTCTCCTTCAGTCGGACGTTGCAACTCTCGGCAAAGAACTTCAGGAAGCTTGCGCAAAGAAGGTGCCATCATACATGGTTCCGGAGATTGTTCTGCCTGTTACCTTCATCCCCCTCGCCGCGATGTCCGGAAAGGTGGACATGAAGCCGCTGCACGCCATCTTCGCCAACCTGCCGCTCTCTGCGGTCCTCCGAGGAAACAACGCTGGAGCCGTTGATGGATCTGCTTTTGCCGACCGCCCTCTCAACGACAACGAGCAGGCTGTTGTTAACGAAATATGCACCGTTGTTTCGACCGATCCTTCTATCATCGGCCCCATGACCAACATTTTCGAAGTTGGTATCGACAGTTTGAGCGCTATCAACCTTTCCGTCAAGCTTCGCAACATTGGCTACGATGCTTCTGTCGCCCGTGTCATGAACAACCCTGCCATTGAGCAACTCGCTCGCTTGCCTAGAAGCACGAACAAGGCCAACGGCGATGCTGCTGCTGCAGAGCTCCGCCAGAAGCTCGAAGCTATGGACGCGCAGTTCCGTCAGAATGCGCCCGAGTCGGTCGAACTGTCTCGTGTGGCTTCTGTCCGCCCATGTCTGCCTCTGCAAGAAGGTCTGGTTGCCCGATCGATCAACAGTGAAGGGCGTCAGCTTTACGTCAACCACATTGCCTTGCAGCTCGCGGAGTCTGTCGATGCCGACCAGCTGAAGAACGCCTGGCAGACTGCTGCTCTCGATAATGAAATCCTGCGTACCGCATTTGCTGCTCTGGACCAGGAGATGGTGCAGGTTCTTTTCTCCGCGGACTCGTATGAGATCCGCTGGGAGGAAGAGGAAGCTGGTAACCTGGACGAGGCTGTTGCAGTCCTCAACGCGCAGCAAGAATCGCTCTCCCAGGACATCATATCCAACATTTCCGCTGTTCCGCCCGTGCGATTCGTTCTGATCAGGTCTTCCTCTACCAAGCAGCCTTTGCTCCTCGACATCTCGATCCACCATGCTCTCTACGATGGTGAATCGTTCTCGATGCTGATCGAAGAAATTGCAGCCCGTTATGCCAACGACTCGGTCCCTGAGAGAGGATCGCCGTCTGCCTTCGTTGAGCATGTCTACTCTCAGGACTTGGAGAAGGCCAAGCAGCACTGGACCACTGCGCTCGCTGGTTGCCATCCCACCATTCTCCGGTCGGATTCAGATATCTCAGAGACATCCAACACCCATCGGGCGCTCCGGAGCAAGCTCTCGCACCTGGAGCGCTGCTCGGCAGCTCTCAAGACGACTGTGCCTTCCCTTGTGCAGGCTATCTTCGGTCTCCTGCTTGCTGATCTGGTGGACGCTGGTGATGTTACCTACGGCACTGTGCTGTCCGGTCGGGCAGTCTCGGTGCCAGGTGCTGATTCCGTCCTCCTTCCCTGCATTACCACAATCCCCGGCCGTCTCGACACAACCGGCCTGACCACCGTTAACGAAGTCGTCACAACCGTCCAGAAATCGGCAGTCAAGTCTCTCGAGTTCCAGCACACCTCGCTCCGTCACATTCAGCGTTGGCTCAAGTCCGAGACTGCTCTCTTCGACTGTCTGTTCTCTTTCATTCGAAGCACGAGCCCGTCAGAGTACAACTTCTGGAGCGAGCTTGAAAGCCACATGCCCGCGGATTACCCGTTTGCCGTTGAGGCTGAGGCCGATTCGGCAGAAGACATTGTCCACCTCAACTGTCGCTTCTCGACCTCCTTCAGTGCTACTTACAGTGCGGAGGAGTTCCTCGAGAAGATGGACGCTGTCTTGTCGAGTGTCGTGGCTGGGGAGAATGTCTCGTTGGAGAATTTCAATCTTTCGCAGCCTCAGTCCGCTTCCTCGTCGGCTGTCTCTGTCAAATGGGACGAGACCACTTGGTCCGCCGAAGAACTGCAGATACAGGAAATGGTTGCCAACTTCTGCGGCCTCGACAAGTCCGCTGTTTCCAAGGGCGCCTCTTTCTTGGCCCTTGGTATCGATTCCGTGACTGCTATCCAGTTCTCTCGCAACCTGCGCGATGCCGGATTCAACGCTTCCTCGTCGGATGTTATGCGCTTCTCTTGCGTGGGCGCCTTGGCTGCTCAGCTTTGCTCGCAGGAAGCGAAGGAGGAAGACAACTCTACAACTCCGTCCGTCGATATCAATACATACCATTCTCACGTCCCTGTTCTCGGACCTAACGACTCGGTCTCTGCCATGTTCTCGTGCACGCCTTTGCAGTCCTCTATGATCACTGGAACCCTTGGTTCTGCCGGTGCTGTATATACCCATCCGCACCCCGTTCGTCTTGCCGATGATGTGGACGTTCCTCGACTCAAGGAATCCATCACCCGGATCATCCAAGCGAACGACATCCTCCGGACTTCCTTCCACTCAATTGAGGATCTCGGCTATGCCTGGGTTGGAGCCGTGCATACCAGCCCGGCTCTGAACTGGCACGAGATCACTCTTCCCTCCACCGTCGACCCCTTGTCCGAGATCTCCTCCATGTTCCGCTTCGACAAGGAGACTTCCTTCACAGTGCCTCCGATTCGATCTGTCCTGGTCACCCGCCCTACCGACAAGCTTCTGGTGATCGTTATGCATCATTCGCTCTACGACGGTGCCTCGCTGCCTTTCGTCTTCGAGGATCTCGCAAGAGCTTACCAAGAGGACACCATTTCCGAGCGACCGCAATTCTCCGACACCGTCAACTTTGTGCTCAACGGTCAAGAACAGGCGACCGAGTTCTGGACCCAGAAGCTCCTTGGCTACGAAGTTACAGAGCTTCCTCGTCTGCCGTCTTCCGAGTCGCAAGACCAGATGTTCATGTCTGAATGTCGCGTTGGTCTTGACATTGGCAACATCATTGAGGCCTGCAAAGCGATGGAAGTTACCGTCCAAAGCGTGTCGCTTCTGGCCTACTCCAAGGTTTTGACGAACCTTCTCGGCAAGCGAGACGTTGTCTTCGGACAGGTTCTCGCCGGACGTTCTCTGCCCACCCCCAGAGCAGAGAAAACGATCGGTCCTCTGTTCAACACCGTCGCTCAGCGTGTCACCTTCGAGCCCAAGTTCTTGAGCAACAAGACCATGGCTCGTCGTCTGCAACAGCTAACCACTGACTCTCAAGTTTACCAGCATGCTCCTCTGAGAAATGTTCAAAACCGCCTGAGACAGATCGACGGTCTGAAGTCTGCCTCGCTTTTTGACACTCTCTTCGTTTTCCAGAAGAGCGCCGACATTGACACCTCTGTGCTTGACGGACAGCAAATTTGGACGCCCTACAACGCCGACGACTACGCCGCGCAAGCCGAACACAAGATCAATATCGAGATTGACCACGCTCAGGACGGAATCGTGGCCAGAGCTACATGCAACGGCGAGTATCTATCGCAATCCAAGCTCGACGAAGCCCTTGAGCTTTTCAGTTCCGTGTTCCAGGATATTGTTGAACACCCGACCCGATGCGCGACCGTCATCCCCGATGGACTTGGCGAGCTGCCCCTTCGACTTTCTCTGGAGGAGGTGAAGAGCCCTGAGGTTGAGCAGCGCGAGACGTCTCGCGTCCCTGCTCACGAGGGTCTTGTTCAAGGAATCCTTGCCGAGGCCGCTGGTGTTTCTGCTGACAATATTGCGCCCGACACGAGCATTTTTAACATCGGCTTGGACTCTCTTTCGGCCATTCGCATTGCCTCGATCTGTCGCTCAAAGGGCCTGAAGGCCGGCGTCGCCGACATCTTGCAAGGAAACACGCTCCGTGGTATCAGTCAGCGTATCCAGCCGACTTCTGCATCGAACGTACAGGTGCAAGGCCCGCTCCTCCGTGACTACAACCGTATCGAGTCTGCCGTTCTTGGACAACTTGGATTGCAGAAGGACGCGATCGAGACCATTCTTCCTTGCCTTGGCGGACAAGTGTACCACTTGGCCAGCTGGATCAAGTCCAACAGAACTCTGTTCGAACCCGCCTGGTCGTACTTCAGCAACGAACGAATTGACGAGGTCCAACTCGAGAAGGCCTGGCTTCAGCTCCGTCAACGCCACCCGATCCTGAGAACTTGTTTCGCCGTCACTTCTCCATCCGACGCTTACCAGGTCGTCATGAAGCACGCCGATAACGACACCTTCAAGGTCATCAACTCTCCTCTTACCGTCACCGAAGCTGCCAAGGAACAAGCGAAAGAAGAAGGCCTGCACCCGTCGTCCTTGTCCGTTCCACCCGTCCGCCTCCGCCTCCTGAAAGCCAGCGACCGTGACGGAATCCAGGTCCTGATCAACCACGCTGCCTACGATGCCTGGACGATGCCAATGTTCGTCGCTGAACTTGCCAAGCTCTACCGCGGAGAAGCGCCCGAGACCAACCCCAACTTCCCGTCGTTTGTCGACTACTCGGTGCGCTCTGTTCGTGGTCTCGACGAATCGGCTTATTGGTCGTCGGTTGTCGGTTCCAGCGCCCCAACCTTGATCAAGGGTGGTGAAGCTTCCGGACCTGAGGAACAGTTGTTCGTCGGTGCGTGGGAGAAAGTTAGGAACCTCTCGGAGATGGAAAATGCCTGTCGCTCTTCCGGAATCGGTCTTCAGAGTGCCGTCCTGCTCGCCGTTTCACGTTGCCTCGCTCGCTCGACTGGTGTCGAAAGCCCGACCATGGGATTGTACCAGACCGGACGATCCGCCTCCTTCACTGACATCGAGCGTCTTTCCGGTCCTTGCCTGAACGTAACACCCTTCGTCGTCCCCAACGCAGAGCAGTCGAACACCGGCCTGCTTGAGAAGACCCGTGACATCCAGTCTTCCCTCGCCAAGCGCGTCAGCTACGAACAAAGCTCTCTCCGCGACATCCTCGCCCGCTGGGCCAGCACCAAGGGTACCCAGACGCCCCTCTTCAACGCATGGGTCAACCTCCTCTGGATGCAAGCGCAGCCCCCGGTCAACGGCGAGCTCTTCGAACCCCTCCGCATAGGTGTGCCAACGGACTTCATCCCGTCGGAGCCTCTGCCTCCTGTGGATGAGATGTCGACTTCGGTCGCTGCTTTGGATACTTCGTACATCCCTGACGCGAATGTTTACATTGATATTGGTCCTGATGTTCGGACGGACTCGATTGGATTTGGTGTGAGAGTTGAAGGTGGTCTTTTGACCGAAGATGAGGTGCAGGAGTTTGTGGGTGAAATTGGAAAAGAGATTGAGGGGATTGTTTCTTCGTTGCGTTAGGCTGGTCCTGGCAACGAACAAAAACAAAAAAAAAAAGCATTTGCATTTGTGTAATTTGATAGACTGATATTTGTTTTGTATATGGTTTCTGTATATAGTTGCATCGAGCATCGAGTATAATTTAGTGTATTTCAAAGTTGTATTCCGTCGCTACGTAGCCATGGCACTGTCTTGATTGCTTGATACATAGCTCTTCGATGCGCCTGGAGATCCAAGTCAGTCTCAAACACACAAAATAATCGTCACATATCCCACATTGCTGGCTTGTCTAGAGGCCACTGCATTGTGCTCTAGATTTCTTATCACTTGTTATATTCAGCGTTCTACATTAGGTGCTTAGAAATTGTTCCTTCGAAATCTTCTCAATGCAAGACAACAGTCGTCTTGTATTTGAAAATAGCGAATGTCATGGATGCTGATGGTCTCTGACCTCCATGTTACAGGTGACCCTGGCGTGGAATAAAATCGTGGACTCGTTAGGTGTGGCGAGACAGGTCACTATCTGTTGCAAATGATGCTGAAGCCATATGCACAGCGTAGATACTTGCAAATTGCCATCTAAGGTGGTGATTCTCGGGATCATCACGCCCATCAACCAGACAGATGTGGTCGACTTTGCATTGCTTCAGGAAGTCGATCTCGCAAGGGAGCTCACTAGCTCGTTTACTACTCTTTTTGTGTTGACTGTCTAGGTGGCGCCTCAGCTTTCTGGTTGTATCAAATGTCTTATCTTGGTTTGGGCATTTGTCCTCCCCATGGAGATACTGACAGCATTGGCTGCTCAGTGGACTGTCCACATGGGTAAGAGAAAAGCATTTAACATTAATGAGTATAATGAGCCAATTCATCCTTCGTCGCCAAGTCAGCGTGAAATCAAAATATCAAGTCTAAAGATCAACGAACCATTGGATCCACGTTATTGGTCTGAGGGGTTGCACCATTTCTCCTCATCGCTGCCGGTATATAGTTGCCTATATAACACGTCTTGTTAGCTTATTCGAACAAGGAGTAGCTCCCGGGTCATCACTTACGTTGCCCACCCTTCCAAATATTTCAGGCCCTCGTAGCCCGGTAAAGTATCTCTGGGCACCAGAGCAATTAGACGATAATGAAAAAGGGTTTTTTTTTCTAATGGTATTTCAGGTCAAGTCAACATCTCCAGGAGGCGGCCAATATAACCTGGGACGAGCAGTGAGAATTGCATAATCCAGGAGTTGTAGGAGCACATACGAGCGAGGCCATAATAGCCATAGAAAAGTAGGAAGAACCCGGTGATTTTTACATCCGGGTGCTTGGTATTGTCATGTATAATAGCTGATCCCGAAAATGAGTAGTAAAATTATACTGACCGGGACGTCAGGTCGATGGCCTGATGCACCGTTCTTCGTTGTCTTTGCAATTCAACACTTGCAAAGACCCGACTATCTTCGCACAGTTAGCAGACGTGCGGTGCACTTATCGGAATGGAACTCATGTCTTGCGGGTTCTTGGTATTCCACGAGCCAAAATTTTAAATCCAACGGTATAGTTGCCAATTGCTATGATACCGGTCCATAATTTTCAATCACTTGCGGTTTTGCTGGTGACAAAATCCCTTCGAAGCCGAACTTAGTCCATCAAATTGCCGTGTTGCCTCGAGAAATAGGTCTTGTCAAAAAAACTCCATCCAGCGTCATTCATGTACCGCGCTAGCTGGTCTTTGTACGTCAAAAAATGCCATGACCGTATTGATAAACAACAAGGCGCAGCAAATTTCTATAGACTCCGGCTTCAGTGTTAGCAATATCACAGACTACTCCATGTTAGTGGGTCTGGTCCTTATTGCCGCCGCCAACTCTGGCAAATATCTGTAGAATTGGGGTTCCGCCATTTTCGGTATCACGCGAAAAACTGGCAGCACAGGATCTCCAGACGATTTTCCGGTCTTGACGGGCACTGATATTGTGCAGAAGATTGTCAAGGCTGGCGGTCTCGACGTATTCAAACCATAGCGCTAGAACAAGGAGCATTTGCTTGCGCGAGAGTAGACTACACCACAAAGAAAGCAGGACCCTATCCCATGATTTTGTGCCATTGATGAGTGCGTTCTATGAATTACTTCTTGGCCATCTAACGGAGAGCCCAGGCTGCGGCAATCATGGTTCATGGACTGTATGTACTAGTAATTCTAGAGAGCTCAGGTAACGTTGGCCTTTTGCGAAGTCTTCGGCTCGGGTAGCGTATCTTCTTCGCGGGATATTTCAGAACTTACTCTAATCAAAATAAGGTGGATATCCAGAACCGCTTCTAGGAAAATAAACAGAAGGTGCCACAACGCCAATTTGGCCATCGGAGCTTATCCCAACACGTTCCATAAACCTTTGGCTTACCAGAATATCCCCAATGCGGCCCGCTGTTGCGAATTAAATCACAAGGGTTGCGACATTGCACAATAACTTGTCCCATAAGACCATACCTTCGACCGGGGCACATTTAAGCCGGCCCTCGACTATCCGGCGCAATATCCAGGTTCCGAACAACTGTTTCCCGTGCCATCTTCCTGCAAAGGTCGTCCAGTACTCTTTGCGTCCACTTCTCTATCATATCAGCCTCGCACTAGGTTCTCGTCCGAAATTGAACGTCCTCCCATCCACCTACCATCGTTTTCACCATCAACACCTCGTCTCCTAATAGACCAAAGTTACAGAGACCCAGCGTTATTATAGTTGTCAAAACAAGTATTATAATCTTCGATTTGGTTACAGTCGCTAATTGAATCGTTCAGAGCTCTATCATTATCGTGAACATAACAGTATTTACATCATGCCTTCTCGACAAACTCCTCCCTCGACTTGTCATCACATAGCTTGGAGTCCTCAATCTCCCGCCGGAATTCGGCCTCGTCCTCCTGCAATTGCTGCAAGATTCGGCCATGCGCGCGCCATACCGGTTTGGCCTCGAACAACCGGTCCATACGCTCGAGCGGCACACCCTTCGTTTCTGGGATGAGGAAGAAAACATAAATGGCAGAAAGGAGCATCAGACTGGCAAAGAAAAAGTACGTGCCGTACTGCATTGTGCTCAGCATTTGCGGGGTGAAGCGCGAAATGAGGAAATTCCACAACCAGTTGCTCGCGGAGGCCACAGCTTGAGCCAGAGAACGCATATTTGGATCAAACATCTCTGAATTCAAGACCCAAGGTGTACCATTCCAACTTGGGATGTAGGACGCTAGGCGAAAGAATTGCAGTCAGTTATAAGGGTTGTTATACGCATTCCTTGGTCATAAAGGCTAATCGACTTTTTGTTGCCTCATCACGCAATACATGCATTCAAGGCAAGGTTTTAAAATCAGGGTATGAAGAGAAAGGAAAGAAAGAATAAGCATACCTGTGTAAAGATAAAAGAAAACGATTGCCATGATGCCAGCGCTGTCAAGTTCTGACTTAGGGTTGTTCTCCGGGTCGACAATTTTGATGTATGCGCCGATGACCCACAAGCACACCGATCCCGCGATTGCGCCAGCAATAAGAAGCTTCCGCCTTCCTAGGTTGTCAATCAGGAACAACAACCAAACAATGGTAACCACGGTTTTGACCACTCCGAAGACTCCGCTAAGAAGTTGGTTCTCCCTGCCTCGGATGCCGATACTTTCGAAAATCTTGGGACTGTAATAGTTGATGGCGTTAATTCCGGAGCCGTTCTGCCAGAAGAAAAGCATGAAACCGAGGAATAAGCGCCACATAACATTGGGGTTGGTCGCGGCCGCCTTGAACGGCTTCCAGAATCCGGTACCGATTTTGGCCTTTTGCTCCTCGAGAGCTTGGTCAATGGCAGCGATCTCTTCAACGATGTAAACATCATCTGCGGCCAGTTGACGAACCCAGCAGAGGTTCGTGACGGCTTCTTCACGACGACCGCGGCCGAACAGCCATCGAGGTGACTCGCGGATGAAGAAGGAACCGACCAAGAGGAATCCAGAAGGAATAAGCTGGACGGCGAAGGGAATAAGCCATTGTTTGTGGCTTTTGGGGAGAGTTTCCGAGACGCCAAACTATTTCGGTCAGTGCGTGTTCATATATCCCAGAACGTCAGAAGAAGCATACGTTGATCCAGAATCCAACCAGACCTCCCACCTGCCATCCTAATTCATAGATACCGACCAGACGACCACGAATAGCCGGTGGTGACAATTCCGAGATATAGATCGGTGTCAAGTTCGAACCGGCACCCACGCCGATTCCAGCAAGGACGCGACCGGCATACATCAACCCCAAACCCCGGTCACCATTGGCACCCAGCATCAAGCCAGAACCCAAAACAAAGATAATACCAGTGATCATGAGGCCCCATCTCCGACCCAGGTAGAAACCGATGGGATAGGCGAAGAGCGCGCCGAAGAAGGCACCGGCCTGGTATAGCGAAACAATATTTGCCGTGACGAGGTCCTGTTTGGCGTCGGACCAGTCTCCGAAGTGAAATTCATCGCGGAAAGAATTCAATTCGACGGTCTGTCCGATAAACGAGCTGTCATAACCGATCATGCATGAGGCCGACGACGCGATGGCAGCCAAAACAAAAATTCGCCAGTTGTAGACCTGGCGAGGGGTAGGGCGGTCCTCGACCACCGACAGGAGTGACATGTTGATTGTTCTGTCTGTCCGAGTGTATGAAGCGGAGAGCGAACTGACAGCGAGGGGGGCTGTTTGTATATCTGGGGAAACCCCAGATCAGGATATTTCTTTTCTTCTGCTGACTTTTGGCGCGGCCAGATTTGCCGTTCGTTTTTCCATCTCAACATTTATTTTGTGGGTATTCGCTTGTCATAAGTGGAGTCTTCGGGGCACCACCGAGGGAGAACGCTTTGCCGACCCCGTGGGGAAGAGGCGCTATTCGTATATCCGGGGTTATTCTGGTTATACGGGGTAGCAGGGATCATGTGGAGTGCAATATACTATATTGCAGATTGAGTTACGTCTTCTTTGGCTTCTTTTAGAATGCCTTTCCGGGGTAGCTGTTACGACTTCACGTCCGGAGAGACTTGCACAGCTCGGTAAAACTACGGGATTTCCCAATCGGGTAATATAATCGAGTAACCTTATGTTAAATGTGAAGACGACGTAGATTCATAGCTATACTGTACATG